TTTTACTTGCTAAATGTACAATATAAGCCGAAACAAAAATGAAACGAAGGCTTTTCAATGAAATGTTTCTTTTTAGTATTGGAACATTTTTATTATCTCATTAAATAACTTTTATTTATTATTTATTTTTTCTTTTCAGATATGCAACAATTTTAGCATTTGATGTTAAAATAGAACGAGATGCACAAGATCTTGCTGACCACTTAGGTGTGAAAATCTTCCAAGCTGACATTATCTATCATCTATTCGACAAGTTTACTGCCTTTCGCGAAGAATTAAAGCAACAAAAGCGCGATCAATTTAAGTCGATAGCTGTTTTCCCGTGTAAATTAAAGGTAATTTCAAGGCATCGTTCGTCACTTCAATGGGAATTTAATTGATTTTAATTGTTTCAAATAGAATTTTAAATTATACCAGCAATTTATTGTTGCTCCTCTATTCCTCAGTCATAAGATTCAATGAGCCATCTAAATTAATTCGAAAGACAAAGCGTTTTTCAAGAACTTTTTTTTCTCTCTTCACTTAAAAGATTCGCGTCAAGGTCATTTGCACAATTTTCATGAATGAATCGCGTTCGTTTGTTTGTTTGTTACGAGTTAAGTCAAGCACTATGAATTGTTGTTGGCTTTGAATTCATTGATGGAAACTGTAACTGGCAGCTCGATTAGTTCTCTCACAAACCGGGAGAATCATTTCCTGTGCTTTAATTTTTTTTTGTTTCATTTAATTAATTGATTTTTTATTCATCTCTGTTCATTCAATTTTGTTGAAGCACATTTGGTCGCTTCGTGATTATTAATGAAATCATTTCGAAAGAAAAAGGAATTGAATAACAAAAAAATAAAATAAAATCGCTTTTATTTTTGAGTTGCCATGAATTGGAAAAAGCAATTAAACGTTACGCAATGATATCTTTCAGGTTTTGCCGCAATTTGTGTTCAATTCGCGTGATCCAATCGTCATGGGCGTAATTGTAGAAGCTGGAGTAGTAAAAGAAGGAACACCAATCTGTGTACCTAGTAAAGGGGTGAGTAAATATTGTTTTTATGAAGCATATGTGAAATCAATTTTGGGATATCTTCGTACTCGTCAGAAAATTTTTGCTTGTTTACACAACAAAAGAATTCTGTCGCCTGATTTTGTAGCTAAAAACTTTTTGTTTTGAAATGGAAAGAAAAAAAAAGAAATATTTTCCGAGACGCCGACGTTGAATGAAAATAAGAAACTCATGTTAGATAAACATAAAAAAGAATTGTCTCGAGGGACGAAACAAAAACACTGACCGGAAATTGATTAAGACACAATAACACAAAAAACAAATAAAGATAAAAGAAACGATCGTTTGGTTGCTTCGTTGGTTCGTTATGCAACGAAACAATAACAAAAGACCTTAAAGAAGAACGAAGGAAAAGAAGTTTTTTCTTTCTTTTAAATGTGAAGTGTTATCAGGAGCTTTTATGCTCAAAAATGACCAATTTTATCTTTGAGTGCAATGAAAGCGAAATTGAAAAGTCATTAAAGACATCATCTGAAAGAGAGAAAAGAAGAGAAATTAAACAAAATGAAACGAAAGGAAAAAAAAGCGATCGAGTGAAGATGAAGAACATAAATAAATAATTTATACCATCCGGTCAATTTTTATCTCCGAAATTGCCTCTTCACTTTATCGCTTCAAGGCTTCGAGTGCAGAGAGGGGATCGGATACACATTAACTAGATGTTGTTGCTTTTATTATTGTTGATACTTCTTAATTTCTGATCTTTCTTCTCGTTCAACTCGGTGATTTTTTTTTCGAGTATTGAAACGATTTTTATTTTGACTTCAAATTGTCTTAAGTGTTGCTTGATTACATCCCATTGAAGCTTATTTTTCTCTTTTTTATTCTTCTTCCATCTCGCCACGGATTGTGTCGTCGCTGTTATTTTTTGAAGAATTGAGTTTAAGAAGTTGAAGAATAAAAAAACAGACAGAAGCCTCAACTGTTGATGCATCGTAATTTATTTCGTGGTTTAATTTTCCCGAACAAGACTTATTCATTTCATTTCAGTTTATTGTTATTCCTTCTTTTATTGTTTGTCGGTCAAACCAGCAGCAGGCAAAGTTTCTCGCGAAATCGTCAGAGATAATCTCATTGTTGCCTTTTATGTTGTTTTCCGTCTTTGGAATTTTCGGTAAACGGATGGAAGTCTCAAAATTAGATTGCAAAACGATGATAAATCATGAATTTAGTCAGAAAAAGATGAAATCTGCTTCTTTTTTTTTAGTTTTGTTTTTGTTTGTATTATTTTTTGGTTAAATTCAGGTGCAACTTCATGACTGCATTTTTAATTTGTAAGCTTTTGTAACGTCTCCGTTTGTTTCTTCTTCTGGTTTTTGTGCCTTTAAGGCGATTTAATCACCGAAAAAAAGAAAGAAAATCAGGTTTCGTTCGAAAGGGGAAGCGCTCCAATTAAATGTTCTGAATGGAACGAAACGAGATTTATTTCACTTAAATGATAATTACGGAGTCTCTCATTCTTTCTTTCGATTACAAATTCTGTTGTAATCAACAGGTGTTTCCAATTTTCCCTGATATCTCGACTGCTTGTTTTGAAAGCGAGATTTTGATTTTATTTAATGAAGGCTTGAGAACATTTTACCTTCAAATATCAAATGACGATGTAAAGGGAAAGATGAACATTCACTACACAAAATTGAGACTAATTTTGATGGGCAAAGACTTTCCAAAATGTAAAAATTAGTTCAAGAAAAAAATCATCGAATTCGATAGAATTGAATTGCATCAGCAAGCGGAAATCTGAAAGATAAATATTTTGATAATCAAGTGATTCGAAAAATGGTTTCATATTTGATGCCGTTGCCGATGTGTTTGTAGATTTGAAAATGAAATTGGAACCATTTCCTGCCCATCAAACACCGACAACAACAAAAACCGATGACGAAAATAAACAAAAAACAAGTCACAATAATCAGCATTTTTATTTTATATTTCAACAATTATCATCAGCTTTTGATTACATAAAAATATTCCAACATATTCATGAAATGTGCATAAGTAAGTGTCAGAAAAAAGTAAGTAAGACGAGTTATTGCAAACTGTAAGAATCGTGTTCAATGCATGACGATTTGGAAATCATTTCTTGAAAGATTCCATTTCAACGCGTAGAGTTTCATTCAGTAGAATAAATAAGTCAACTCATGTTACCATCCGGAAAACTTACGTGCTTCATTTTAACTCATACTTGCATCAACTTTTACTAAAACTTGAATTCTCGTTTTCATCCAATTCTATCATTAAAGAACTTAATCGATCATTGTCCGATAGACAAGACGATGATGTAATTTGATGACAATCTAAATGAGAAAATAGCAAAAGGAAATGACGATTGAGAATGAAATTCTCAACAATTCATTCACCTTTAAAGTTGACAATCAAATTCAGCCTTCGTCATTCATGGTAGAAGAGTTAGACACATTCCAATCAACATGACATTAAATTATGAGGCAACGTAAACTTGATACACCGTAAGAAGATTCAAATAAAAATTCTTATTTATTAGAACATTGTAACTTGTGCTTAAGGATTGATGACAGACGAGATAAAGTGTTGAAGATATTTACCTTGCATCGTTGTAAGCCATCTTAAGGCGCCACAATAACATCAACTTTTCGATGCAACGGTTTTAACTCAGGTGTGAAACGAGAAGTGCATTCTGTTGTTAAGATAAAATTCGATGTGATGACATTAATTTAAGCATACGAGGAGGAGAGAAAGATTCATGACATTAAAGCTGAATGTTGATAGGCGGAAGGAAGCATTTAGTTTAATATTAAACGACGTCAACTTGATGAAATGAAAGGCGACAAATTCATTAAAGAAAAGTTCCGGCTCACATGTCGTAAACTTAATTCCCTTTGAGTGAAAAAATATCTTATGGATTGTTTCGTCGTATTTATTTTAATTATTTAGGCTTTATTCTGCTGTTGAAAGTTCAAATCTTACTTCTTCCTATTTGAATGAATACTGAAGAAATTCATACAAAATTCTTGTACAAACCCAACAGCAAAAAAAGGCAAACAAAGTTTCAAAAGAATTAAAACTTCCTTCCGGACTTAATTAGATTTATTACAGTAGAAAATGGAGTTGTTCGTTTCCATAATATCCGAGAAGAATTTTTATTTAATTTTATGTCTTGCAAGAATGTTACATCTTCCAAAAATATCCCTCACTTCCCTTCATTCTCTCATCGTTTGGCGGAATCATTACAAAGTTAATGAAAATATCTGAAACGAAGTAATTATTAATTCTCATTCAATCCCTTCACAAACAACCAACAATACTACGATTTGCCGACATAATCGTTCACGATGTAATCTTAATTTTAATATTTTTTTTCATACTTTATCTCTCTCACTCATTCTTCCGCTCGTTATTTTATCCATTCATGGCAGCATTACAAACACGATTTTGAATATTTTAATACTCGCTTTTCGCTTCATTCATGAAAAATTATTCATGAATGATAAATGAAGGAAAAGACGTTTCGCTTGTTTGTTTGTCTTTTTGACGATGTTTCTTCTTGAGAAAATTACGCAGTTTTTCAAAATGTTGACTTTTTGTGATTGGTTCTCGAATAAAAGAAACAGCAATTCGCTTCACACAGTACGACATAAGCACAGCACACCGTTCCTTTAAGTCGAAAACCACAAGAGCTCGTCAATCATTGTAAAACTAGATAGTTTGACGATCAAGTGAAATTCCACCTAATCCTCCACCATATCGTCATTTTCGTTAGGTTTCTTGATTGTATTTCTTTATTTATATCTACTTTTATTATCTTTTTTTATGAATGAAGGCGCAGGAATGAATGTCATGTGAATGAATATCTTAACTGTTCTCTAGCTCTCGGTTACGAAGGCAAGCATTGAGTAAATGAATGTAAGCTTGCGGTTTTTTTTCTCTTACCTTCTACTAAATATTTCCAACGCTCGGTTGAGTGTAAATTGTTTGCAGCTAATGCCATTCAGCGAAACTTATCTCGATAAAGTTTCTTTCGAACTGATTCATTTTTATTACTTTATTTTCTTACATATTTTTATGAATGAAACGAAAAATGAGTTGGTTTTGATTTTGTAAGATGATAATAATCGGTGTGGAATGGAGCACGAGAGATTGCTTGTTACACAAGCAAAACAAGAAAGCTAAGCCCCTCAACATTCCAATTGAATGCTTTAAATGGGAAAAACAGATCACAATCAGTGCAGTTTTTCGAGGATTTCCTCAAGTAGAGATGCGGGCAAAAATTTTTATCGCTGATTGAAACGTTGTGGGTTGAATTTATGTTTCTTGAATTAAACATTCAAATTCTTCTTTTTTTTTTTTCGTTATTCAAGTTTCAATTGAAATTAAAATTGAAGGAATTTCGCAAGGAATTTTTTTCTTTTTCAATCTTCGGTTCAGGATGATTTCCATAAACCTGCAAAGAAATTTATTCATACATCAGCATAACAAATAAAAAAAGTAGCGAAAAACTGCTGACTCGAGCGACTATCAATTGAAAAATTGACATTTCCGGCTAGTTACCCGGCATCACTGACAATATTTTTTATTCTACCCATTTGTAAAATAAAATAAAACGTCGTCCATTGATGAATTCTTTTTTTCGCATAAATTGGAATTTGAATCTATCCAGATAACCATCTGCCGCTCCCAGAAAGACGAAAACACGAGGAAGAAGAAAATTGTTGATGAAGAGGCTTTTGAAAGACAGCAGAAGGCATTTTTACATCGCATTCCCACAACCAGCCCATGGCGGTTACACTAAGATTCGCTTTATAATTTATTGGAATGGAATTCTTATGTTGTGCTTTCATCTTTCGTAGATAATTTCTTTCTGTTTAATTCCCTTTTTTTTAAATGTAATTTATTTCCGAGTAAAGAAACAAAACAATCCCAGAATTCCATTCGTTCGGAAATTTCCAGTTTAATATTTTTATTAGAAACATTAAAAAATATTTCCGGATGTGTTCATGTCAAGGTCATGATCGTTAAACATTATTCATTCAAGATTGCTTACATTTTAAAACAAAATCAGTCTTTAGAGCTCAAAAGATTTCTCATTTAATTATGCACATAATTATGAATTTATCCTCGCTAAACAATTGTACAACTTTCATTCTCAAAGATGGATAATTGATGTTTGTACATACGTAACAACAAAAAGTTCATAAATCAAGATAATTTGAGCTTAAATTCCGTATGAGAAATAATTTAAAATTCCTCCTATTTCAAATTGGAATCTCTCAAGTGTACTCATGAGGTAGAAAAGATCAAGATTTCCGTTCCCGGCCTCGTCGATTCCATAATTGATTAATAGTATTATCCGGCTAACTTACTTACTTAGATACTTAAATGGATTTTCCCATAATAAGCCAAAGTTCTTCTCTATAAATAGGCCTGGACATTGCGTCAACAACTACCGTCTTACGCCACATCCGAAGAAACTTTGAAATATTTTTGACAATCATGTGTCAATTAAATTAGTGGATGAGTCGCGAAGTAGACGGCTAATGACTATTAGCTTGACCGTTTCGTAGCCTCGACATGGAAATTGACATGTTCCTCTGACACATCTTCTCTCTCACTTTGGTTGTCTGACCAACGATTCGTTCATTGCATCATACGATCATTCGCGTAATTCGCGTGAATACAAACACAGAAATTTCTGACTCATTAGTTGTGCGCGTAACACACGAAAAAAATAAATGAAAGAAGCAAAGTTTTGCTTGTTGAACAAAGATTGCGAAAGACCTTCAAATCCACTCGTAAACATCTCCTTTTTTTTGCCTCTCTCATTCATAGATTTCTTCATCCATTCATAAGAAATTTAGCGCGCAATTTTTTGGTATTAATAAAAACAAGCCGATTTTGGTTTTAAAGTAAATTGTAAACGTGCTGATTGAAAGTTTTGTTTTCTTTGCTTAAATCTCATGAATGGAAATCGAAAATTCATTCATAAAAAAAGAAGTTTTTACAACCTCAATTTATGAATGAAATTTAAGATTTTTACGGCTTTAATCCGCTTTAAGCTTGTGTTGGTGTCACGTTGTTTCTCTGTTGTTTTGAGAGACCGGAAGGAAGTAAAATATTTAGGCAATAATTGAATACGATGCCGGCATTTGCGTTTGTTAATAGTTGAATACTTCAACATCACATTGAAAACATTCATAACATTGTAAAGCTATCGAGAAAATGCTTTATGAATGAAACTTCGATAGGTTGTTGCTGTGAGTGAATGCTAAGAAAATGTGTTATGAATGAAATAACTCAAGCACAACCGTTTCCCCTTCCTAAAGCGCCTTTTGTTTCTTTCAATTTCATTCATAAAAATACTTACGCTAACAACCCCTATATCTTCCATCGCATCATCAGCTCACAGAAATAAAAAGCGTATCCGAGAAATATCTACGTCGTAAAAGAAAGAAAAAAAATAACACAGCAAAAATGTGTTTCCATGTTTTTTTTTTCTTTCTTTCCTCTTCGTTTTCATGAATGAGGCAAACACAAACAGATGTCAAATGATGAATGAAAAATAAGAGAAACGAAGGAAAAAAAAGAATCAAATTTACAACATGTAAGTGAGAGAGTGAAACAGAACGAACTTATCGACATGTAATGTTTATGAATGAACAGCAAATGTTGTTTTCGTTCTGTAAATGACAGCAGAAAAAGGGGATGAAATATGAATGAAACATTTTTGTCGTTTTCCTTTCTTAAAAATTTATTTATTTTCAGGAGAATTATAAGCGAACGGAAAAAGGTGTAAATGGCGGAAATGTGATGACGCCGGATGGAAAGTGTCCTGAATGAGAAATTTATTTTTATAATTTATTAATTTCCTACAATCAACTTATAGGATGGAGACGTTTCCAATTTGTATTTACAAATAATTACATGACTGTCGATTGAATTGGATGAATTATGATGCGTCATTTCCTAAAATCAGTCGGGGTCTGTTATGGTGAAAAAGTGAAGGGAAAAACGTGACCCGTAAATTAAAAGATTAGTTTGTTGAGAAAGACGAAAAAGGTCCATCGTGATGAATGAATGAATGAATGAATGAAAAAACGTAAACAAATATTTGTTCAGTAATCTCTAGCCATAGAAATGGGGTTCATCATCAACAACAAAAAAAAAGTGTGAGCCGGCTTGCTAATGAAACACTTCCGATCCCAAGAAGAAAAAAATGAGATGTTAAAAATTCGGTTCCGTTCTCGGTCTCTTTCCTCTTCTTTTGGATTATGGTTTCATTATACTTTTTTAAAAAAATAAAGTTAGGTTCCATAATGACACGATTTAATTGTAGACCCAAACAATTCCCATCCGATTTCATTATATTGTCGACTTCCTTCCTTCCGGATTTTGTATTTTCTATTTCGATAACTTCCACCGGTTCTTCTTTTCAAAGCCGTTCGTTTACTTGCTTGTTGTCATTTAATTAGACTTTTGAGTTTTCCTATGGAAGTCTCTTCGTTTTTGACAAATGTCGAGCCATATGTTTCTTTTGAAATTGTCCCAATTCATTAAACTTCCGATTTTAAGAAGGAAATTGAATTTCAAGTGCCATTTAAGGGAAAGGAAAAAGAATATAATCAAAAGGCGTTTTTAATGGGCGATCATATCGGAAGTTGTAAATTATGAATTTGAATGATTGGTGCATGATGTCATACCGGATGTTTCAAGTTTTGCTTATGAAAATTCCCACAAACATTTTGTCTAATTTCACTCGCTGATGATGCTCATTAGTGACACGAAATCTTCTAAGAAATTTCATATTTATGCTCGTAATGTCATGTCAATGTTTTGTTTTTCTCGTCTCTCTCTTGAAATTGAACCTTTCGAGTCAAATTTCTTTTCAACGAAACTTTAGCTTTTCTTGAAAATTGTAAGCATATTCTTATCGACAACCGGCAACTGGGACGTGATGTGATGAATGGCAATGATTCTCGAAACTCACAACAATTAGTGACTCGTGAAAGCTAAAATTGCGTTTTATAAAATGTAAATAATCATCCTCGCACCTCCGGCTTCACAAATACGTGATGGCATGAATAGAAACTGCTTCTTCACTATTTTTGATATTTATTTTTTTATAAATATGCTTTGAAATGTATGCATAATCCTCATAATTATCAATTCACATACGTGGATTACGTGTTAAAACTTTTATGGCGACAACTTTTTAAAAATTCATATTGAAGTGATTTTTAAATCTTTATAAAGAATTAATTAAGTTATTTCAATGCAAAATTCATTCTGTTAAAGGCCACAATTGCATTATTTTACTTTCGCTTCGATATCATTGTTATAAGCGTTAAGTGTTTTATAAACTTCACATTTAACAACAGACATTCCAATAAAAGTTTACCAATGACATTAAAGTGTATTTACCTCGCTCACTTTAATTAAACTCAGACTGCATATCGCTAATTGAGGAATTTCACTTTTCAGTATTGTTAACTAACAAAATCTCACACTAGAATTTTGATTTATTCTTTCCATTTAAAAAAGTAATCATTCGTTATCAGAAAGATTTAAAAGTCAACGAATGAATTTAAAAAAGTGCCTCAGTATTTGATGTATGATAATACAAACTCTGATAGTAGATGAAGCGTGCAAAGGCGTCTCTTGACACATTTTTTGTTGTTGACACAGGTGGATTGCGAAAAAAAATTCTCTCCAAAGTTCTTACTACGTTCTTTTAAAAAATGTAACAACAACGAATTCATCAACGTCTTAATGAAATGCCATTGTGGGCTTGTAGACGCTTGGATTTCAGGAGTGGCTTCCATTATGGCTTCGTTGTGTCTATGAAAACAGAATATTTTCGCATGACTCTTTCTCTTTATTTTTCTTACTCCTTCGCACTCTTTTTCAATGAAAAATGTTAAATGATCAAATAACCCAGGGTGGAATCAGTATCACACCATTTCCTTATCAATATTGATTTTGATAGAGATGGAAGTAAGAAAGAAAAAAAAACTGTGTGAAGCTTTTCTTTATGAAAAAAAAAACTTAAAATGTAAACATTTGATGGAAGTGTAAATATTTGCTCTGTTTCGAAACGTGTTTAGTTCCATTAAAAAATAAATTAGTCGACATCTTTTCATTTCTTTTTCTTCTTTTAATCGCACACACAACTTGTCTGCGATTTTATTTTCGTTCCAAACATAGAAGATTTAAACATTCTAACAACTTTGTTGCAGATATTCTCAGAATGAAGACATCAAATGTATACATCAACACCTAATTAATATAATTTTTTTTTGAAGTTGCAACAGTTTAATAATGCGGTCATTTCGACACTGTCACATATTTTTTTCTTTTTCTTCATCTGAAACATGATGCGAGTGAAAAAATTTGAAAGAAGAAGTAGATAAATTACGGATAAAATTACTCATAAAATTTAATTACAAAGTAGTCGACTTCACTTGAAGAATCGCATAGACGACATTGAAGTGTCCTTTAACTCGATAATTAAAGACAAAACATGTTTTTATATCTAGTCAGAGTGAGTAGCAGTAAACGAATATTAATTATAACCAAAGCTTTGACACAAAAAGCTTAATTGGAAGGAAAGATGTCTTCGAGTGTTGAGAAAGCGACAATAAATTAATACAAGAAAATAAAATTTCGATTGCCGTCATCGTGTCTGACGATGAAAGTATTTTTTATTTAGTTTAATATTTTCAATTTTTTCTCGATGACAAGCTACGAAAAATTGTTGTTTTTTTCTTTCAAATAAAATAAAGTTTTTTGATGATGAGCAAACAGTTGGAATAGAAATGTGTTTGCTTACATTTTTGTCTTCATAAATTTATGTATTCAGCGCTTGGGCTGATTGTAACGAGCGTTTGGGCATCAATTTGGAAGTCATGTGGGTTTATGTGTTGTTAATGATCACAAGCCCGTGAAGACTTGATTAAAATTAATCAAGTGCCTTGTTGAAGTTTTTAAAGTGATAAAAAAGAGTGTAACTAGCATATCGCCGTATAAGGTGTCACTCAATTGTCCTTAAAATGTCAACGACTCTCTATTACATTTGATGACAACAGCCCAAGCCATAAAACAGCAGAGAATGCTTTACTTGTAATGCTTTGAAAGTGCTATAAACGTTTCTGACATAAATGGATTGAATCCCACTCAAGATAAAAAAATAATCAATAAATTGCAGTTTACTACAGTGGATGGTTTAATAATAAAAACTAAGCTAAGAAAAATGAAGAAACAAACACAACAACAATATTTTGTATAAAGAGCGCGGGCGAAAGAAATTTTTTTTATTCATTTTAATTTCGTCATTTGAGCAGGCGAGAGAGCTCAACAATTTTATAAAAATTTAAATTCGAAATTTAAATATTTGTCGCCCTCGGGGATTTAATAGCATTAATATTATACGTACGAAGCTTTAATTTCATTTGAAATGCGTGTGTGTACAATGAAATGGAGCAGTATCGATTTGCAAAGCAAAGTGCCTGCGAGAAACGACGCGTGTTTCTAACAAAGCTATTCTTGTACAAGCGTTGATTCATTCTTTCGATTGGAAAACCCGAATTGTTTATAGAATTGAAAATATTGTTTTTCCAGAAAGAATATCAAACACAAGCTTCCGCAGATATTTTTTCTTAGGACATATAATAAAATTACGACTTTTACTGAGAATTTCTATTCGTCACTCGCAGTATAATTTAATTAATCTGCAAATGAAATCTTTGATCTTAATAAGATTCAGCGGTATCAAAAAAGATAGTGGCAGCGGTGGGATTCGAACCCACGCCTCCGAGGAGACTGGTGCCTTAAACCAGCGCCTTAGACCACTCGGCCACGCTACCTGTCATCAGATACCAATTCATAAGATATTTTCCTACATCAGAAATTGTTCTTGTGAACCTTATAAATTATAAGGTATTGGTGTGTGATCGTTGAAAGAAATTTGTTCAAACGATTCTTTAGTTTTAAAATAGATTTTCAAATCTCTCACACATAAACCAAACGAAACGACATTCACCGATGTAATCCGAAAAGCATAAGCGTAAAATGAATCTGAAAATGGAACGAACAAGAAACACACAGAAAAATGTGATGTGCTTTCTGCCGAAAGCAGTCAGAAGGTAGCGTGGCCGAGTGGTCTAAGGCGCTGGTTTAAGGCACCAGTCTCTTCGGGGGCGTGGGTTCGAATCCCACCGCTGCCAACAACTTTTTTATTTTTTTTTTAATTTTAATTTTAATTTATTTTATCTAAATCATTTAAAAAAATTAATTTTACTTTACTTAATTTATTTTTTAATAAGTTTGTGTGATTTTTATATGAAAATTTGTTACGTATAGGAAAAAGTGAAACAAAATTCCCTCGAGGCAAGCAGCCAAATTAATATACTTTTCAAGAAAAAGAGAACATGAAATATGCATACGATTATTACTGCCCATCCTCCAACTTCCGTTCTTTAATGGTCATAAAAATTTCCAGTTTACAACAAAAGTCGCCTTGTTGTTGGTAGTTTCTTCATTCAGAAGAAAAAAAAGAAGATGAATGAAGTAGAAGTCTGCACAATCCGTGGCCAGTTATAAATATTAAAAGTAAGAGAGTAAAACGTGTTACACGTTCACTGCCCATTCAGGTGTCTTTAAACTAGTCTCTGAGTTTATACACATTGCCGTCTCCTCATAATAATTTCCATTTTATTAATGGGCTGCTGCAATTGCATATCGCTTAATATTATTATTGCCCAGCCTGCATTTGGAGAGAAATTATAATAAAAAAAAGCTGTGCACCGACTGAATGAGATTCAAGATAACTCAAATAATTTATATTTTTTTTGCTTCGAGTTGTGTTTCTTCTCTTCCGTACGGGATTTTTTTTTATTTCATGAATGAAACGAGCTAAGCAACAGAAAGCAAGCAGCAGCAAAGCCGGCGACGTCAGTAACAAAAACAAAAACTCAATTCACAAACGATTATTATGTGATGTTGCAGGCAGAGATTTCTTTCCTTTTTATAATTTTTCTTCGTGATATTTTTAGCTTCGATACAGCTTTGTAAGTCAGTTGTTTGCATACAAAATTGGAATGGATTTAATTAAGCTACTTGCGTTCGTACGAGAACATTGAAATTGCCCCCGTTTGTGTGTTGTATCATTAGAAATTTGAAATGTGTGGGCTGCGAATATTTGAAGTGGCACCGAGCGAATTACATTTCAGTAAGCATTCTGATGATTCGATCCGGAATTTCAATATACGCCTGTGTCATTCGATTGATTTTATTCGATAATATTTTAAGTCTGGACAATGCTTTCTTGTGTCGTCTTTTTATATTTAAAGATCACCTTTCGATAAAAAAAGAGTTGTTTGAAATGGAATAAATAAGATGAAGAAGAAAAAAAATCGATGTTTTGGGATTCGTTTGGGTGCGGTTATTGTTCGTTTGACAACAAGTTGTGTTGAGAATGCGTCGTGTTGTTGTGGGTTTGCTTTGAACGAGAAAGAAATCTTAATTTCGCTATTTGCTTGTGATTTTAAGATTTTGGTGACGAAACAAGCGCTTCTAAATGAGTTTCGACGTAATCAAAAAACATGAAGGCAGTGAATTCAGACTTGGACACAAATTTGTATTCCTCTCGTTTGACCTTCATTAAACAAATCATAAACAGCAACCAATTTGAGGTTTTTGTCGTACGAGTTTTTACCTACTAGGTAAAACATGAGAGCTCAAATGCATGAAGTTAATGGCGAGTTTCAATTGCATTTGCGGTGTCGAATGAAATAAAAATAAAACCACTTGACTTGAAGTCTGATACTTATTTCGATAACACGATTCAGATGATGACCATGGAGTTTTATTTCGCTTAAAACCAACATAAACAGATATTAAATAACTCGGTGGATTAATTCTCTGGAAAAATCTGTTTGTACGACGATCTTTTACTTAATAATTTGGCTGAAAATTTTTGTTTTGAAGCTGCCAATTAACCGCAAAGCGTGGAATGAAATAACAAACCATTGGTTACGTCGACAAAAAAACAACAACACCAAATAAAAAATGATTCGTGGCATCAGGTGGAAGCATGTTTGCTGTTTTGAAACATTTTAGTGTCACAATGGTTAAGTGAGACGAAGAAGGGAAAGCAAAATGAACCATTTCCAGATGGGATCAAATAGATAATTTCTTTAAGCTTTTAATCCTTAAACGACAATCGCCGTCTTATGTTGTACATTATCAACTCAATTTACATGCTTCTGTAAATGTGCAGTTAAGTGAAATTTAATGAATGAAATGTACGATGATTCAAACTAATTCACCTGCGTTTAGAATTTCTCTTTCTAAAATATTCCTGAGATAAAAATCTGCTCATGAAATTGGAGTATTCAGTTCCGATAACAAAATGAAAGGAAGATGCACTCAAAATAAAATTAAATAGATACAAAGTCCTAACTCCTAACTTATTTAGTTGTCAAAATCTTGTAAAATTTATGTTCAACTTTTTTTATGAATAAAAACATCTGCCTTCTGTCTGTCTATTGATTGGAAGCATTGTGGCTATGCATGATTGTCGAAAATTTCTTTTACACTCTTAGCTTATCTAACAAACTGAAGTAAAAGTTGTAAAAATTTCAAATATTTCGCTAGCGAATTGTTTTTAAAGTCAAAGATCAGAAAGTTGCATTCAAAACTCGTTGCTTTCGTTTCACATCTTGAATGAAGTTTAAAAATACTCCAAATCATTCAAGAAACGATTTTTATTTTATTTTTGTTGTTATTTTCAGGTTGTAAAACTTTAAAAGATGAAAATAATATATTTGCCGGATGTTAATTAATATTTCTCATCCAAAAAACCTCTCATAAAATGTTTCTTCTTCTTTCCCATTACCTCGATAAAAAAAGAAAGAGTTCTCTGGATGCTTCGACATTGGATATGGCTTTTGCTGTATGATGAACAGATAAACGTGGAGGGGAAGAAAGGAAACAAATTAACGTTAATTTACGGTAGAAGTTTTATGTTGATGTGAAATTAGCCACGAACGATGCTTAATATTTGCTCTTACCGGCTTTTACGTTCATTCATTCTTTCACTCATCTCATAAATACAATTGAATTGCGTTGTTGAAGATGCTTAAACACAGAAACACGAATTTTCAATGCGCGTGATGATTCTTAAAGGGAAATTGAAGCAAAGAACTTCTCGTCTTACGAAAACTTATCAAATACAAAACAGAAATCCTATTCAGCAATTTCGAAATTGCGACTTACAAAATAAAATCAGATATAGAAGAAATATTGAAACAACAAAATTAATATTAATTTTCCCCACTAAAAAATTGTTGATTTCTATGAGAAAATTACTTCATTTTACACACCGCCCTGGCACAACATCAAAATGATTTTAGATCTTAATGTTGTTCCGTTTTTTGATGTTGAATGAAATGGTGATGTTTATGGTGTGTGGGTGGCATTTGCTTGAAACATAAAACGGCGATTGCTTTTAATAGCACTTATGAGACCTGAGTTCCTTTCACTGTAATTTGACTTTACTCGCTCTAATATCAAATTAAATTTGACTTTATTTTTCTTCTTCTTTTCACTTTATAGTTTGAAGATCTTGGAATGGTGACGTCGATCGAAAGCAATCACAAAAATGTTCCACAAGCTCGTAAAGGTATGGAGGTGTGTATCAAAATTGAGCCGATACCAGGGGAAGCACCGAAGATGTTCGGCCGACATTTTGATGAAAATGACATGTTAGTTAGTAAGGTGAGTGAATTAAAAGAAATTTTTGAAATGAAATCTTCCCACAGTGGTTTACATTCAAATATCTACGAAATTTTTTTTTATTTATCAACAAAAACATGCCAAATGTTAATAATGTTGACAAATAGCTTCAATTAATGTCTCCCAAGTCTGGACGCATAAATATTTATGTTGCACATTCACATCATTTGAATTCCACAGCCATTTAATAACATTGTCTCGTTTAAACAAGAAAAACAGAATTCCGTTTCTCTGTTAAACGATAATAAATTCACAATTAGTGACATGAAGAGACTGGATCTTTCTTCTCATGATAAACCAACTGATTCTACGACAACAAAAAAAAAGTTTAATACAATGTTGCACAATGTTGCATTTTGTAAGAGAATCGTGTTGAATTTTTGTGCCTCTTCCATGTTTTTCCTCTTTCTGTGTTCGACTGAGAATGTTTTTTGGTTTCGCTTTTTTTCTGTATTCACAATAATGTGATTAATATGAATTAATTGTAATCATTTCGGGAATATCTCGTAAGGTTTTTTTTTATTTTCTGTGAGAATGAGAAAAGAAACTGAAAAGCAAGCAAGTCAGACATTTTCGCTTCATAAACGATCTTCCATACCGAGTATTACACCATCATAACGACGCAAAAAATCGAGACAGAAAAATGGTGAGAGAAAAAAATTAATTGCTTGATGTCATGAATTACGAAAAATTATTATGATCGCATTGCATTCGAGACGAATCTGAAGTCGCGCTTGGCGAGGGATTTGAAACAAGTCGACATTGGTTTGTTAGGCAATAAAGAAGCCTTCGTGACTTCTTCTCCACGTTTTGCTTATCAGTGCTGCTTATGTACATGAATTTATTATCAATTCAAAACACCAGGTGCTTCATCAGCACGAGCTCGTCTGAATATAAATTTTTTGAGATCTTACAATGTTGCAATTTCTGAACCGTTCGTTGCTACGACTCGAACTTGTATCTGATTCTGAAGAAATTTAAAGTCGTGAATTAATAATTTTCTGTGCTGCATTTACGATGCATTTCATGTTCTTAGCTCGTCTCTACAAGCCCTCCAAAAAATATTTTAACATGAAATTTAACATAAAAATTTTCATTTTGCCGGATATCTTTTCTTTATTCATGCTTTACAATCATCAAGGCTTCTTTTCTTAACTCTTATCTTTGCTTGCTTTTGACAAGTCTTTCTTGTTTACGATGCTTATTTTGAATGCGAAATGAATGAGAATGCTTATGATTGTGTTGTACATAAAGGGCCGTTCGCGTATGTCATGTTGTATTGAATACAACATTGTTGGGGTGAGTTTTATTATTATTTTTTCTTTCCTTTTTACTGATTTGAAAATATTTAAGTAAAGAAATGAACAACAACGAGGGAAATGAACTCTCTTTTGATTTGAGACGTTGTCATTTGAGAAAATCTGTGAAAGATGCGCTTAAAAACTTTCATTTGCATAACGTGAATGCAGAAAAAAAAGTATTAAAATGCTGCTCAGTTTCGTTTTGATTAATGCACATAATTTTTGTGTGTTCATTGACGACATGAGTTCGTTGGACTTTCATTGTTTGAACTTGATTGAATCGTTTAAATTTAGTTTTTTCTTTCTTTTTTCTTTTATTTTCGACCAGCACTTTTCGCGCTCGCTGGTTCCCGTAAGTTCATTGAAATGTGGGAAAAACTTTGTCCATTGAAGAAATTATATTCTCTGTCCATGTTGTCGCGTCCAATCGATCGAGATGTTAAAGAAGGCATTAACATTCAATCCCTCGCTCGTAACAGTCAAGGAAAGAATTCACAAACGACGTAAAAAAATAAGCATTTCGCGACAAAAATGGTCAAAACAACATTTCGAGATATTTTTAGAGCTCGGTAAAAATTAATGAACATGCCGCGAATCAAAGTTGACTTTTAACAAGTGAGAGGCAGCATCATGCTTGGCCGCAACAGATCTCTTCTTGTTTGATGGCGAATCACTTGTTCAATGTTCATTTCAACTCGAATGAAATTTATGAAAACTGTCACGTTGAAATAGTCTTTAAAGTAGATACAAGGCAAGCAGCAAGGGAAGGAGAGAAAGATTGAGACGTGTTAGTGGGCGGCATAAATGATTTTAAACTGTTTTATGAGGTATCAACGTTTAACTATCCATTCACACACAAATAAACTCTGACTGATACCAACCAAGATTTCTTTCCTTTTCTCTTGAATTTAATGGCTTCTCGATTGTAAACTATAAATAATTTATGGAACTCCGATTAAAAGGAACGACTCAAGAATGAATGATATTATTCAAATCACATTCTTAAGCTCTCGTTCCCTCGTTGTTCTGTTCGTATCCAAATCCGTTTTCATGATCAAATGAAAGAAAGAATAAAAATAAGAATTGTTTGTTTGGTGCCATTCAGCCGAAACAACTCAGAATTTCCTCTCGTCCATCGAAATTATTGTTGCAGCACCAGATGAAACTTGGCGGGATTTTTCCATATATTTTATTCTTTTTTCCATTGTCCAACAATTCAACTGATCCATGAATGGGAAAAAAGAGAAGAGCCTTTAAATGCTCTGCTATTGTTCTTCACTCGTAACCAATTTCTTACTTACGTTCATTTTTCTCATTTCTTTCATGCCACAAACACACAAAACACTCGAAAATGTTTCATTCATAAAAAGAAAAAAAACTTTCTGTGGGGTTGAACTAAAAAAAACTTTTGAATGGATGGAATTTTTTTCTCCCCAACCTCAGTCATCCATTCAGAGAAAACAACAACAACACCTTTTAAAGTGTTTTTCCTAATGTTGTAGAAATTCAAGTCGATAGGAATGTTTAATGATTTTTATTCAAAAGAAAGAATCGCCGGCGGGAGACATGTAACATCCTGGTACGTTTTTATGAATGAAATGTTTCTCTTGCGTGGGTGGATACTTCAAGTTACCTATGATAAAAAAGTGAATGATGAAGAACAGAACAGTTCTTCATCCTGATACATTCTGACATGTCGGAAGTGATGTGTGGGTGTAAAGTAAGCGAAGTATTTTTAGAACTTCTAAATAATGGATTTCATGTTTACTTTCAAAAGTTGCGCGAAACATTGTCATTTATGAGATAAATTCTTCATCATCCCACATAACAACAACAATAAATGCTTTTAACTCACTTTATGTCATGTCTTTGGCATGCGAACTCATTTGTGGGCTTGCGTAAGTAAAAAATTCATAAAATAAAACGAAAATTTTTCGTTGTCAATTGATCATGAAGCGAAATGTAAAAAGAGAAAATATAAATTTAAAATATTTCGCGTGAAAATGTAATCGATCGAAACGAATATTTAAAGAAGTATCCACTTCACTTACATATTAAAAATTATTATGCGAACTTCATCTCACTCCCACGTGATCCCATTAATTAATTTTTTTAAGGAAAAAAAATATAAATTTTAATCTCACATGTTTCAAAGAATTTTTGTTCTTCCCTCACTCGATGACCCAATTTGTTGTTGTTTTTTTTCTTCTATCGACGTCGGATCCGCATCATTATAATCTCCACACACATTTTTCGATCATATTTTTTATTATTATTATTATTTTTTGGCTTGACGAGCTTGATTATGGAAATGTTTTGATGGGTTTATGATGTGAGTAGAGATGATGTTTGCAACAAATGTTGATGGATGATCGCTAATTCCCGAAAATATAAATTCATGTCAAAGTTCAAAACATCTGGATTGTTTATGACTGTAATTGTCTAAAACTGATATTTCAGTGGTGCTTGTAGTAGTAGCGTAATAATAGAGTAGGCAGCAGAAAAATTGAAATAAATTTCCGATTCTTACGACTTACTATTAGAGGCAGAAGCCTCTGAAGCTTAACCGCAATCACCGACAACATCTAATTTATCCCCATAATGAAATGAAAGCTTACTAATCAAGTCGACGACATGATAAAATGGCGAAAAGCCAACGGTAGTCGCCTTAAACTGACCAGATGGTAAACTTAATTGGGTCGACTTCATTTAATTAATTGCTACTCTTTTTTTCCTTTTTTATCTCCTTTTGTCGTCGTTTTCCATTAATGGAGAAAATTAAATTTTCCGCTTTTCTATTTGACGTCATCGTTTCACGAAGCATTGAAGCTTTTGAATTGTATCGTTTTAAATTCTCGAAAGACTCTCGGTGAAAGCGTCAGAGAGTCATAAACCTCGATTTTTTATACTGTTTGGTGACCGAGACCAGCTAGATAATCATGTCAATAAATTTAATTAATTTCCTATCAACTTGCAAAATGAACAACACGATATAAGCTCAAATTTTTAAAGAAAACGAAGAAAATCTGTTGGAAATTCAATTAGTAAGTGAGGGGAGATGACGATGATGTCACACATCGAATTCTTAATGACTTTTAAATTGCAATTTGCGTGTGAAAATGATATTTTGGTCGTATCAAGTAAATAAATTGCTTTTTAAATTGAATTTATTTTGTTGAGTTCTTTTTTTAAAACCTATTAGCAAATGTCGTTTAATTTTCTCCACGCTATGATGTCATCATCTCATCGAATGAGTATGATGTCAATGAAAAAAAGTGGAAAAATGTTTTTCACGTTGCTGAATTTCATTGAACTTTGACGAGGGAAAAAAGAACAAAAAAAAAAAGTTTACTGCTTGTGATGAGATGGAACAAAATATGCGGTTGAAGTGGGCAAATATTGGTCGCCTTACTCTGACGTTATTTCTCGATTTCAGCAAAGGTTGTGACAACTTGACCATTTGGTGTTGATTATAGAAAAAAGAAATTTTGGGACACGAAAAACTTTTCCAATTACACTCGAGAATGACGTCAAAGATTCTTCTTTATGATAAACGTTAAAGCGAAATGAAATATTTGAGAATTCCCTTTTTGGGATTTTCCTTTCTTCGAACTTCGAATTGTTTCCAAATGAAATGATAAAGAAAGGAAAAAGATTCATTAATGGAAGTTTATGACTCATTGGAAATACCATCATTGGCACCTTTCATCCGAAGAAAGTGCTGAGACTTTTTGTTCATTATTTGCGGAATGATAAAAGATTTTATTCGACGACGGCTTGAGATTACCTGAAACATCTCATAATGAAACTCGCACGTGTGTTTATTTTGAAGCATCTTGTAAATTCCGATGGTGTTCGTATCTATTTAAGAAGGAAGACTTTTTTTTTGGAAATGTTTGCCAATAATGTTGATTGGACGACGCGACACTTCCCAAGTATGTAGCTCCCTTGATGGTGCGTGCGTGGGAGTTCATACGTGAAACATTGAGGCATACGTTCCTCTCCAAACTTACAAAAGGTTCAATAATTTCCACAAGAGGCGAGGAGAAATTCTCAAGAAAGAGAGAAAGCGAAATTTCATTCATAAATTTTATCACCCGCACGTTCAGCACGTTTCATGACAGCGAACGTTCTTGTATCGTTCCTTCTCTTTTCTCCACCCTCACCGCGCATTCTTCAACTCCATTCATAGAACTGAAAACAAAGAAAAAAGAAAAAAAAAAACTTTTTTATGAATGAAAGCAGCAAAAAAATTAATGAGAAGAACGAAACAGCAATAAATTCAATTCATTTGAATTTTGTTTTCCTTCTTCTTTTTCGTTTTTTGCTTCATTTGCCTTTTTTCTCATTCACAAGAATATTGACAGGGAGAAGACGAATTCATTCACTCGTTAGATATTCATCCATTCATGAATCTGTTTGGAAGAAGTTTTTCGATGCGTAAAAATGATTTCTTCTCTTTCCTTTCCCAATTTGTGGGAAATTTGAAAGCTTCTCGTCTCTGTTTACCGATTTCACTCAATTAAATATTGAGAAGGGTTAATGAGTCGAGCTGTGAATGAAGCTGACAGTCGTTTCCCTATCGTCCTCCTTGAAGAATTTTACTGTCATCATTCGACATGAGAGATGAAAAAGGAAAATTAATCACACAGTTCAGTATTTTTGGATTTGGATGTTTACATGTTCGTTGAATTTATATCTTTCTTTTCTGTGATTTATCATCGCAACCAATAACAACGACAAGAAACTGTTTTTCGGGATTTGTTTTTGATTCTCAACTGAAGAAACATGTATGAGAAGGAAGTGACATGTGAACTTATGGGAAATTTGTTTCATCTTCAAAGTGATGTTTCTAGTCGTCACTTCTGTAAGAATTTTACATCAAACTTCCAACATTCCCAAACTCAATTTAATTGTTCTTGTTATTTTTTCAAGTATTTCATCTAATGTGTCGCTCTTAAGTAAGAAAGGAAATTAAATTTAATTGAAATGGATGTCGACATTAATGCTTCTTCCTTTTCCCATTTCTCATTCAATTTATCGGCATGGGATTTTTCTTCTTTCCCCTTGTTTTGAATTAAATTCATGAGCATTCAATGTATGTTCAGCTAAGCTATCGTCTTAAATCCTTTTTTTCATTCATCTCCCCCACAAAATCCATCCTTCGTTCTTAAGAACTGTGAGAAAAAAGGATTCGTAATGAATCGACAATGGAAGCGTTAAAATTAAATTTACTAAAGTCGTTTTTCGTTTTCACTAAAGCAGAAAAGAAAACGGAAAAAGAGTTAAGAATAATAAAAAAAAAAGTAAATCATTGTGAAGCAGGCAGAAGATTAATTCAGAGATGGCAACAATGTAATGTATCGGAAAGGGAATAAAAGATTGGAAAGAAAAGGTTTTTTATATCTCATCTTCAATTATTCATAAAAATGAAATCTTTTTCTTGAGTAAATATTTCAATTGAATTTCATTCTGTTGTCGCTAGACACCCTGGCGGGGTTTCGTCTCTTCAACATTGAATGACAACAGTGTGAAAGAGAATTTCTTAAAATTGACGACTGATATAAAGAAAGCCCACGATCTGAGACAACTTTGTGCAACCCCCATGAAAACATCACACTCTCTTCACCTGAATAAGCGACTAAGGCTTCGTATTATTCAGTTTCCAGTGAATGTTGTTTATTTGGAATACCAGAGAATGGATGCGAACCAAGTTACTGTCTGTCTGTAGGTTGCTAAAAAGCTGATTAAAAGTAGTTGATAAAGACATTTCCTGGAGACGTTTTATAAATACTTTCGTAATATTTACCAAGAAATTTCTAAATGAATGAATGAAGAAAGATTTAATAGAGAAATTCCATCGCCACCCACACAAAAGAAATCAGCACAAAACTCTTATTATGTTTGTGCTGTTATTCGATCGTAATTGAAAGTATGTTGGGTTGGGAAAGTTTGCAACATTTCGATTCACATTACCATATTGAGATCATTTGCTCATAGCGTGTTTTCGTGTTTTATTTTCGCGTGCTTTGACGAAATTTGCTGCTTGTTGCACCCACAACTTCCTCTCTTTAAAATCTAGATTTTATCTGTTGCTGTGGAGGTTTCATGTTTAGATTCCAATTTCTTGAATCTTTCATCATTTCTTTGAATAATTCAAAGAAAATTGATGTGTCAAATGTTTGCTTGCTGTTTCTGGGTCATGTCAAACAGAAAGAAAGAAAAAGAAAATCTTCCAGGATTCGGAGCGCGAGCTTATTGACGTCATTCGGGTTCAATGATTTGCACATCCTGACAAGAATTAGGTCATCGAACTAGATGGAAAGTAGGTCGTCACCTTGACTCGTATGCGCATTACCTCCCACGCATCCAGACGGGATGAGAAAACAATGAACTGTCTTCAAGGAGAAAAATCGAGTGAATGAACCAGCAGGGGATGTTTGTTTATGTTTGTCGTTTTCTAAAAATAGAAATTTGGGAAAAACAGGAAAATTCAAATCAGGTCAAGGATTTTTATTTATTTTTACTCTGTTTTGTGGCTTGATTGATTCGATTGGCTTGGATTCAATCTTTGTATGATTATTTTTCAATTTAAAAATAGAACAAATAAATCCATTTCTTGATAAGCTCAATTTAGATCCTAAAATTGATCTTTTGTTATTTTTTCTTTTTTCTTTATTTAGATATCACGTCAAAGTATTGATGCTTGCAAGGATTACTTCCGTGATGATTTACTGAAATCCGATTGGGCTCTTATGGTTGAATTGAAGAAAGCATTTCAAATTCTATAAGCTTCAGTATGATTCGACAGTAACAGCAGCAGCAGCAGCAGCAATGAGCTTAAATGTTATTTTGATTTTCTTCTTTTTTTTTACATAATTAAAATCTGCAAAATGTTAATCAACTGAATTGATTCAGATCTTTTCTTTTTCGAAATAAAAATTCTTTGAGTTTTATAATCAACAGAAAATAAGAAGAATTTGTTTGAAATCTTAATTTAAGTTCAAATAGCTTCGATAAATATTTCAGATTGTTTACGGCACATCAATTTTACTTTCGATCATTCATCGTCAATTATAATCATCGAGTCTTTTGAAGCATTTAACGTTAAGCGATTCTTCGATGACATTGATTTTAAAGTGGCTTAACGTGTCCAACTTCTCATTATTCTTCATCAAAAAATTCCTCTCTAAAGAATGTATTCGAGAACAAGGCGAGGCAACAAAGTAGCGCGGTGATCAGTGAAGTAAAGCGGTTCAAAACCTTTTTTTAATGCGCTCTTCGGCACCTTTAGTGGAGCGATCGATGATCATAAATTCTCGATGGTAAGACAGAGAGCTTCAGACTTCATTATAAAATTCCATAAAATTATACAAAATGACTCTCAATGTTTTCTTAAATCTTTGATTTTAAAGTTAAATGTGAAGATCGTTAAACATCATTTAACGATTAACCCCAATTAGTTTTTATTTTTTTGTCATCAGCTAGGGAATTTATTACATTGCTTTCTTGTTCGTTAAAATCGTCTCAAAGCAGAAAGAAAGACAAAAGCAAAAAAAAAATTGAAACAAATAAAAAAATCTCTGCAGTAGCCGCACATTGGTAGCCTCGACCAAAGACAACGAGTCAAGTGAATGAGATCGATCGAAAGATTTTAATCGTTATAAGTTTTTTTCCTTTTAATTTCGTCTTATTGCCCTCTCGTCGAGAGATGAGATTATTGATGATGTTTTTGTTGTTGTCTATCTATCTATCCATCTTTCTCTCTCTCTTTTCGATCATAGCCTGGAAATAAAAACAAATTTTATTGCTACTGGTTTTTGTTGATTCCGAAATCGTTAACTTGAATAAGATAAAAAAAAAGAAAGCAAGATGAAAAATCATCATCGCTCGTTGCCCGAGTTCAATATTTTGTTTTATGAAAGTTCTTGTGGCTGCCGGTTTTAGGATTTTGTTTTTATTTTAATTTCTTGTTTTCTTCTTTCTACAGTTTCGTCTTTAGCGATCGTTTCATGTCAGCTTAAGTAAGTGATAAAGTAAGCGATTATCAAACGGAACTTTCCGTTTCGCCCCATTCAGAAGAGCGAAGAAAAAAGAAACTGCTGACGTCGCGGTGAACTTCTCTGCATAATTGATGATGCTTTGCTGCTGTGAAAGAAAATATTAAAAAAATATTAATCCTTGATCTTCAAGCAGAATAGAATAATCAGAAGACAAACTGAATGCTGGAGAAGCGTCGTAAAAGTCAAATTCAGCGTCTCAATAAAAGTGATGGTAATTTAAGACAACATCAAGGCAAAAGAACGAACAGGCTATGTTTGTATCTCTGTGATGCTTCTTTTATTCTTTACAACGATGATGACGACGAAGACGACGAAGACGCGCTCTGTTCAACAGATGTTTTCATGTTCAATGCTGCTGATCTTTTACAATTTCTTTCTTTTTTTCTCTGGGTAAGGCAAAAGATTTTCCATGTTTTTCTTGTCTCAATCTACGAATCAGTCGTGTGTACAAACAACGTACAATGTTTTATTAATGGATCGTCTTCCCAATTTTTTACACTCGCTTTCATTGCAGAATGAAATAATTCTTGGAACATAAATAAATGAAACCAAATAAACAAAAAAAAAGGAAGAAAGATTTAGAATTATTTTTACTGTGATGGATCGACTTGACCGAAAGCCGATGGAAGTTTGCGGTTGATTTCGGCTGAAAAGCTTTTCGTGACTCTGAAATTCTTCGTGTTGTAAACAGATGAGATTGGAATTAAATAAATCAAATTTATTATTGAATGTGTAACTGTTTGCACTTTGTCATTTGTTTTTTATTCTTGCTGATAAAAAAGTCGTAGAGTTTTATTTTCATTCTTGGTAATTTGTTTTTCATTTTCAGTTTAATTTTGCCGAGACATCAGAAATATGCAACAAAGATCCAAATATATGAAATGTAATCAAAGGTTTCAGGTTCTCTTCATGAAATGATTTTTTTTTGTCAAGTCTGCGATTGACATATGCTTATAAAATCGACACAGAGATTTTGATCTTTAGCTTTTCACTGAGCTATCAAAAATAAAAAAAAAACTTTTATCTTTATCATTTCTTGATTGCCTCAAAGCCAAATATTTAATATGACCAATTAAAGCTCTGAGATCAAATTTCAATCATACGCCTGCAACCAACAGCAGCAGCAATAAAGTTCAATTCTGAAGTTTTATTTTCAAAACATTAAGAGCATCAATTTAATTTCCATTTCATTGCTAATGAAACAATCTATAAATTAATTAAATTTATTCGAGCGCAAGAGAGTTGATAGACGAGTTTAATTAGTGATGGAATGAGCTATGCGAAACAATAAACAAAGGAGCCTCAATGGGAGACTAAGCAGTAATGTTAAATGTGACTCATTAAAATTAACACAGCAGAATATCGTTCGATTATTAAAAGTTCTTTTAGTCAATCATCAATTGAGATTCAATCACTTCAATTGTCATTATAGTTCAAAATGACACATCACCAAGTGATGAATAAGTTAAAAAGTTCATGTTACAACTGGAGTGATTAAACTTTTAATTTGCAGTTACTGTAAATTCTCAATTAGTCACATTCATCAAAGTTCTTTTTAATTGATGTCACACATGAATTCAATGACATTCCAATGACTTCACATATTTCACACTACATGCTTTCAAGTTCAAAATCATCATAAGTAAATATTAAAAGTTCATTTCGATCGAAAGCATGAGATAGCAACAAGTAGACAATTGACAATTGACGGTGTGATGATGAGGGCAGAGAGTTGACAAGTTCTCTGTAACTTGTAATTGCTAATAAGTATCGCGAAAATTAAGCTGATACTTATAGTCAACGAAGGGCAAAATAATAAAAACAAAAACCTTCAAATTGAATTTAATAAAAAAATTCAGAGAAATTTGCTGATTTTTATCATCTTTATTATATTGAGTGATTAAAAAATAAATTAATTAAAAGAACACAAAAGCTTTCGAATTAAAAAAATGATCTCATCACTCAACATAAGCCTCAACGTTAAAAAAGCATCACGAGCGCAAGAGAAATGAAGCTGATGATGACACGAAAATAATTACATTAATGGAAAACTCATACAAAAAGTAACATTTTGTTTGTTGAATGTCACAATTCACGATTGTCATTAGTCATGTTTGAATGAGAATGGATTCTACCGTACTTGCCATATTCAACAAACAAGCGACAGTTATAATTGAAAGTTTGTTCTACTTGCGTAATGAAACAAAGGAGAATAAAATGTGGAAACAAAAGAACTGCAAAAATGCTAATTGAAAATGAATTAATTTGAGTGAAATTCACATGAGAATGATAGCTGAAGACTTAATTGATTCAGAGTTAATTGGAATTTGAAACTGCCATGAAATTTTCACGCCATCAAAAGGTAAATTTTCATTCTTTCAAGAAGTATTTAAGAAACTTTCTCGGGACTTGACAACAACATCGAAAGCAAATATTAAGTTGAATTTTTGTACATTAAATGATCACAACGGATATCCGGAGTGGAGAAAAAAGGGGTGTTGTTTATTTTTATTATTATTGCCATTGTTAAAAATGTGCTGTTATTGAGCAGCGAACTACATACGAAAATTTTAACAATATAATGCCTTAGGTCTCTCTCTCTCTATCTCTCTCTTTATCTATCTCAAAAGCATCATTTGTTACGCTCGGTTGTGATATGATTTCATTTAAATCTCCAGCATCATCAAATTGACATGTGTGTGTTGGTTTATGTTCACTTGATGACTTTTGCAGAAAATTTACGAGCACTGCTGATTAAGAGTACCAATCGCAAAAGACTTTCACATCCTTCCAGACAGTGAGTGAGTGAGTGACTTGCGAAGGTGGTTACATTGTCACTTTAATCGAAAGAGCAGACGTTGACGAATTGCCGCTCGTAATATAAGCAAATGAAATGAAATGCACACCGCCCATCATCATCCCTTTACAGGCATATTGTAAAACATGACACGATGTGATTTAATCAATTTCCTTTCATTTAAAAATTAATCGATTCATTAAGCGTTGTTGAATAATGTGAAATTCCATTTTTGTATCCTGCAGGCCCTTTGTCGTTGTCATTACATTCCACTGATTCATATAAAAGGCGATTTGCATTTTACACTTAATGCCTTTGTCCGAGCGAGTCATTAAAGGAGCTGTCTGTCTATGGGAGGTGAAATCGTATTATTTATGCGAATAAATGCATCTTTGTTAATCGCTTTCCAATCGAAGTTGTTCAGCATTTTCTTTATACTTCTTGGAGCTTATTTGACTCATGGTGAGCCATAAATCGACAATGTGCCTGTAAGGCGACTTACCAGTGTAATGAGCTTTGAAAAGTCTGATTAATCGCCATTCGAAATTATTCAAAATGAAATTATTTATTTTCTTACATCCTGTCAATATAAACTTGTAACCTTTTCTTTCTATATCGATGTTCTTCACTTGAGCAAAGCGAGTTCATTTCTTTTTCTTGTGAATGAATGAACTTGAGGTAGCTGTATCAGATTTAATCAATTAAAAGTGGAGATCGTAACGTTTTATTTAAGTCAATAAGTAACAGGAAGATTTAAGTACAGAAATCATTTTAAGTTGTGTTTAATTGCTAGCCAATAACTTCTTATTAATTTTCTCATGAGAAGATAAATTTCCAGCATATAATTATCACGATTGCATCGTTTTTATTCATCACTACTCATATTTGTTGTAAGTGCAAACCAAAGAAAGATCTGACAATGTTGTATAAAATGTAACAAAGTTTTTCTCTGACAATAGCTTAAAGCAATCGCAATTAGTAATGAGAAAGGTTAGCACGACCCCGCTCAACAAATAAACGATAAAAGCACAAACATGTGGAAGTCACAGTAAGTCTAGATGAAACCACTTTCAAGTCAGTTTCGAGCGATAAAAAGTAAAAATAAAAAAGCAATTTGATATCTGCAACGGAAATGAGTTTTTCAGGCTGTGAAGTGATCGTATGACGTAATTTGCCCATTCCCCCTTTTATTATCTGACTCGATAAGTCTCCGTACTTAACGCTCTATTTAAAGCACTTTTAAGCACCCAAAGCATTTAATTGATAACCTTTATAAAAAACGATTGTTTTCCGGAAAGAATAATAAATTCATTTATGGCTTTTTTTTTTTCATTCATAAAATCTTCGACATTGTACGGAACAGAATATTTTGCTCTCATTAACGCGATTTATTGCAAACACTCTTAATCTCCACTTCACTTGACGCAAACTTTACGCTATCATGATAAGAAGTAAGCGAGGCAACGAATAAAGTATGAGAGAAGGAGAGAGAAAGAGTTTAAAAAAATTATACTAATCACGAGTCAAACTAGAGTGAAATGAGACTTTGGGCAGTTAATATACTTATCGGACCGGAAGTGGATTAAAATAAACAACAAAAAATTGACATCGATTTTCTGATTTCTAAGCTGAAATTCGTTTTATGTGGAATTTTTCTTTTCAGACGATCGGAGTTAAATAATTTGCTGCTTTGGCAAATATTCAACGATTAATAGTTCGAACTAAAAAAAATGTTTTCCTAGGCAAGATATATTGAGATATCGCCGCCAAAATGGCTTTAGCTTGGAATATAAATTTTATTTCAATGACTTCTCACTACACGACATAAGACAGTAAAGCAAACGTCGCTCGAGTCGAGCGCTCGAAAAAAAAAATCACTTTGAATAGTTTTTTGTGTAGTTTGAAACTTATGTAAATTTGCTTTTAAAGTGATTAAATTAATTCAAGTTTTTTTTTCCTTCTCTTCATCTGTGCTATGTTTGCACGTTTGCCTACACTCGATTCTGTTTTCGAGAAAACTCGTTTCTTACATGTTTCTTTGCTTGCTTCTTGGGGCACGTTATCGTCTCCCCTCTCACTTCCAAATTTCAAGTATTTCTGATCTATGCAATTATAACTTTGATGAGTTAAGGAAAAGTTTCCTTTTCCTTCTTGTTTTAAAATATAAACATTGGAGAATATTTGCAAACATATATCAATGAAATCTTAATGCAAATCCACAAGACTCTGAAGCAATTAAATTGGAAAATGGGTTCATAAAGTTTGAAACTTATTGAAATATTATTCTTTTCATATTACCCATAAAAAATGTTCAGGGAAAGAATTCATTCATTTTTCGAAAAAGCAACGACGACGAACGAAGAAGCATTCATAAAAAGAAATCATTTGAAGCGTTGTATTTGTAAAGTAAATAGCGAAGCAAAGAATATAAATAGAAAAATATATATAAATGATTTTTATGTACATATATATAAATATATATTTTCATTCATAAAAATCTCAGTTTTGTTTAAAAAACTTTTTGGCTGTGACTCTCAAATCTCGATAAACGGCACAAACGTTGCGACCAGGCATTGTCATCATTGTATTAGTTGTTTAAGCCTAATCTCAATGCCTTCTCTCAGCTGAGCTCATAATCTTAAAGAAACGAAATATTCACAAATTATTTTAAATTCCATTCAATAAATATCAACTCGTTTTTCTCTTTTCATATTTATATTTATGTAAGCGAAGAACAACTAATAAGCAAGAGGAAAAATATTGACAATTTTCTCGATTGAATTGAATTATATCATTTCCCCCATTATCATATTTTTGAGTTCGTCCACTCTTTCATTTCTGCTTTTATGAATTAAATTTCTTTTTTGGTATATTCGAATGTTTTTTATGTTTCGAATAAAATTCATTTTCTTTAGACACCAAGCAGTAGAAATGTATTCATATCAATATAAATTGATTGAGCGAAATGTGGTCATGAGGGGAAATTTCGTAGTTTGCTTTACGACGAGAGAGAAAAACGAAACTGAGAAAATTCATTCATAGATTTTAATGTTGATTATTATTACGTTTCGTAAGACTGCTCACAAAACAACAGAAATTTACCATCATTTTGAAGCGTTATTACAAAGCACAAAATATTTCATTCATTTGCTTCATTCTCTTCATCGAATAAAGTTTGAATTCCTGTTTGAATGTGTAGATTCAGAAATTTGAGTAAAGCATGAAACTTGCTCTTATTTCTCACAAACCTTTTCAAGCATTTCTGATCCCCACCATGTTTTCAACTTCTGCACAATTATTGCTACGAGAAATATTAAATTTAATTTTAATTATTATGTTAGATTAATTTCTGGTTAAATGAAGTTAATAAAATAATTATAAATAACTCTAATTATTTATTATAATGAACATTTAAGCTGAAAAATCTTTGAAAGCTGTAAATTTTATTAAGGTGAGGGAACTTTGCTAATATTGTTCAAAGTGCTGAGTTAGAGAGAGCTTCTCTCAGTAACTTCCATCATCGTTCACACATGCATTCGACGATGTTTTTTCCTCGTAGTTCATTCATAAAATATCTTTTGAATGGTGAAGACACATTTCTTGTACGGGACAGTGGATTTTTGTAAAAGAAAAAAAAGAAGAGAAGCAAATAAATTGTGTAAAAAAATGAATATATAAAATAAAAATTCATACGTCCTGAATGTGTGAAAGCGGTTTCAATGTGAAATTATTTTAAATATTTTTCTTGTGTTCCTTGCGATAATAAACCTGAGCGAAAATAAATTAAAATTCTCTCGAAAGTGTAATTTGGACGAGAGCTAAAGTCATAAAGTCATTTGTTCAACGTGTTGATCAAAAAAAGCCTTTAAATTTGTGAATATTTTCAAAACAGCAAATGAAATTTTACAGTAACAAGAGGAAACAAAAGAGAGAAAAATAAAAGCCGAAGGCATAAAAAAAATAAGGAAAGTGAAAATAATTTCACCTCGCAGCTAGCAAATGATGAAGCAAAAAGTAAATGAAATGCAAGCGAAATACAAAAAAAACGAGAGCAAGTGAAAAAGGGAAAGAAAATATAAAGCAAAAAAAGAAAAATTTTTGTGCAGTGAAAAGTGCATTGAAGAGAAATTTTCACGCGAGAAAATTCATTTGAAAATAAAAGAAAAATTATTTGTAAAGTAAAGTTGAGAAAATAAAAATTCCTAAAATTTGTGAATTGGATAATTAAATTTAAATTTAACATTATCACGTCAATGAAGTGACCGCAAACAAGCGAAGATCAACTGAGGAAAAAGAAAGCTCAAAGACACGAGAAATAACACATAAATTTCTGGATTACGATTTACAACACACCTAAAAAAGAAACAAAAATAAAACGCGAGAAAAATTTCGACTTGCTGACGGATTAAAAGTTAGAGAATTAAAAAATATACTGAAAAATTTAAAATTCTTAAAAAAGAACTGAAAAAAGAAAAGAAATATCAATAGCAGTCTCTTTGTGGATTATTAAGGTGATAAAAGTTGGTGGTTCAAAACGCTTTTTATTCAACGAATCTTCATCGACAACACGCCGGTGAATTGCTTATAATTTTAAATGTAAGTACAAATAATAAATTTTAAAACTTTGAAGTACGCCTCGCGGTTCCGACATGATTTCCCTTTGATTTCTTCACTTCCGGCGTGAATTTCCGTTACAAAACTCTTACATACAGAAAACGGGACTCTAAGCCTCGACAAGCGATCGCATTCAACATTGATTAATGTTTGTTCGTGGCATGCCCCGTTATCAGTTTGCCTTTTGCTGTTTTTTCATAAAAACTCTTTTTCTTATCACAAAAAAAAGTTCTTTAAATGAAAAAAAAAAAATTCCAAAGCAAATCTAAACATATCCGAAGCATACAAAAATGTGAAACATAAACGCACGTTGAATTGAACTCGGCTTATTATGACTCTAAAAACGAAATGAAACTATTTCTCTGCAAAGTTAAGAACTGTCTCGAACTGTGAGCTGTAAATGTACACATTTTATAGTGAAAATAAATTGATAAGGGAAAAAGAAACGAGATTTACGATAAGAAATGTTGACATAAAGTGTGAAGGATTTCAACATTGATAGCTCTACTTTAGATGGAACTTTTTTTTAACTTTGAAGTTAAAGTTTCATGAAATAAAAATGACAAAATTTGTCGTTTCAATTCAAATTTCAAATGTCATTCATGCGAAGTAAGCTAAAGAAAATAATTCCAAACATAAAAAAGAGAAAAGAAAAACAAAATTTCCTTGTAATGCGATCATAAATTTCCTTTCATGAAACTTCCTCTAATGTTCTCTCTTTAAGCTTGTAACTCTGTCCTCTCATGAAACAGCGAAAGGTTCCATTCGCTTCACATTTCAAAAATAAATAATTATAAATATAACATCAACAACACATTGAACTGAAAATTTATTGAATAAACAAAGTTTTATTGATAAGAACCTTTTTTAAATACATTTATGGTTTGGAAATTGTCGAACGAAAGACGTTTGTTCATAATTTCTTGATTCAACAATCCACTGGAAGCACAAAACTTTTATTTTTTTTTGGGGGAACGTCAAGATGTAAATTTAGTTCTGAGACATACACACATATCTTGTGTAAGACTACTATTCAATAAAATTCGGTTCATGAAAGAAAGTAATGACTTATTAATGGAGACATGACGACGGCAGAATTCGCTGACTTGATTATTCCATTTGCTATGTGTGAATGTATACGATTTCTTTATCAAAAAGCGATTAAAAAACTGTCATAAAGTCACTTTGAGGCAATTGCGGGAAGCAAGAGAAATGATTCGAATTATGCTCAAAAAGTGGAGCAAAGGAATTTGTTTATTGTCATGATTTGCCGGTCTTACTCATCATGCCAACTAGTTTTCCCGCCCTTCACAGAAAAACACGTCGACTAAGCTGTGAAACTCGAATTCTAAAAACTTGAAACGCTTTTTTTTCTCCATCAAATTCCAGTTGAACAAACAAATTGGTGGAAGGAATGATAATCACATTGCCTCGGGAAGTTTTTTTTTATTTCTTTGTCGTTTGTCGTCTTGACGAGAAGAGAAGCGAAGAAGAATCATGAACTCTCACCTCAGCAATGTTTTGTAGATTAGACTCTTTAATAACTTTTCATGTACGAAATAATTTTTGTTTTTTTCTTCTTTAATTCACCAAAAATCGAGAAGCAAAATTAAAAGAAAAAAAAAACTTTAAAAACCTAAACCGGTTCGACTGGAGAGAGAGACGAGGTTTCGGCGGCGGAGCCGACTACTTCCTAATCGTGATTCGTCCCGAATAATAAAAAAAAAACAAATGTATAATAAAAATCGTCAAGCTACAGAATATTTCTTGACGAGACGTCTTGAGACGACAGAGAAAAAAATTATTTAATTTCTTGATTCTCTTTTTAAATACGAACCCGATTGGAATTTTTCACATTCTTGAATACGATCTAATCACACCAAAGACATATTTATTAGGTATATTTCGGCGGATTAAGAAATAATTCAAAGAACTCTAGCGATATTAGCACAGAATATTAGTTTTCTTCTTTTACATTCTAATCAGATATTGACTTCAATTTATTGACGTAGAATTTTAAGGAAATTCAATTTAATTGATTTAATTTACTGAAAAGTATCAAATTTAAAAAACTTTTTATTTTGATTGACTTAAATTTATGCTGACTCGAAATGACTGAATCTTTTACATTCATCATGTTTAAAAGGTAAGACTGAGTATGACACAGAAAAGCTCAAACGCTCGAGATTGAGTATCTTACAATCGCTTAATTCAATGAAAAATATCTCTGAATGGGATTTGAATATTATACGTGAAAAGTTGTAGCCCTTGAAAGCAAGCATCAGCTTGGCAATAACGATCAAGTCGAATGACGTAAAATAATTGTGAACGTGATCATACAAAGTGGAAGGATTAGCATTAAAGGTGTTGTATTTGTTTTACGCTTTATGGCTATCTACCACTTTATAGTGATTTTTTTTTGTTGTTTTCATCGTAAAATATGGATTTTAATTATTGATAAATTCTTTTCTATGATCAGTTGTGATCAAACGCCTTTCAAACTTATTTAAAAATAGTAAATTCTTTCGATTTTGTGGAATTATTGTTGTGGCGAGAATTTTGAACTGTTTAGCGGCATGTTGTATACATTTTGGCGAGTAACCTTGGCTCGTGTATTCGTTAATTTCCTCTGGCGCTTCGTATCCCCCCTCCCCATATGCTTGTTATTTCGCAGTCGCTCCTGTTATTTGTATGTGTTTCTGAATGTTGATGCTACTGCTGATGTTGTTGTAGAGTCAAAAATAGCGCCACTATAAATTCCAACCGTGAATAAAAAGTGCGCGTGAAAACCTGAAATCTGTGCGAAACGAATTTCTTTGAGCGTTTGTAGATCAAGCGCTTTATGACTTGTTACAAGTCACTAAAGGTTCCGCCAGCTTTTTTTCTGTTTCATTAAGTCAAATGAGTAGCGAACGTTGCTGGTTTGTTTCCCATCGTAGAATCTATTTTTGAAATTGAATCAAACAGATTTGCGTCAAAATAAAACACAAGGTATCATGAATTAACTGAAACCAAACATTTCATTCAAGATCAGACATTGAATGAAGTTTTTCACAAAGGCAAAGCACTTGAAACCTCTGAAGAATCGAGTTACTTTCTGACGGTGTTGCGTGAGTTTCACCAACAAAACTAAAAAGTCCTAAATAGTTATCTTATGAACATTGAGAAATTGTTGAGTAATTTTCAAAACATGAAACTTCAAAGTATTCGTTGTGCCATTTTAATGAATGAAATTTTGTTGTTATGAATAGAGGTCAAAGGCACGTTTTGACTTCATAAATTTAGATGCACGATCTTTGCCTTAAAAGGGGAAAATTAAATACATTGAACTTTTTACTAAAATTAAAAAAGAAACTGGAAAAAAATTTAAAGGCATTGAACTTTCAATTAAATCGATTTTTTGATATTTAATGACTAGAAGCAGATTTTTAAATATCTATGGATGAGTCAAGCGACACAAAGTGAATTAAAACTGAAGCCATTAAAAAATACTCCACTATGAAAACAATTTAAAATTAATTAATTTTTAATGAATTTCAATTACTTTTGTTATTGTAGTCTGTAACTGTCAAAAAGTCAATAACAAGCAATCATGGAAAGAGTCAATTTTTGAGGTATTTCAAAGAAATAAATGTCAACTAATGGGCTTCGCTTCAATGCGTAACAAAGCAGTGGAAAAACTGTTAAAATTCCCGTTGATTATGACGTCCTTGCTTTCGATTAGGTTTTTATTTTGAATTTGCAATTTTCCCTCTTCTGATATTCCCAGATTTAAGAAACAATTCTGAAAATGAAACACAAAATTTTGAATTGAAAATTAAAATGTAATTTTAATTACAAATAGGAAATAGATCAGTGAAATAATCTTGATGATTGTTATGGAAAATTCTCATTACACATTAGTATATTTCCTTCATTAGTTAAAACTGTAGTAATTTTCATCAATGAAAAAAAAGCGAACAAGAAATAGATTTGCTTCGATTCAATTGCCTTTGTTTAATGTATGAGAGAAATAACTCACACTAATAAGCTGAATAGATAGAACAACGAATGCTCTGTTGTAAGATGTTCTCTTTATTACATTTTTTTTTCATTCAATATTCAAGAAAACACGTTTCAACCATCGTCCGTGATTCGAGTTGATGATCATGCGGCGGTCATGTGCAAGTATGTGTGAAACAGGAAAACGAACACATTTATGAAAATCAAGCAAGCTACACGAATTCATTGAAGAAATCATAAACTTTGTGTCGGATGGAGAAAAATTTCAACACACGTGAGACATCTCACTCACTAACACTATGACAACAGCATTCATAATCGTCACCATGTTCAATTCTTTCATGTTCATATCAGATCCAGCGATTGCTTTCCATAAACAATGATTGCTACTTATTAATACTATTGTAAGCTCTCATTTGAAATTTCTATGAAACTCAATGAGTTCCAGAAACATCCGCATTATATTAATGCAAACGAAAACTTCCTTCGAATCTGTTTCTTCTATTTTTATTTAAAGAAAGCAGAATGTTCACACGAAAAAAATGCATTAGAGAGAAAATAAAATCAAAAATTCAGTCGAGGAAAATAAATTAAAATTATTGCTCTAATTAATGAATAATTTAGCTAGTGTTTTACATTTTGCGCGCGATGAGAATTAAAGATGATCATGATGCAATCTCCGCCGCGCGGCAGTTTCACCGCATATGTATGTTTCACATATGTTAGTAGACGTTTCTCTTGATCATAGCCTTAACGATGCTTGTCTATTGGAGTATAGGAAAGAAGAAAAAAATAAAAGATTAAAAATTTTGAGCGAGAAAACAACTGAACGGCATGAAATATGGCAACGCTGCATCAACGCTAATATATGAAAAGTTTTTACTAAGAAGCGCTTCTGGTTTATTTCAAACTTGGAAATTCTTCCAAAAACTCCGCATTTTGCTTTCGATTTTGCGAATTTTTCCGTTTTGGAAAAGTCATAAATAACTTGAATTTGTATACAAAAAGCTCAAAGCATCTTAAGCGAGTTCTCGGCTGTGGGAAAGTTATGAGGTTACGCAAGAGAAACACAAGTGAGAGAAGGAAGAGATATTTAGACATCCGAAACGGGAGAAGCGTGGGTGGAAATAAATATTATAGTTTTCCAAACGATTCGTAAGCTTACGGTGTTCATTTTACACCACTGCACTGTTAGGTTTCGAATTTGGAATCTTGAATGCTTTTTTAAAAACTAGAAGAAAGTTATTTCAATATAAATCTGATAATAAACACGCCATGATCCTAATCATTGGTTTCTTAATCGCTTTTACGACTTCAACGTCGACAACAAAACGGACTTTTATTTCTCTTCTCATACATATTCAGGTTATTGGCAAAGACTTTAAGTATTTTAATCAAGTAAAATTAAAAGGTATGAACGAATCAGAAAATGCAAAACTTAGCAAAAACGTAACTCAAGTACTTCACACAAAAATCACTCAACACAGTTATAAATTATTGTGATTTCAATTTCAGCTCGATCTTCAATTATTTCTGATGAACATCAATAAAAACAGAGATTTTATAATAACAACGAGTGAATTTATATGTGAATGAAATGCTTATAAAAAAGTACACACTGTCCTCGCCCTCTGCCACTCAATTTATACTCAAATAAATAATTTCACAATTTATCTTTATTTCGCTTGCCCATGAATGTCATTGATATTTTTTCCACCTCGGTCTCCGACTCGCTTACTGATTGCTGTGGAATATATTTTGGACTTTATTTTTTCCTCCTTTATTTTTCCTTTCGTTTCGTCAATTGACTCGAAAATAAAAAGTAACGAATTCGAATATTTCAGCTCGATTTGCCAGTTTTGATGAATTTCCTTTCAGGGCTTTTCTGCATTTCTGATTCTCTATCTCGCGAGATTTTTGAATCTTTTTTTTGTCGCTTGCCTGCGTGTATTCGTTAGTTTTACTTTTACCTCCCAGATAATTGATCACCATTTTTGGTTACAACAATCGATTCGATTCAATTTCTTTTCTTGACTTTTGCCAGCTCATTCGAGAGTTATTTCACTCCAAAAAATAAAACTTTTTAATCGACACATGGTGTGTGCTATGCCTTTAAAAGGCATGAAGAGACCCTTTAAAAAGTCGTTCATTTTAATTTCCTTTTTAAAAGCATGAATGAAGAAAGATACAAAGGTAATTCATTCATAAAACTAAAACTACATAAATAAGACAAAAGCCACAACGAAATTCGTTTAAGCTCGCAAGTAAAACTTGAAATTATGCAGATCTTTTATGAATGAAATTATTAAACACTTTGCGAAAATAAATATAGTAAAAAAATAAGTTATTCTCGTTAAGAACGCATGAATGCAAGTAAAAGAAAAAAAGAACGACAACTTAAACAGGAAACACGCCATTTTCACTATGGAAAAAAAATCTGATCTCTGTGGAGAAATGGAGCGGGAAGAAAATGAGAAAAAAACATTGAAGCCGAGTGTGTGGAGTGAGAAAGAAAACAAATTTAGAGACAGGAAATGATAATTATAAAATATTCATTTCCTTTTTTTATGATTTGCGTTTATCAAGCTTTGCTGTATCAAGAAATGAATGAAAAGCTAATGAGTGAAGCTCTCACCTGATAAGATAAAGAAAATATAAATAAATTCAAGCAATTTCCTATTGATAAGTCATTTAATCCAACTGAGGGTACTTGACTGATTGCGCCCACATTTAAGCCACTTGAAATGCAATTTCTACTCTTTACTTTTACATGAGCCTCACACTCAAGTTGAATATCTTTACAGTTTTCTTGTTCTAAGATGGAAAACTTTCTTCTTGTTTCTGACACCCACGCAAGTTTCTATTTTAAGTAAACCCCGACTTGACTGAATAAATGATGAAGATCTCGACTTTTTTGGATGATTTTTCTTTCACTTCCCGCCTTTCACATTTCTCTACAGACTGGAGGAAGACGTGAAAATCTTATTTAGGAAAAATATTCTTGATTCGAATGTTAGGCGTGAACGAGAAATTGCTAAATAGCTAAAATGTCCTTCAAACGGAAAGTCAGCCTCAACAACATCAGAACAATTCGAAGGCCATGAAAATAACAAGAACAAAAAGAACACATCTTCAAAGATATTTCCATTCAGCTTTTCTTCTATTTTCGGCATCCGAACGAGATGGAAAATACTTTTCCGAGAAGAGAAAAAAGAAACTTTTCATTCATTTATCTTCATCGTCGTTTGTTTTTATTGGACTCACATTCCGCCTACGCTTCATTCACGAAAAAATGTTTCCCATTCCTCGACTGTGTCGAAGAAAGTAGGAAGAGTTTTTTTTTTCTCTAAAAAGGATAAGACAGTTATTGCGTGTGTATTTGAGTTTCGTTGTATGTTTTTGAAAAAAGGGGAAATTTATTCAAGGGTCGTATGAAAATATGCCTCAAACTTTTCCATTTCACACCCACGGAATGCGAATAATTTTTTCATTCATCAAATATTTTAATTTTCTACGAATTAACTTTTGTCGTCGTTGTCGTCATAAGAATCGATGATGTCATGTGATTAAAAGGCTCATCTCATCAGTTAAAGTTCAACCTTGACCTCGACACTCGTTTAATGTTTACCGTGCAAGTCGCTAATATGATTTTTTTTCTCAAATAAGTTTTGAATGTAAATCAAATTAAAAATTCTAGAAATGAATTGAAGAGAGAGGGAGATAGATGAAATCAACAAATTAAAGCTGATTAGCTGCGACGATGATGATGATGGCAAATCATTTGAAAAAAAAAAAAGAATTGATATGCCAACGAGGCTATTAAAGTGATAAAATGAGAGATTTTCTCGGCAAATCTGACACGTGAATTATTATTTAAGGCTACAAGGTTTGAGCTTGAGAGCGATTATTTATATTCGAAAAGATCAGCATCCAGAGAGTATCATTTTACCGGTCACAATATTTGTTAATGCTTTCTGAGACTATTTGAGATTATTTAGCATACATAAATATGACTGAAACAATGTTATTGATGAAGGTCGGATTGTTAAAAAGTTGGACAATTGGAATTTCACGAACACAAATGCATGTTGAGCATGAATCACTTCAGGCGTAGAGAATTCCATTCGCAACAATAATTTTAATCATGAATCGAAAGCGAAGACTTTCAGATATATTTCTTGCAGTCGAAATAAAAACATGAAAACGTCCAAAGAAGATCAGAAGAATCGTGCAAGGTTGATTTAACAAAATGAGGAATTTTCATTCTGCAAACTTCTTCTTCTAAGAATAATAAAAACGAAAACAAAAAATCGTTTGGAATTTAGGCCTTCAAGCTATCAGACGTGGATGAAAAAAATTGAATGCTTTCTTCTTATTCTTAATAACTTCCAGCGCGAGAATATTAGACTACGTTCTAGTTGCCAAAATTTTCACCTTACTAGTGCGAATGCTTCTCTCTCGTTACAAAACTTTAAGATCATTCGTTATTATTGTTATTATTAGATAATTTTAACATCCGCTTTTGTCGTTTTTTTTTCAACTTTTTTGTAGCTCTAGAAATTAGACGACAATTCACTTACACATACAGCTTTTCTCTCTCTCTCCCTCCTTCATCTCTTTCTTCATCCATTTTGTATCCATATTCTTAGTTGTTTGATTTTTAAACAGAAACATCTTCTTCTGATTCTGACTTTGTCGTATCTCTCAAACTCTCTTTATGCTCAGGCTGTCTTCCTTCAGTTCTTTTACATTTTGCTTTCTTTTGATTTTCCAAAAAAATGGCTTTGTAGAATGTTTTTCCTTTCAAACTTTTCCCATTCTATCTTCGTTGATTTTTTTTATTGTGAAGTTAAAACGTTATTTGAACGAGAATTGGAGACCCAACAACACACGCTTGAGAAATAAGAGAAGAAAAAAAACTAAAGAAATGTGACGACTATTCTGAGAATACAGGTTTCTTGAATCTTTTGTTGCTTCATACATAACTCTTCTTAAGAGTAGAAACTCAATTGACAGTTGAAAATTGGTTTTTTCTTTTCAAAACCAAATACCTGAAATTCACTTTATTCAAAAAAAAGTTGTGAAATATTTCATAACTTTATGATCTTTAAAAAATTTGCATAATTATCATGACGACAGTCATAAAATACTATTCGATGTCCTACAATCAAGTTCATTACCCTAGACATAATTTGTTCAGGAGAAAAGGTTTCACTATTAAAGATCATTAAAAGAAACAGTTGAAAGAATATGAGGGAAGATCGAAAATAATAACAACAATAAAAAAAATCCCCAGAATCTCGTCATTGATTATATTGCTTGTGAAAGAACAAAACGAAACACACGAGGAGAAGAAAAAAAAAAGTTAAAGAATGATGATGGAGACAATGAAAGAGCTCAACAGAGCGAAGAATGAAAAGGTGAAGAATTTCGAAGAAAAATCATGTCGTAAACTTCTTCTTGTTGCTTGCTCCCGGCAGCAGCAATGGCAGTAACAAAATAAAACATTGTTCTGTGAAGTGTTTTTGTTTTTGTCTTCTCTTGTACGCTCCAAATTTTTTGGCGATTACGCAATTTTCGCGCCAAAATAATCTCAAGAATTTTACTAATGACTTTTTTTTGTTTCTATTTGATTTTTTAGAAGTATCGTATCGAATGGCAGAACGAACCAAAACAATGACGAATCCTGGAGAGACACGACTGATTTTAAAAATACTCCAAGACTGGTGAAAGCAAGAAGAAAACGAAAAATCTTAAGTTAGGTCAAATCTTAAGTAATTTACATTTAAATTTTTGACTGGAAGCGCTTGAAGAAGAAAGCAAAAGAAATTGAAAAAAAAGAAGAAAATCATAACTTCACTCTGAAAATAATTTATCACTCTGCAAGAAAATAAAATCGTAAACTTAGGAACATAAGTGTACACATATGTTTCATGGATCGGCGAAATGGCGGCGATCCTTTGGCGCCTCCTCGGCCCCCTAAATTCCTGCCTCGAGTCCATCGACCACGAGCACCGGAACCAGACACCGTAGACTCGCCATCCATTCACATCATAAGCACACATCCTCCACCAATTCCAAGTCATCATCAACCCATTAGCAGAATGAATATAAATAGTAATAGTAGTTCCATTAATTCATCGTTAAGTTCAATTACGACCACAAGTAGTCATCGATCAATTCCTCCAATTCCACCTGCGACGGCGCCTCTTACACCTTTGCAAAGCTCTAGAAGTAATTCAACAGTTAGTACATTCTCAAGAAGGCGAACAGAGATGCCAACACAAAGAATAGCATCAACATCGCCGGCACCGTCAGTAACAAGATCACTTACACCATCATCTGTAGTAGCACCAGCTTCAAACTTCATTAGTAATGCAATCAGTACTGTTGTCGGAAGAAGCCCATCGCCGGTCAATAATAGCGTGACACTTCAAATACCTCGACCGGAAAATGAGCGTCTGCCGAATGAATATGTTGACACGCCATTCACAAATCAGAACAGCAACAAACTGACAACGCCTGGTAGTCGACATTCTTTAGCAACATCGACAGTACCATCTAGAAACCAATTAAATAGTCATACAACAAATATATCTACAATTGATGGCATTAGTGTATTAAATAATAATAATAATCTAAATAATAATAATATTAATAACAATAACAACAAAATAATTCTACCAAATCGAACTTCAGTGGCGGTGCGACCCAATCTATTACCGATCACTAAACAACCGTCATTTCGAAGTACGAGTACGCTATGCAAAAAAGATGCAGAGCAATGCAGTCATTGTCCCGAGGACAGAATCTTGAGTTCCCAAAATATGACCAACAATAACGGTCTCAATATAAATAGTGCAAATGATCAGTTTAATTCGATCACGTGTCCACAATGTAATCGATGCCGATGTGAGAAGTGTCAGACACCACGTCCACTACCCTCAAAGTGGATTTGCAATGATAATTGTCTCTGCTCAGCTGAAACAATTATCGATTCGGCTTCATGTTTGTGTTGTGTCAAAGCACTCTTTTATCATTGTTCAAAAGATCATGAAACGGACTTTGAGAGTCCAACGATCCGATGTGCAGAAAATCCATGTTCATGCGTTCCATACAAACGAGCATCAAGATGGGGATGTTTGAGTGTACTTTCACTGTTACTTCCTTGTCTTTGCTGTTATTGGCCAATGCGCGGTTGCGTTAGTCTCTGTGCAAGTTGTTATGCAAAGCATAGAAGACATGGCTGTCGATGCAATAATCTTTCATCATCGAGCAGCACTAACAACAGTTTCAACAGTCGACAAAATATTATCAACTTGGCAACACCAACTAGTCAAGATCATCCACCCACACACAATCATCATCGGCGTTCGAATAACAATGATTTGACGCCTGAGAAACGACTTCTGGATTCGTCGAACAGTGAATATTAAGAATCAAATATTTAATTTAACTTCAAAACTCCTACAAACACTTCACTTCGGGATAAGCGACTTTAACTTATTGTCGTGGGATTAATAGAAATGAAAATACAAACTCCAAAATTATTTATAAAACAAAATGCATATTAATTAATTTTAAACTATTTATGTTATATATTTTAGTTTTGAGAAAAGTTGAAGGAATTTCAGAAAACAAAAATAGAATTGAAAGTTCTGCGATGTCACGAAGAAAATATAAAAAAAGTTAACGTCAGGGATGTTTAATTTGACAAAAAAAAAGAATAAGATGCTTTTCTTAACTTATATCAAAATTCATTAATAATCTTAGTCATTGTCTTGGTGTTCAAAGCAAAAACTTTCTTAAACATCTGCCAAAACGCAAGCCGTTATATTTTCACTTTGATTTTCAACAAGTTTCGATGATGTTGACAGATATTTTAATTCATACATTAAATTAGATTATCATCAAAAGAAAGAATGGAAAACTTGCATTTTGAAATATTTCATATAATGATAATTGAATTAATTGATTTTTGACTTCTGAGTCAAAGAGTCGCGTCAAAGACATGTTGTAAGAATTGCTTAGGTTTTATACGATTGATTTGAGACATGCAACATATTATAACGAATTTGGAAGGGGATTTTTAAAGTGGTAGAGGGAAAACAGAATCGAGAATAATTAACCAAAGACTGCAACACAAAAAAAAAGTAAATAAAATGAATAAAAAAGAAATCAAGAAGAAAACGCATAAAAATCAATCCTAAATGAGATAATGAGGAAATAAGATTATTATGTATGCAAAAATGTTTCCTAAATAAGATGAAGTAAGCTGGCACACTTGATAAATATGTAAATACTAAATAACAACACAATTATGGAAGTTGTTGAGTTTTGGAGTATTTAGGAAAGTGAAAATATTTTGTATTTTTTTTTGTAAAAATATTTAATGAAAAAAGAAAAACAAATTTAATAAAATCTGAAATGATAACTGGTTAAGCTAGAAATCTTTACGATAGAAAATTCAAAAGTTTTCGAGTTTCGATGAGAAGTACACGCTATGGAATGATGATCTATAACTCTAATATTGACTTGGGGCAAACACGAAAAATTTTTCTTCTTAATTACCCAGACAGCTTCTTTTTCGACACACGATGTTGATTTTTACACAATTAAACAAACTTTCAATTATCACTAGCAACGATTGAAATTGTCGAGAAGGCAAGCAAGCAAAAGATAGAAAAAAATAATTTTCTTCCAATTCACGGGGGATTTTAATTTATTGTTTGAATTGAGTAAATATTTATGAGTTTTTAATAGATAATATTTCCAACAGTGTTCTATGCTTCTTAATCTAATTCAACTCGAAAGGAAAAAAAAAGTTTCTCCTTACAGAAAATGCAATTTTCAAAAATAAACAACTTTGTGATGTGTGAGTAATATTTATTCGCGATAATCTTACTGTTTTCCTCTCAAGCCAAAAACAAGCTTGTAAAATGTCTCGCGAGAATCGTTCGAAGACAGAGTGAAAATATATTCTTAAACACCACTTCCGCTTTCACGTTTTGTGCCCGCGCGCGTAAGTCTCATAAAAGTTCATTTATAATTTTTACGATCATAAATTTTGCTGCTTGAAATAAATTTAAGAACATTCACACATTGGAACAGACATACACGAAAAGTTTTAAGAAACGTAAGAAGAAAAATATCTGAACGATCGCTCAAGGGAATCAATGTTTCAGGTTTGAGCTGTAATTGCGAGAATGAGCGCAGATTTTATTAATTAAACATTCATCAGACGATTTCATCGGTTCCATCAAACAATTTTCTTTCACACTAGAAAAGTCGGAAAAAAATAGAGTAAAAATAGTTAATAGTCGTTCGGTTTTCACTCACCGTAACTGAAGAAAAAATAAAACATCTTTTACTGCTCTCCCAACTTTAAAAATAGAATTTTTTTTATGAAAAATATTTCTCATCATCCAACATCCATATTTTTATGTGTTCACTTCATCTCCTCGTCGGTTGTGAGTGAGAGAAAAGAAATAAAAAAACAGGAAATCGGACACACACGCTCGCGATGCGACATAAGAGCTCGAGGCAATGTTATTGACAAGAATTGTATGCTTTCTCGTACGACTGTTTAGCCAAATATTTAACTAAACAATAAACTCCATTCGGTCATTCGAGAGTTTTTCATGCCGAAAAGTTGCGTGAACTAACAAAACTGATAAGAAAACTCAAAACTTTATGAATCTTACAAACATTGCTTCAATACATTACTCGCAATCGGTCAATGATTTTTCGTGTCCATTTCTTGTTTTATTTTATTTTAAGAAGAAAACGATTAAGAAATTTCTTTCTCGTTTCCTTTGCTCAACTCTTTTAAAGTTTAGCATCATTGAAGACGCTTTTCAAACTCAGGGAAACAATTGTTGAGATACAAGTAGCAAAGACCAGCATGTTAGAAAATTTACACACTTCAAAAATTCTTCTTATCATCATTCCGTAGAAGAAGGCAAGAAGAACAGTTTTTTGATAAATTACAAACAGGAAGTTGGGACTTTTTCTACAGTAAACAAAAGAGAATATTCTCGAAAGATTCGGCCAAAGATGAACGCAAAAGACTTAAATAAGGCAATGAAAGCAAATGTCTATCCTTCCAGTCAGGCACCAAAGAAACGATTCCTAAAATTGTTCATTTATCGAAAGAAAAAAAGATTCTTCACTCTTCCTTTTCTGTTGTTATCTTTCATTTGCTTCCATGACTGAATTCAAACATCATTTTCAGTTTCTGATGAAAATGATCCTTGTGAAGCATGCAAGGAATGGAAATTGAGAGATAGATATGTAGAAAGGGAAGAAGAGATACGATAGAAATTCAATGGACCTTTTCTGGACCCAAAGACTTTGCATTGTGTTCGTTTATTTTTTTTTCGGTTGTTTCGAGAGTAAAATATGTGTAAAAACAGATGGTCGTCCACCAAAGAAAGAAAGAAAAAAAAAATGAAAAGAAAGAAGGAAAAAAAATGTTTGGATGATGAAAATAAAGAATGGGAGACGTTTGTTGATGTTAAAATTCGATCAGTGACAGGAACATTCATAGCAATATCGCAGTGACAGCATTGAGGAAATTTCCCTCAAAATCTGTTTTCATTTAAGATCCAAAAAATCTTCAAAATTCTCGAAATGCCTTTTCTCAGAACGAAATATTTTATTTGTTCACAAAAGGAAATAAATTTATTTAATGACTGAATCGATTTCCCATAAACAAGTCAATAAGAGACCCAAAAATCAGTCGAATAGGTGTCTGATTGTCTACAAAGTGAAACTTATAGTTCACCTGCGCTCACAAATCAAATAATAATAATGTAGCACATCGTGAAAATATCTTAATAATTATTAAATATTGCATTTTCATGTTTGTATGAGAACGAAAAACTTTTCCTCTTGTGACATTGGAAAGATTACCTGATTTTATTGCACTAATTGCGCATTCATAAAATTATTCAATCTCAGAAACTGAGGTCGCCTTATTTTTGTACGAAATGAAAGAAAGAAATTGAAAACAAGTCTAATGAAGAATGAAATGATGATGACAAGTCGAAGAAATGAATTCGTATGGTTTAAGCAAGATTTTGTAGATTTCACATGAAATGAAAAGCTGAAGTAAATGAAAGAAAAAAAAATACAAAGTAAGAAATGTTTTTATATATTTTAATGAGAAAAATTTCCAGTATTATCTAGTCGTGCATTAAATAAGAAAGGAAGAAAATTAAAAGAAAATCTAAGAAAGAAAATTAAACTTAAAAGATATCTAAAATAAAGTTAAAGAGAACACAAAAATATTAAAACATGTTAAATATTCCGTTGAAATCAGAGAATTCTGAAAACATCAAACATGAAAGAGTAGAAGGAAAAAAATATAAAAATTATAACTTTTAAATGTTTCAGAATTCTTTGTTGTGAAATTATTCAAAGTGTTTCTCATGATGTCTTAACCAAGCAAAAGGAGATGAAAATTTGAAAGTAAAGAAAAACATAAAATGATGGGCTAAAGTTTAGATCAGAATAAATTAAAAAATAAAAAGGTTTTTTCTGATAGATGAAAAAGGAAAGAAAGAAACAGCTGAAACTACAAAATAAAATCTTTCTAATTTAATTAAACTTCTTTTTGTAAATGTCATTTTTGTAAATAGAAATTCGATAAGATTCGCTTCTTCTTCCTCTTTTTTGTGAGAGAAAAAAAAACATTATGAAAAAGATGTTGCAAGATTTATAATAATCTAAAATAAATACAAATAACAAATATCAAATGAAAAAAAAAATTAAATTGACAATCTTTTAATTCTTTGAAAGAGCGAATGAATGAATGAATGAATGTTTGTTTTTTATATTTCAGCTTAAATTTGACTTTTCAGAATCGTTTAAACCACAATGAATTTAAGAACTCATTGTGAAACCACAATTGTTGACTATAACAGGTGAGATTTGTGAAGGTGAAGGTCGTCTCATGTAGTCATCGAAACCATGAGAAGTATAAGTAATATATCCTCATTGAAGAAAAATTAATTCATTTGAAAATAGCTTTTTGAGTGACGTCAAAACGGCGTCGAAAAGTGAGAAGATTTTTCGCGTCAAATGTTCTCTTTCACGAGCTCCTATCAAAATAAATAAATTAAATTTCTCAAGTGAAAACAAACAAGAAAGAATATCACATGGCTTTCTTCCTCCCCCGTGAAAATTTCATTGTGTTGTCAAATTGTGTTAAAAAAACTGAATCTGTATGTTCTTTTTCCATTTGTTTTTATTAAATACAACAAGACGACAGACTGATGCTGTATGTGAGATTTTTGTTTTCATTTTCACATTGTAAGACTTTTCTTCCATAGTTTCAGATTAGATTGAAAATTTCCTTTCTATATACAATGGAATATATTTCATAATAAAACAAATTTAAAAGAACATCATGAAATAAGAAAACAGTAAAAAGTTTAAGTGATGGCCAAAATAAACAAAAAAAAACCTGAAACAAAAATAATTTTCTTCTTCACGAAAAACGTTATTTTAAGATCAGGGAAATTTAATTACGTAGGTTTTTGTTTCTTTCATTAAAAGTTTCTTTTTATTTTTACAAATTTTTCACTTCATTTTATATATATTTTCATGTTATTATTCTTATTATACTTTGAGAATGCCATCATGTGAGTGAAGAGAGAGAAAGAGTGACAAGCGTCAGCAACTTTTTATTGACTATCACGGGGTCTACGAGAATAAATACAAAGTTTGTAGTTTGAAAAGGTCGACAGATATGTTTATTGTTCATAATTGAATCAGCGACAACATTTAATGTTTTTAATGTTGAATAAATTGTAACTTTCTTATCCTATGAAACTTCTCAAGTCAACATCTCTGAAGGTTAAAAGTTGCAACATAAAATATGTTTTACTCTGCAAATGGAAAACATATGAAAGTTCTAAATTCTTGTCGGTGCCAAAGAAAAAAGAAGAAGACTCGTACTCATCGTTGATGTTGTTGTGTTGTTAAAATTAGAACACGACAAACAGCGCGCGAAAAAAAAGTTGCATCAACCAAAAAAAAAAGAAAAGATTTAATAAAAGAAAAGGGAGTAGAACAAGATTTAAACCGTTTTTTAGTGATCATGGTGCACACATTTTTTTAATATTTCATTAAAAATTTATTCATTTTATTTTTCGGTGTTTCAGGGAGGGAAGAAGATCTCAGAATAGAGCAACAGCAACAGAATCATATCATCATTATTTTTAATGTGTTTTTCATTTTTCATTCGTCGCTCTTACTCACATCATTGCTCTTTCTCTTTTCCCTTCATGAGATGTGCATGATGATTTTCAATGAATCAAGCGAAAATTAAAAACAAGTTTTGCTGAGCGACATCAGCCGGATGATCAACTTGATGTTCCATCATTCGTAATTTTCCATTTCCTTTCTGCGATGCGCTCATCACTAACGTTGATGTTATTTTTATCGCAATCGCAAAAAATGAAATGTGGTTAATGATTAACATCCCTTTTACGAGAGTTCTATGAGCTCTCTCGAACGTTATCAGCCTATTACTTGTCATTCTAGACAGTATGACGAAAAAGAGAAAAAAAAGTTTTTAACTCAACAATTTTCGAATGTGCAAACTTCAGCATAAAAAGAGTGAGAAAAATAATGAAATTAATTGATAACAAACCTTCAATGATCCCATTTCAGTCAAATTGTTTGCATTTCAGCTCGATGTTCAATGAAAAGAATTTTCTTGTCTTTCTCAAAAGCGATCGCGATCGTTCGAGTGATGTCATGAAGAGGATCTGAATCTTCAATGTTTTGAGAATTAATCATAGAATTAGCGTCGCTATAAACACTTTTCATTCTTTGTAAAGCATTCCAGCAACATTTTAACGTTGTCATCATTAGGATAAGTACCGCGACTTCCACACATGAGGCGCACCCTGAAACTCTTCTCCACTCGTTCGCTGTATACGAGTTTAAAATTGAATTTTTTTTTCTTTGAAAAGAAATGGAAAAAAAAAAACAACAACAGCGAAAGCAGCGTAGAGGTTTTTTTAATGAACGGATATTAAAGCATAAGAGAATAATAAGAAGTTTGTAAAAAAAAGAAATCAAAGAGAAGAAGACGAGAAAAAAACTAAGAAACGTGTTGGAATACTCATTAAGAAAGAAATGAAAGAAGTCCAAGTCGGTTCCATGATTTCCTCGCTCTTCGTTCATCCGTTCCTCGTTTCACTGTTGGAACATTTTATTACTTAAAGAAATTGATGGAAGCGGTAAGTTAAGTTTAGATTTCGTTCATGACGAAAATTTGTTGACTTTTCAAAATTATTTAAACAACTTTTGACTTTCATTATTATCAATTCTTTAAAATTTAATTTAAATAATTTTCCAACTCGAATTTTCTTTAAATTGGAGGTTAAATTTAGAAATTATGAAAGGAAAATTTTTTGAATGAATTAAAAGAAAATTCTGGAAAAAAGTTGAACTAAAAAGTGTGTGGGAGTCATTGAGTTGTAAGTGATTTTAAATATTCATGTGAAATCTGAATTTGTGTTGAAGTTTTATTGAATTAAAACGATCGAATAATATTTCAATTAAATCTTGCAATGATTCCTTATTTTATGTGACACTCAATTAACAATAAACTGTCGAATATATTAACAGCAACAGAAAGGTAATTTGCATTTTCAATCAGACAACAAATAGCATTTAATTTCAAACAATTCAACAGGCGAAACGTCATTTCCCTTTTGCAGCTTAAATGCGCATTTAATTCTCTTTTCGCTTTAAATTGTGCCTTCGTTGGTTTTTGATTCGTTTCGAAGAAAAAAAAAACTTTTTCGTTAATTTTTCAGGATAATCTTGGAAGAAGTTAGAGGAATGAAATTGCCGCGAAACGTGCAAAAAACTGAACACCGAAAACGCGTAAATAAAAGCCAACAACAAAACGAAATAAAAATAAAATCTTTTCCTTCGTTTGTTCTCTCTATGCTCGACTGTTCGTTTCGAGAGCAGTGTGAGGAGATATCTGTGTAATTACATTACATGTAGTAATCTCCAGCAAAGAAGTTCCACGACCTCGTAACATTAACTTTATTTTCTTCTTTCCATTTCATCATCGTTGTTCAACTCATACACACAACTATTCCAAGTTTTTCTTTTCTTTCTTTTTTGTTATTCGAGATTAAATTTCATTCTTCTCTTCACAACGTCGCCGGCCGATTCACATAGCTTCACAGGGCTTGTGTCGTACGACAATGGTAAGAACTTTCCAATGAGTCCAACCCAGACAATGCTTTCTGTAAGTTTTAATTCATAGCGTTTAGCCATCGTGAAGGTCATTTTGTTGATGTAACTTTTTTTTTTTTCATTTTATGAGAATGCCATGTCGTTATCGCAGTCAATTAACAGCGATCATAAGTCTTAATTAATTCGGTCGGCACTTTAATTGTTAATTGAATAAAATTCTGCCGATGATGCAGTTTTTTCCCATCACAAAATTGAATCGCTTCTCATTAATGCTGATGATGTCAATGACGACAACGAATTTCTTCTCTTTTCAAAGGGAATTTAATTTCACGCATTCTTGAGTCGTATTGTGATGGTAATGATGAGAATTTAGAGGATTTGTTACGGAAGATTATTTCACCTTATGGCAAACGTCCTGTTGAACGTCTTTCTGCTGAATCACTGAAAGGATTTCTTTCAATTCTTTTCTGTATCTTAAATACTTGAATGAACAACAGATTTCTGGTGAAGTGCTTCCGGAGTTTACGATTTAAATTGATTAATGTTTGTTAAGTTTGTCGTATTTGATTGTAAATTCAAAGTTCTGAGTTTGAAAATCTTTTTAAAATTCCAAGTATTAAAACTTATATTTTATTTAGCAGCAGTTAAAAAATCTCGAAATGAAACTTCATGGCATGTAAACGATCCCTTCTATCAGGATACACATGAGGGTGTTTGTTCTTTTGTTTTCATTTCCTCAACCAATATGCCCAAACATCGTCACAAAAAATGTATGCTGCATGCGTAAAAAATTATTTCTCGATTCTTTTTTTTTTTTTTGCCTTCTTCTAGACGAACGATGATGCTGATTTGAGAGCGTGAGAAACCGGAAACTATCCTTGTTCTACAAGGGATGGTTGGAAGAAGACTTTGAAGAGGGAAATCCGGCTCTGTTGAAGATTTAATCTCAAGAAGTTTATTTGAAAGTTTAATTGAATTAATTATTCGGTAATGGTTTTGAAATTTTCCTCAATTTTCAACTGCCAGTGATCTGATGTCATTAAACTTTGTAAAATCCACAACTCTCAGCATTAACATTCACTCAGCACTTCCAAATAAATACAAGAAAAGTGCATTAATCTTCATTTTTTTAATTATTTGCTTTAAGCTCCACAATATTGCACAATGGCAAATACTTTGTAGATATCCAAAGTAAAAGTTGCGCGGAGGCTTCATTTAAGTCACATTTGTTACTTCGTTTTGCCGGTTTGCGGGTTCATTGAACAGCAAATTATTATGATGGACATTGAATTAAAATTGTTTCTCTTCTCCTATGTTGAATAGTGTTTTTGTTTCGAATGGAATAGAAATAACAGAATGGACAAACAACTCGGAAAGAATGGAATGTTGCGTTTTCAATATGAGTAATTTAATCGCCATCGCAGCCGGTGATGGAACTCAGACAGTTTGCGATCATGAATCGAGAAGGTAGAATGAAGAATTCACCTCAACATTCTTCAGTAAATTGTCAGAGATGATATAAAGCGAAATGTTTCCACTTTAATTTATGGAATTGTTGATCTTCGTTCACCATTTGCTTTAACATCTCTGTCAAAGCGACGATCGGTCAAAGTCTCATTCCTAAAAAATATTTTTTGTTTCACATCCAACGTTACGTTCACTTCAACATGACACACATTTTTCTGTTTCCATTTTGACTACATATATTTTGCCGACTTCCTGTCATTCTACGAATTTTTTTTCCATTTATTTATTTTAATAATCATCATCATTGTACAGCTTTTTTTTCTCTGCCTGCCCTCTACAGCTTTCTGTCTCGTATGTACGCTTTTATTGTTATTTTTTCGATTGGCTACTTCCGGTTTTCATTTGAGCTTGAAACAAAACAAAAAAAAAAGTGAAACGAAACGTTCGAAACATTTCGCAAAGCAAAAATATAGTCTACGAATCATGTTTCAATTAAATATTTCCCATCATCTAGATATTTCATTAAGCAAGTTCTCCAACTTAGATTGCGATGAGAGATTAAAATCTTTCTTCTCCCTCACACTTTATTTAAAGCTCAAGAAGAATTCGCAAAGTGCTGTGTAAATATTTGAATGTTTATTTCTTACGGCTACGCATCTTAATTCTTTCATTGCGTCAAAGCTTATGAAAACATATTTGTATGTTTTGTTTTTACTATTTTCAGTTCATCAATTGAATTTAGACAGTAATTGTTGAGCGGGTAATCATGTACAACGATATTGATAACAACTTCAATTACCTTCTCAAAATGAGTTGCCAGTTATGGCTAATAAATTTAATTCCTTCTGAAGCAAATTACTGTCAAGAACAGAATTTAATGTTTGTCGTAATTGAAAGGAAAAAAAAGATTAATTTTTTGTATTCTTCATGCGTATCTCTACGCAACCTGACACTGAATAAATATCGCCAAATGAGTGTTTGTTACTTTGGTAAAAAAGAAAGAAAAAAAATTAAGCAGATTTTGTCTGTTTTCTCTTCGACATTGGCTGATCACTTGAGTGAGGCTTTTTTTTTTGCTAGTGGTTGGTTAGGCGACGCCGAGATCAAGTAGAAAAAAGTTGTGAAAGATAATGTGTTGAGAGAGGTTTTTTTTAAAATTCGTGATTGAATTTTAAGATGGAAAATATTTGTTAGTCAAGCTACGTTGCCAAACCCAAATTCTTTCTTTTTTTCAGTCCTTCAAAATCATTAAAGAAACAAATAATTTGCAATGCACTTCTTCGCTCATCAATCATGTCATGTCTGTGCATTTCTCTTAAGATTTCCTTCGACCGAAACATTTTAGTCTGTTTGAAAGTCGTTTCCACATATATGCAGTCAATGGCCCATCGTTGTTTGTCCAGTCATCAGAAAAAAAGTTTAAAATGTGAAAACGAACGATAATCGCAAATTAATGAACAGCGGAAATGATGTCATCGTGAATGAATGGAATTTTTTTCTGTTTACGCTGCTTCAGCTTTAATAAACAATGGAACAAGCGCTTTTGAATATTGTTCGATGTGGAAGAAAGACCCGTTGGATCTTTTTGTATTGTGGTTGATATTCAAGTCTGGTGCTGAGTTTAAATTTCAGGTACAATCTCGGTGGGCTGAGCTTGAGTCGTCAGTTGAATTATTAATTTACATTCTCATTTCCTTGACTTCCTGTTAAATAGAAACTTTTATGCTTAGAAGCTTTCATTTAACTACAAAAGTTACTCAACATTAAATTTAAATTGTGCGTGATTTGATTTGACGCGCCAATTGTAGAATTCCTGGAAGTCACATTGAAGGTTTTCCGCATAAAAATGTTATGAAGTCATGGTCATGAGAATGATGCTTTAAAATCTAAAGATGAAATAAATGTTTCAGGTTCGAAATTTGAGTGAAATATTTTGATCATCGTCTGAAAGGTTGTTGAAGGCGAATGCGAGAAAGACACAAAATGTGCGTTTATACATCAACAACAAGCGCTGGAACCGTCAGCTTGTAAAAGAGATTTGTAGAAAGAAGAAAATAATGTTGAGAGATTTTTGGGAGCGTTCTTTAACATTTGTCACGTCTTAAATATTCTTCATATCTTTTATCTATGCATTCCTTTAAACAGTTATCGATTGACATACCTTTCAAATAACGTCACGTGCGTTGATCGTTTCCGTTCAAAAGTGGATATTCATGAGCTTACAATCTGAAGTCGTTTTATGATGATCATCATTATGCGACTAGAATTGTTCAACACCAACAACATCATCAACTTGTATCATAAAGAAGAAAAAGAAGAAGTGATCAACCAGCTTTTTCTTCCACGGGTGCGTAAGCGTATGCGTGATTGTATGTAAGCGAGTAAATATCGCGCAACGTGGCACGAAAGAAAAAATGAATGATAAACAAGTCAAGAGATTTGTTACGAATGCTTCAACTAAATTGGAAGTTGCCTAAGGGGACCTTAAGCGTCTCGCAATGAGTTGACTGCTGATAGTGGGCGAATGTGTGGTGTTGTTTTTTTTTTCACATGTAACATTTATTGGATCAACATTTTCTGTTACAGATTTCACTTGCCATTAGTGGGTTGATGAATAAAACTGAGAAAACAACAATAACAACAATTCTGATGCCGTCGCTTAAAGTCATAAAGTGCGTGGTACCCACCAATGCTCAAGTTGAATATTTTATGATTCATAACGTTTTTTTGAGACAAATGGAAACGGAGGAGGGCATGATGATTCAAATAAAATGATACTTGGCGTGTGAGATGATTCTCATGTCCTACGATCGTCACGAGAAAAAGTGGGAGAGAGTTCAACCAACTCTAATTAAAATTACTCGCGTTGATTACGCGTGCGTTCGACCAAACAAACATCAACAAGTCCATCTTGAAAAACGAGAACGAATTATCTCCTCCATTTCGATCGTCTTCTATTCGCCCTTCTTCTATCGCGATCAGAACTATGATTATCTATGATGGATTCGTTGGTTCCAGCCAGATATTTATTCTAGCGAAGGTTTGAACGAACATAAAAATTGAATGGAGGAAAAAAAATGTAAAAATGTTTTATTTAACGCGATGACGATGAAAACTTTTTGTTAATTAACGGTTTTAATCCGAAGGTGAAATGGAAGTGAAAAGAAGACTTCACATTTTGTCTTGTCTTATTGTTGCTTTGTCTTGTGCGTGACCCCTGTAGAGATTGTTTCTATTTTTTTTCTTCTTTTCTTCTCTCTTCCATTTCATATATTTGTTCACTTGTTTATTGCTGCTACTAGTAAAGTGAGTTGCGTTTTGATGAGATGAATTGATATCTTACTGACGACATGACAAAAAATATATACTTAAATATATATAGATACTTCAAATAATGTATTTTTAAGCAATGTGTGGGAAAAAAGTTTTTATATCATCAAAGTTGTTATTTTCTAATTTGTTTCATTTTTGTTTAGTGTTTCAACGATCAGTGGAAGCGTTGTGAAAATTGTAAGTCAAGTGACACAATCCTCGGTAGTATAGTGGTGAGTATCTCCGCCTGTCACGTGGAAGACCCGGGTTCGATTCCCGGCCGGGGAGGATTCTTTTTTAATTTTAATTATGTTTAAAATTTATTTACAAATGTTCTTATCCAGTATAAATAGTTTCATCGCGAAACGAAAACCATCACAAAAATTTCCTCGGTAGTATAGTGGTGAGTATCTCCGCCTGTCACGTGGAAGACCCGGGTTCGATTCCCGGCCGGGGAGGATTATTTTTTTAATTTTATTTATTTGAATAAATTATTTTTAATGAATTAAAATTTTTTATTATAACTTTTGATGCAAATAAATAAAATAGAGAAGAACAATAAACAGACATCGCTTTGATCAGCTAACATAGAACGTGAATGTCTGTTTCACAACCCACTCTTGATTTTTAATCTAATTAATGATGAATCATAATCAAACCTGATTAAGCAAAATTTCTCTTCTGTATTGAGACTCTTTTTTACTCTCTGCGATGCGTGTTTTGTTTTCGTCTTCAATAGCAGAATAAAAAGAAAATTTGCTGGTCCCCATATCGAATGAGACTGTAGAAGCAAAAACAGTCTCAACACGATCAAAGCATATTTAAATTGTTCGATGGCGCCGCGAAATTGGAAACTCTCTTAAGTTTGCTACTTTCATTTGTTGCTTTTCTCATTTTTACCCCATTCACTGAATGATTCTGTGAAATAAACAAGCATTCGATGAATTTTCTTCAACGAATTGATATTTTTTCTTCATCGTAACTTGTCTTCGCCGAAAATAAAACTTCCATTAAAATTCCTTTCATCGTAAATGCTGATTATTTGTTGATTTTTCCATCAATGCGTTGAATAAAAAAATTACTCTTTGATCGTGAAATCTTTTTTCCCATGAATGATCGTTTCTTATTATTAATTGGTTAGATAATTTGCTTTTCGAGATTTTTTGTTACAAATTTTAAATGAAGATGAAATAAAAAATATGAAATGAGCTTCGTAATGGAAAATTACTGTTTATTTTACACATTTTTTAGTAGACGGTAATTGTTTGGTTATCCTGTTTATTTGTCAATTGAAAAAGTTTTAAATATTTATCAAATCACATTGTTTCGAAAATTAATTAAATTTTAAGTTTTATCTTGTAACTTTTAAAGTCAAAATAAGAACTCAATAAAGATAACATCGTCAATGAAAGTTCTAGGACATGTGTTTGTAATTTTAAAATCCCATTCAAGCCCGAATTTTATGTCGTAAAAACAAATCGCATGAATCTATGAAAGCTTTGAAATAAATTTTTCACAGTAAACTTCTGCTGATATTTAATCTAAATTTCCTGTAAGAAAAAAACCAAATTTAGAAAAAAAGAATTAAAATCATGGAAGATACAAACTGTGCTAATTGTCCTAAGAAGTGCCCAGATAAAAAAATCGTGGAAGATACAAATTGTGAGTGTCCTAAGATGAATTCAGATAAAGGGAATAAAAAATCGTCGAAGCCTAAGCGAAATCTTAATGTTGAAAGGGAACCTCTACATAAACCAAAGCTTGTCGTTGTTAAAGAGACTTTCGAAATCTTTTGCAGTCGTGTTGTGTCGATTAATGCGGATATGGGAATCTTGGGGACGAAACATAGACTTAAGTATTTAAGTAAAATGCAAGAATTAAGATGTCGAGTAAAGGAAATGTTGGGAACGTATCCTAAGTACGTCCCCGAAGAAGAGAAAATCAAAATCCATCCTAAACATGCATACATCTCACCTGCATTAGACGAATCATTGGAGAAGCTTTCAAAGCCTCCGAAACGATATGTGGAATCAACTTTGATGTTGATAAATCAAATGATCGCAGATTTGAAGAACAACGAACGTTATATGAAGAACAAATTCAGAGATTCTTTATTGAAAGAACTTATTAAGCGTCGCACTCAAGTTCTTGACTTCTATTCAAGTTATCCATTATCCCCCAAGGCATCAGAACACGATTTAGAAGCTTCAGCTTCTCCCCCTAAAAAGAAGAACGTGCCAATCAATTTTGTTCATGTTGATTCAACCAACAAGCAGGGGGTCGAAATTAAATCACGAAGACTTGAAGTTGCTTTTGATGAAGCAACAAATGATTTGGCGCTTCCGAAATACCGAATTGTCTTGGAAAGCTATGAATTTTTCAAAAACTTTGCTATGCAGCTTGATTGTCAATTGAATGTAAAAATCGTTACTCCCGAAATGATTGAAAAACTTACGATCATGAAGGAAATTTCAAATAATCGAATTGAATTTCTCAAAACTCTTAAAACTGAAATTGAGCGTGTTCGAAATTATTCAGCAACTGAATTTAAGAAAACTAATCCGCCTTCAACTTCAAAAGAATTTATTCCTTATTCTCACTTTCTTGAATTACCATCAAGAAGTAAACTTCAAGATGCACTTGAAAACCAAAAGAGACTTTTAGAGATTGAGAAAACTAAGGCAAATGCAGGTAAGCGACAAAATTGTTTTATTTCAATAAAAAAAGGAATTATTCAAATTGTTGAATGCTTTCAGGTTTATTAGAAGAAGAACCTGAAAAAGCTGAGGAATCTGAAGAAAAAGATGATTTAAAATCGAAAGAAAAATCTCAACCAAAAGAGAAAAATGATTCAAAATCAAAAGAAAAGTCTAAAGAAAAGGAGAAAAACGATTCAAAATCGAAAGAAAAATCCCAAGCAAAAGAAAAAAACGATTCAAAATCTAGAGAAAAGTCACAAGCAAAAGAGAAAATTGACTCAAAATCAAAAGAAAAGTCTAAAGAAAAGGAGAAAAACGATTCAAAATCTAGAGAAAAGTCTCAACAAAACGATAAAAACGATTCAAAATCTAAAGAAAAATCTCAACAAAACGATTCAAAATCTAAAGAAAAGTCTAAATCAAAAGAAAAATCTGATTCAAATTCAAAAGAAAAGTCTAAATCGAAAGAAAAGTCTCAGCCACAAGAGCAGTCACCGGCAAAAGAAAACTCTGAAGAGGGAGGTGAAGAAAATGAAACTAAATCAAAACGAACATACATCGAAAGAATCACCAACAACATAAATTTCATTGAGAAAACTCTGGAAATGTTTCCAATACCAGAGAAGCCACTACATTGTCCACCACCTCCCGAAGAGAAACATCGTTTTAAGCCGTCTGGCATAAAGGAAGCAGCTGTAACAATTCAAGAAGGTGAAGATGGAAAATCTTCAAAAAATTACAATTTTGACGAGAAGACAAACTTCCTTGCAACTCCGAAGATGTCCATCGTAACAAGTGCTTACGACACTGTCTATGATCTCGTTCAAGACTACACCAAAGACGTTCGAGTGTCTTCTGCTTTGTGCACACAAGAAGACAAACCTGAGGAAGGTGAAGGCGAAGACGAAGAAGCAGAATCACCACCAAAGAAAGTCTTAAACAATCATCAAAAAATGACAATGAAAAAACAGTTGGAAGCAAAGCGTGCGAAACGAGATTATGAAAAGATGGCGAACCGTTCGAATCGTCTCCTCGAAGCTATTCAAAATAATTTGGATAGAATAACAGAGTTCCAAGTAAGAAATCGAGTAATGCAATTCATTTAATTTTATTTTTCAATGTGAAATTGTAGACAAAACCTGCTGAAAATGGACCGTCGGACTTCTATCATCACAATACTTGTACAGCTGAACCTGATGCAGAACCAGAGCCCAAATGCATTTATAAAATGAAGAAACCTTACGAGACTGTCGTCAGTTCTCGCTCGACGAAGATTCGATTGATTGCATCTTTGGAGTTGTATGAGAATTGGTTGAAGGAAACCTCACTTGATGTCAGGTATCGTGAGCAAATAAAAAACATTCAACTACTCGTCAAAGAGATGAAAGATGATGAAAATCAGGGAGAAGGTGAAGATGCTGAAGAAGAGACTGAAATTCCAATTAAACCATTTCTAGTTTCAAAGCACACGATTCAACTCCTTCTCAATATGGAGAATTTAAAGAAGAAAATCGAAGAATATCCGACAACAGTTGATGAGAGTCATGAGAAGTCACATCAGCATTTTGACAGTGAACCATTCGAGCATGTCCAAGGTGTTTACAATGCTGAATGGACGGAAAAGTTGGCAAAACCCAAACCAGTTCTTTTGAAAAGTGTTTTTGAGGATTTCGGAAAATTTATGTCGAAGGAAAAGTGTGAAAGAATTCAATGCATTTTAGGAGATTGTTTAGAAAAATCCCAGCCGAAGGAAACAACTGCAAAAAAATCTCCTGAAGAGTTGAAAATAAAAAATCGTCAAAAAGCTGTCAAACTTTATGCTCAAATCGAGAAGAAAGTGACTGAAGATGTTTTGAACGAAATTTCAACTGAGATGACGAGAAAGCTTCAGAAAAAGATGAAACAACGTAAAGAATCTCCAGTGATAACAATAAATCGTCGAAAGCTCAACACCCACACTTACAATACAATTTTCGCTTTAAATCCTCCAAAAGACCACGAGGAAAATCAATTTTGCTGCAGCTTCAGTCGACTCGTGGCTGACATAATTTTAAAGACAATGATCAACTCAATAAATTCAATTAAGCCACCAAACAAAAAACAATGCTTAAGGAAAATGAAAGCAGCTGAAAATAATCGCGACATCATTGAAATTGCAAACAAGTTATCTGTGAAATTTAACTTAAATGAATGAAACAATTTCTCGATTCTTTATTCTTTTATTGAATCTTTCAATTCTTGTTAAATTTGCCATTTGAAGTTATCAAGTTAAGTCGAGAATTTTCACAAATAAATCACATCTGAATATCCAAAAAAAAAAAGAGTTTTCAATTGCATTGGATGAAAAGGTAACAGTAATGCATTTTATTCCGATGGCGCCTTCATCTTTAAGCACACAATCATCATTAAATGAGTGATGAAGTAGAGTAAGAGCGAGACTGAATTGCTTTGTTGTTTGCTTAATCCAATCTTACGTCTTTCCATCTCTTTTTCATCAGCTCCCAACTCACTCTTCATAAACTATCATTACCAACTCACTTTTTATTTAATTATAATTTTTTAAGCCGTCAATTACTCGAGACATGTCTGAGATTGATTTTTTTTTCACTAATGAGCCGCGTGAATCAATCGAAACGACAATTTTCTTCTTTCTTCCAAAAGATTGATGATGAAGGAGTTTTTAGTAGGTTGATGATCAGATATAAATTGAAACGTTGAATAAGATCAGAAAACAAAAGAGAAATCCTTTGAGATATTCAACATTCAAAGTGAAACTTACTTCATATTAATTAATGATAGCATTGAATGCCAACTTAAAGTGGTAGCTGTTTTATTTTACATATCTATGGTGCGAAGAAGTCGATAAGTCGAGACATTTAAGATTTCTTCATTTTTCAATCTTCAATATGCGCTGAAGAAACAAATTTATGAATCTTCTTCGAGCGAAGCAGCTTTTTAAAACAAGAAAATCCTTCTGCATGTCGCGTCATATTACAAGCTGGTTTTAATCCGAAATCCGTTAAAATCATTACTATCGTTCGTGGACACGCGTCAAGTCCGTATATAAAATCTTTTTTTTTCCTTCTACTTCTTCATCATTCTACCAAATCTCAGTTCTGTGCCCTCTTCAACTGATTTCCTTCTTTTTCTTGTTTCTTACTTCATGTCGTCGTTTGTTGCTTCTTTAAGGCCTTTAAATTTCTCATTTTTTATATATTTTTTATTATGATTCCTTCGCTCTGCTCCATTCTTTAAAAACTTCTTTTTAATCCATCATCATTTTACCATTCTCTGCCTTTCTGCCTTTTCTTTAGTCTCTTCTTCGTTTCCTTCTCACATCGTCTTCTACATCGTCTGATAAAAGCAGCACCAAAAGATCATTTGCTTTGCCAAGATGATTTTCTTCTTTTTTTTTGTCTTTTTCATCTCTTTCTTCTTCATCTCTTTCATTCGATTTATAAGATTTTTTTTTCGTAAAAAACTACAACACCGAAATTAAAAAATGCTACCGACTTACGCATACTCGTATAGGGTTGAAGACGATGTTTTGGTCTTTTTAATTATTTTAATTTAAAATGTTTTTCTCCCTAATTTGTTTTTCAATTCATGTTAAACATTTTACTCATGAAAATAGGGTTGATGTTAATGCTTTCAACTTATTTCTTATTTTTATTTCGCTCCTTCTTTCGATCGAGAAATTAAGCCAAAATAATGATGGAAGAAAGAGACTGAAAAATCTTACAACTTTTTATGCCATGCCATGATTTTCTTCTTAAAGAAAAAAAAACGACGTCGTTGTTGTTTCTGTTGTCATTTCTGGTTTTCTTGCGTATCATGACGTGATGTTAGGCTGCTGCCTGGTATAAATTTTATTTTATTTTTTTGTTAAGATGCTTAATGTACCATAGAAGATCACTTTTTGATGGAAGCATGAACGATCATTTTGGAAAGGCTGATGTTGAAGCGAGAAAAATGATTTTTGTCATTTGTTGTTTTTGTTTTTGGCGTACAGATCATAATTCTTTTACATTCTTTTTCAAGTTTGTGTGTTGTGCGGCGCAGATTCTCGTCAACTCTCTTTGCTGAATAAAATAAATATTTTGAACGCAAGACGGACAGCAAATAATCAGCAGAATTCCGAACATAAGAGAAAACATTCTTCTTGATGATTTTAATGTTTGTTGAAAAAAAAATTTATTAAAACTGGAATAGTTTAAAAGTTTCGTCGCCACATAATTTGATGTTAAAAAATTTTATGACTATCATCGTTAAAATTTTAGATAAAAGTTAGAATATTATAGCGAATTGGCGCCATTGTCATTTGACTACTCTCAACAATTCTGGTCCTTTTTCCAAATCACAAAATGCAAATTCTAAGAACAATTTAACATTCAACATCTCTGCTGATCGTAGCAATTCAAGTTTGAAAGATTTATTGAACGGCTTCTGGAATTCTCGTTCTCAATTTCGCTTTTCTGTCTCAGCTGACGAATTTTTCTTCGAATCTTGAATCTTTCCACGTGCCTCGGCTCACTGTTGCACATGAACATTAAATTGGATTTTGTTTGCGGTGGTCGATGCTTGCTTGAATGACTGGTTGATTGTATTGCGACTAATGTTTTTTTCTTTCTTCTTTTTTAATTCTCAAGATTCTCCATCGTTCCATGCAAATAACCAGATTCGTTTGCCCTCATCATAAATGGCAGAAAAAAATATAAAATAGAAAGAAAATTAATAAAATAAAATAAAGAAACGAAAAATATGCTTGAAGTGTGTTATGCACTTTTTCGTCATTTCTTTCGTTCACTCGCTGTTGTCCGCTCGCTCCATTGCTTCTCATTTTTTATGGGCACATTTCGCCAACACCATTTATTATGCTGCTTTTTTTTTTCTTTTATTCCTCGTTCTATACGCGATATGTGTCCTTCTTCAAGGTTGAAACGAAGGAAAGAAAAAGAAAGATTGAAAGAAAAAATTATGAGCTTCTTTCTTGACGATGAAGGAGATCGAATGGATGGAAGTTGATGATATGAATGAGAATGTTTAAAGGCAATCTTCATAAAGATTGAAAATCTCATCAACATACAATATAAATTTAGTTCCTTTGTTAACCATCAACGATGAAGTTGCGAAGTTAGCAAAAAAAGTGTAATAAAGTTTCAACTTTATTCAACGCTTTGCTGGCCTTTGTTTATCCGAGAGGTAATTAATCACATTTGAAGTTCAATCAGTTGAGTAGAAAACTTTTCGACGGAACAGGATGCATCAAAATGCGGTTTCCTATTTATTCCTTTTTTTCGCCATCCGGTTTAAGTAAGAGAAGAAAAATCTGCGAGCATTTTAGTGAATTATTGATTCCATTTCAACATTCTTCTTCCCTTTCGTCTTCATCTTCTCGAAATAGCAACCGGCAGGTGCATAAAAAATCTGCCAAGGGAAGCTGAAAAAGGGGCAAATTTTTTTTCTTGCCTTTTTACTTAATCAAATGCAGGATGCATTTAGGTGAATGGAGATTCAACCACAGAAATTTATGCTTTGAAATGACAAATTCTTCTTTCGTCTTCATCCTGTCGCATTTTGAATTCCCGCTGCTTAATAAGCTAAATTCATTGCCATCAATTTCCGTTGTTTCTCTGTCAGGATGTCAGCCACGTCTTCGCTTCTACTTCACATCTTCCAAGCTTCCTTTTATTTCTGATGATGTAACGTCATGAGAGCATAATAAAATTTAATTACATACAAGCGATGGAAAAATTGTCGACGAAAAGGAAATTGCGTTAAATATGCTTCGAAACTCTGCCGGAAATGATTAAATCTCAGTTTTTTTCACTGCTGCGTAGTGTCTATGATTAAATTGTGCAACCGGAAATTTATGGATGGTGAGAATAAAACGATGTAGAAGTCGATGCTGCAACAAATTAATATTGCAAGTGGGCAGCAGAGAAACTGAAGCAGTTCATAAAAATAGTCGTTGGTGCACCTTCAAATGGGAATCATTATGGTGCACGGTCAGCCCACGTTGCGTTTATATCACCATCACTGAAATGATTATTTTCCTTCTTCTTCGTATATTATTTTGCTTTCTGACACCATATCTACACCTACCTGCGTTTCAATGTTAGATGAAAAAACAAAATTAAATTCACATACTGCATTGTTTGTTGTAAACGCAATTTCAACACATGTATGAACATCATTTTTATTCATGATTGTGATTAATGTGAATGTTTTGTAATTTGGTTTCCACATGAAATTTTATTAAAAAAGAATTTAAAGTTAATTACATATTTTGCATTCTGAGGAATTTGTGAATAATGACAATGTAGTTATTCACACACAAATTGTTATAGAAAGCAGTAAGAAAGGAAGATGAGATCTTGTTTAATGCTGCAACAGCGTTTTAAGTAAAAACTCGATAAATTATCATGAACTATGATACCCTCTCAAGAATCATTAAAAGAATATTAAATAACATAAATTAAAGCCTTTTAAAAATGTACGAAATGTGTTTTTAAATTTTAAAATTTGCATAAAAATCTTTTCGTTTCTTTTTTGGCGACTTGCAGACTTTTTTGGCCGTCGATAACCTCCCATTGAACATAAATATTTATTTATTTATGAAGAAGCATTTAAAATTCAAATTACATTTGAACACTTAATCAACTTCGTACTTTTAATATTAATTAAATGAACCTGTCTGACATCGAAAGAAGCCAAACAAAAGTGAAGAAAAGAAACGAAATCGTTCACTTTTCAATGGAATCATTCATAAAAGTTCTTTAACGCAAATCATTCCTAAAGGTTACGTTCCAACCACATAAGGCAATGATTTATTAATTACAACTGACTTTGAATTTTTTTATTTATTTCAGTATTTTATTTATTTCGTTTCATGCTCACAGGCAGAGACATGGACCGACCAGCTGTGATTTTTTTATTTAATGGGCTGCCATAAATTTATCGTGTTTCGATGATTCTTCTTACTTTGATAGTCACGTGAATGAAAACAAAAAATTTGTTGCACGCTGAAATGTCGTGACGAGCAAGCAAATAAAAGTTTGCATCTTAAAGATGTAAAAAAAAAATTAACAATCAAAGGAAAATCAAGAGAAAAACAAGATTGATTATAATTTTAATAAATTATTCGATAAATTAAATGTGAAAAGCTCTGTGGAGTTGTTTTAATAACCTGTCTTCCATATTTTTCACACTGAAATCTCACGTTGACTTTGTGTTTGACATAACAGAGAGAAGCAAGCAACAAAACAAGCATTCACGTTACTAAGCGTGGGTGGAAGATTCATTGATTTCTGTTACTGAGTTTCAGATCGTAACGTAAGTTATTAATTTATGTCATTCGCAAAGGTCACGATTTTCTCATATTCAAGCTCCTTTCCAGCTTTAAGAATTTTTATGTCATCATGCTAAACAACATTTAAATTGATGTTTAAAAATTTTAAGGTAAACATAATTTGATTATTGTTGATTATTAAATTTACATTACAAACACCCTAAATCGATTGTAAATAAAGCTATAACATAAAAAGCGAGCCTAATTTATATTCATAAATTGTTTTATTCTCGTCGCTGCTGTCTAAAAGCTTCGACAAGAATTGATGAAGAAACAAAAATTCTAATTGGAATTTAATTGTTAACAAAAAAAATTCTTAAAAGTCAGTCAGTCGCCGACAAAATTACATTTCAATCGATCACGAACATCCGCTCATAAAATATCGTCATTTTGTCTCCTTCCTTTCTCGAATCGATTTTCAGTGAAACTCGTTTTTAAATTTAATGGATTTTAAATATTTCCTTCGAGCGAACTCGGTTCTGCTGAAATTAAAGTGAAGTAGTTATCGAAGAATGAAACTGAAAGGAAGCGTGAATTAACTGCTTCTCGGTATTTTTCGTTTCAGTAGCAAAACGGTCATTGACAGTCAATTCGGTGAATCATTAGATTCTTTTTTTCCTTTAATATCTTAACATTTTAAGATGAAACATTTTTGATGAAACATTTTTTAAATTGTTTACATTAATTTATTTCTTTTGATTTCAATATTCTACAAAACTTTTCAGACCACACTGTGGACGAAAGTAAATTTAGTTATCACCTGCCAGTGCTTCCAAATCCTCAGCAGCTTTCTTAGCAACTCTGTGATATTTAGCAAGAGCAGGTCGATAATAATATGCTTGATAATCTTTACGGTCTGCCATTTTCGCGTGAATATCTTTTTCCAATTGTCTAACTTTCATCTTTTCTTGTTCATCAGCGAGCAAATGTAACATCTTTTCGTAATCTTGTTGAGGCGATGCATAAAAATGTCGAGCCATAAAACGTGTGATTGGATGCTAAAATAATAATAATTCAAAATATTGTAGTCGACAATTTCAGGAAAATATCACAAACCCTATGGTATTCCCAATGTTTTGGAACATAATCTTCAGGAATTTCTGTCAATTGGGCTGGTCCAATAAAGATGTTGGTGTATAAGATCAAAAGTGTCACAGGAATCGCACCAACCATTAGATAGTAATGGAGCATATCCTTGAATTTGTGCCATTGAAATCGAGTAGGAACCATTGGAATGGTTCGTGGACCATGGTCACTCATTCCGCGAACAACTAAAATAGAAATAATTTTTTGTTTTGATTATTGACTTCCATGAACAATGTTATTCAATCAATTTTACGGAAAAAAAATATAAAAATTCATTTTTGATGTGAATTTAGGGAATGTTTACGATAATTTTATGAAAGAAATGGTAAACAAGTTTTTTCTTACCTGTATTAACTACATTTGCTCCTGTTGGTGTCTTCAAAAGACTTCTAAATTGAGAAAAACTTGCAATTTTTGAAAATACAGGCATTTTGAACCCAGTTTCAATGTTTTCGGTTATCCCGGACCTTTTGCTCCGAGTGAAACATTGAAACAGTGTTTTACAGGCCCCTTGGAAATTATACTTCTAAAGAGATCCACCAGAGGGCTTGTGTAATTTATCAAAGTTTTAGCTAATTGCAAGTAAAATCATCGCGATTATTTCTGGGATACGTTGATAAACAAAGCAATATAACTGCGTAAAACGCAAAAACTCTTATCGTACAAAAGTTAGAGTGAAGGGCGTTTTATAGACTGTTTTAAAAGTGATTTTTTAAGGAAAAAGTGAATGACGATAGAATTCGTCACCAATCATTGAAAGAGAAGAAAATAACATCAGCTAAATTGAGTTCAGAAGAACATTAAAAGCTCTTCATGACTCATGTGTGAACTGAAAATATAAGTTTTTGACTGTGATACTTAATTGGCCTAACGAAGTGAAATCAAAGACAAGCTAAAGTTTCTCAGTTTAATCAGATTCATCGGAGCACCAATTTGAAGGTGAAAACTTTGCACGGATAACTCAAATACTTCCGAAAATGGAAACATTCGATAATAAAAACCTACCACGACGGTTTCCAGGTGTGTATGGTTATATAAATATAAAGTTTACAAGTTGAATTGCATTAATGCAACAAGGTGTTGTTCACATTAATGTTTATGTTCCTTTTGCACAATTTATAAATACGTTCACAAAGGCACAAAGGTCATAGATATCATTTCAATCCCCCATCAAGACCTTTTACTAGTTAATGATGATAGAAACAAACGTTATAATCAGGAAGAAAATGAATTGTTGGCTGGTAATAAATTATGACATTCGCATTCGTTTTATTCCTCGTCATACATACATATAAGAAGAAAATGAAAATTCTTATTACGACGAAAGAATCCTTACTGATTTATTTTTCCTTTTGACATCAGCCAAACTTGTATTCAACATGAAACACGATATGCTTGTTTAGAATTAATTTTAGTTAATTTATGTCGCTAATTGATGTTCCAGTGATGATCTCTCGCTAATTCAACAAAACGATTTACGTTTTCCATTAACTCCTCGAATTACAACTTCATGATTGATTTCACAATGAAGTTTTAAAATGATTAATCACAGCTTTAAGAATCTTCTCGTTGTTTGAATCGAATCACAGATGAAATCTCTCAAACGGAAGTTTATGAACATAAAAAATATTTTCTTTTTCTTTTCTTAAGAACGTGACTCGTGAATGAGCATTCATTCATTCATTTGAAATTGAAAGTGACCATCGCTCGTCATCATCTGATTTTGTCCGAGTATGAATACTCACAATTCACTTTCATTGATTGTCTTCGCCTTTCTGTCTCTGACAATAAATGGAAAAATAATTTTCTTGTGAAAATATGACTCATATTCACAAAATGCGATCATTTATCAAATTATTTACTTGCAAAGAAGCAATTTATTTACAGAAAAATGTAATAAATATTCACGACACTTTTCTAATGGTTGGTTAATGAAATTATTTTTATGAATTGAGTTCCCCGATTCTAGAAGTCATTAAATTAAACTGCAGTCTTATTTAGGCAACTCAAAACTTCCCCTTCATTTCATTCTCATATGCAGATTTGGCTTTATTACTTCCACAATGTTGTTGTCTACCAAAAACTTGCAAAATTTCCTTTAAACACGCGAATAATTTTATCGAGGGTTCTTCTAAGAGAAATTTTCATTTATTTCCAGTTTTTAATTAAGAAACATTTAGAAATGTTTTTCTCAATCTAAAAACATGTTGATAAGAAAAACTCGTTTAAAAATATTCGCAGAATGAAGAAACAGCTGGCAATGTTGATTGAGTTTGATTATAGTGACACGTTAAAGTTTTACTCAATATCAACAAATGAACAAGTCAACATTTATCGAGAATGTTGGATAAGTTTTGAAGTTGAATGAGTCCGGAGGCAGTTTAAGAGATAATTTCAATTACATCATGGTCATGAATCGCAAATCGCAAGATTGGTGTTTGGTGGGCGGAAAATCTTGTTTCCTCTGCATTGCCTTGCTGTGAATTAAACTTGCAATAATGTTCGATGAATTTAAAGCGCGAAACTAACGTGATTAAGCTTACAAATGTTGCGGTATTGTAGAAGAAAGAAATGAAATATGAAAAAAGATCAATGAAAGTGGGAGCAGCGCTCGATGGAGAATGTCGAAAGAAATACGCTTAGCTGTTCAGTTGTATGTCATTTTACAACCATTTTTACACAACATTTACGGTTGAAAACGAAATGAATGAACAGAAATGTAAGTTGAAGACAAACATGTGGAAAAAAGTTTGTTTCGTAGTTTTTGGATGTCAAGTTGAAGCCCGAGTTGAAAAAAGATAATTAGCATAAAAAAAGAAAAAGAGAGAAGACTGAAAATTATTTGTAAACAACTCACAAAAGTGTTTGTCTTTGGGTGTGTGAAGAGAAGAAGTTTTTCAGGGTCAATTAAGTGTCATAAACGAAGTTGGTAATCTCCAAATAAGAATGAGCTTAACATTGAGTTACTTTTAACAGAGTTTCATGCTGTTTAATGCGAGCATTTATGAGCTATGAATTTTCATTTTCTCGTGTGATTCATGAAATTAAAACTTTCTCAAACTTTAATCATTAAAAAATTAACATAAAAATAATTTTTTGATATCATCGCTTGTCCTACTTGCTTTAGCTTAGAAACTTATTCGAATAAAATTTCAATATTACCTAAAATGGAATGAAATTCGCAAGATAATTTCATAAAGTGCACTTTAGTTTACTTCTCCCTTCATTGTTTGAAGTCTTTAGACCACCAGTCAGAAGCTGAACCCACGCACACTTCAAAATTAATTTATTGAGATGTTTATTGAGATTTATGAATGTTTGCTTTCACCCTCTCGAGATTAGATTTTATTTTTGGAAGCTGCTATTCACATGTTGCATTACATAAAGTTGAAAATCATTTATTGTAGGCACGTGCATGCGAGTTGAGAGCCATGAAATGAAATTTTATTCTCCTTAAGCTTCTTTGTTTCTAAAATTTGATAAAAATGTCAAGTGCGGCAATTGATAGGAAGAAAAAGAAATAAATTTTAATGTTCTTCTTGATTTATTTTCAATAATTTCGTTGTTTCAAAATCGTTCAATCATGAAGGTTCGATATTTATGCAATCGAGTTTAATTTTGTTAATTTTTCGCTTTGCAAGGTGTGAAAATTTATTTTCTTCCTGTTTTTATTCGTAGGTCCGCCAATTCCACTTGAATCAGAAGATCCACACCCGAGTTTGTCTGATTGGCATGATTATGAACCGAATCTTGAATTTGATGATTCTGAGCTAACGCAAATTGCACCGGAAATCAACGACAACAGTCAAATTCTCTTTGAAGATGAAAGTTTCATGTCGGGCGATTTCAATCATCCAGAAGATGAGATTGGAAAGACTTCAAATCTTACAAACTTGGACGCTGACAATTATGAAGAACAATTAAGACCGACAGACATCGATGAAGATGCAATTCGGATGGATTTCAGTAAAAGAAAGTTCATCGATTACATCGGAACCGACAAGAATGGTCAACCGATCATTGCAATCTACGCTTGTCGTTTGCCTGAAAGAAAAAACCTCAACACAAACATCTTCATTGATTTCATTATTAAGACAATGGAACAATATGTGCAAAACGATTATGTCATCAGTTACTTCCATCAAGGTCTTAAAGACATCAGCAAACCTTCTCTCGCCTTTCTCTGGAACTCTTACAAAGAGCTTGATCGAAACTTTAAGAAGAATTTGAAGCAACTTTATGTTGTTCATCCGACAACTTTCATCAAAATGGTTTGGTTCTTCTTTAAGCCGATGATAAGTGAGAAGTTTAAGAATAAATTAATTTACATTTCAAGTATTGAAGAGTTGAAAGAGTTGCTTGGACAGAAGAATTTGATTGTTCCTGATAATGTTCGAGAGTGAGTAAACAATTTCAATCTTTTAAGCTTAAATTCTTAACTTTATGTACACAGATTTGATGAGAAACAAAACTCAACATCGAGAAAGCCATCAATTTTAAACAACAATAATTCAAGATCGAACAGTAAGCAAACAATCGCAGTGAAAATTTTAAAAACAGCTCAGGTGAGTGTGAGTTGAATAAAATTAATTTTTATTGATTGTTTATTGTCAATTAGTTTGGCGTGACGTTGAAGTTTATCAATGAAAATAGTCCATGCTTGAATTACATTCCACCAGTGGTCAGAATGTGTGTTGATCATCTTTCATTATCAGATGGTAAGACGAAATTTGTCATCATCATGAAATTTAATTAATTTCTTCATCGTTTCTCATATTTCAGTTATCGATACCGAAGGCATTTTTAGACGAAGTGGAAACATCTCGAGAATAAATGAACTGAAGAGAAGAATTAATGAAGGACAAATGATTGATATGTCAAGTGAAGATACGCATGTCGTTGCCGGCCTCTTAAAGACGTTCTTAAGAGATTTAAGCGAACCATTACTTACATACGAGCTTTACGATGAAATTATTCAGTTTTTGGGTAAGTCAAGTGAAGTTTTTATTTAGCTATTTGTTAATTATTAAAATCTCTTAAATAGATTGGCCTAAAGAAGAACGATCGAGAAATGTTAAATTAATTCTCCGTGAGAAACTTCCAGTCGAAAATTATGAACTTTTCAAATACGTCGTCGAGTTTCTTGTCCAGGTAATTTAAATTAATTTAATTCATACTTCAAATGATTTAAAATTCTTTATTTCAGATCATGGATCGAAAAGATTTTAATAAAATGACTTCATCAAATCTTGCCATCGTTTTTGGGCCCAACTTGGTGTGGGCCAAACACGATATGATGTCACTTGATGAGATTGGTCCGATAAATGCCTTCATCGATTTTGTCCTTCAGAATCACGATGATATTTATATCTTTGATATCAATAAGCGTGACATTATGAAAGATTAACAGAGGCTTTTGTAGACGATTTGATGATGAGATTGTGATGTGAAAATGTTCGACAAATTATTTTTTTTGTTTTGTTTGTTTTTGTGATGTGATGAAGTGAATGGAAAATGTCTGAATGTTCTGTTAAATTCTTATTTCTTTTTTATAATTAGTCAATCATTAAAGATACAAACCAGATGCGAGAAAACAAAGATGGAAAAATTACCAAAGAATAAGCGAAAAAAAAAACGAGAAGAAAAAATCGCTAAACGGTGAATTTTCTTTTATTTATTTTTATATGAAATCAATGAACGGCTCTGGATGAGAAATGAAGAAATGAATGTAAATAATTAACAAATTTTAATCCATTGTCCATCATAGAAGTTTTAATCGTGTCGGGTTTTAATTAACTGAGAATTAAAGTAGAGAGAGAGAGAGAGAGAGAGGGAGAATGTGTGGAGTTTTAATAAAAGTTTGACAGTCTCTGGAAATCTTCCAAGGATATTTTTAACTAAAATTTAGTGAAGAGGGAGGGAGGAAATTTATTTATTCAATTTTTTTAAATTAAAAGTAGACTTGAAAGTAGAATTGCCTTGAAAAAGAAGAAGAAATGATGAGGGAAAAATGAAAACAGGAAAAAGTTTATTAATGGAAATGTTGTGGATAAGAAGACTCCACGTAATTGTAATCTAATCATTGCAAGTAACGTACTAAACGATAGATATTCACTATCATGTCCAAGGATGTGGAAAATAATTTTCATTTCATTGACATTGACATTCTAAATTGTACTCTGATGTAAGTTTAAGTGATGAGATTTCTGGATGAAGATGAAATCGTTGATTGTTTTTCGTTTTCAAAGGATAACTAAATAGATAATTTTATTAAGTAATTTAAGAGAAGAAACCAGAAAAAATATCATTCGGAAGATTGAATTTAAAGAAATTTATGAGATGGTTAATAAAAATTAAATCTAAGAAAAGAAAATTGTTGAAGAAAGTTCTGTAAATTCTTAAAATAAATAAATGTAAAGAAATAAAAAATTATAATCGATTAGAAATCTTTTTTTTCTGCTTGTTTACCCTTGCCGACTACTCAGGAAATAAAAAATCTTTTCTTGTTTTTCTTTACATTCAAAATTTTATTAAATCATGAGAGGAAGTTCCACTTCGTGGTTTCCTCTGACGACGGTAAACTGAACAATTACAACTTCGTTACGTTACGTTATGCGCTTATCACTAAATCTAATGACTCAAAAATGTTTATTTCTTTTTCTTAGATAATTGATTCCACTCCAGCGTATAAAATTCTAATCATTTTCTTACAAAAAGAGAATTCAAAAGACAGAAAGTTTCTGAAGCACTGGCCGGTCTATGGCAAATTGTATTTGTTTTCTTTTCTCTCATACTCGTGTTACTCTTTTTTGGTTTGATAATTTACAGCATAAAATAATATAATTAATAATAAAAAAAACTTTTCATCTAACTTTATGTACATAATTAAACTAAAAACCTCTATTTTCAAATAATAAAAAAACTTATCGCGAACTATTTCAGTTTCAGCCAAACAATTAATTCATGATTGAGATTTATCGAGCTTCCGTTCCTTTAAATCATAAAAGAATGAAGAAAGTGAGTCGACTCACGATTCATTCTTTTCACTTCCACTGACCCGACCTGATAAATGATCGTGAAAACTGACAGTTGATTAAGTTGTCAGAAAATAAAAATTTAGCACGTTAATTAATGAAGTTTTTACATATTTTTAATTAATTGTAATATTTGGTTGAATTCAATCGACTTCCTATCTCTCATCAAAGGAATCAATCTTAATTAATTAATTTCAATTGTATATGCGTTTAAATAATGAAATTATTAGTTGCTTACTTTCCCTCCACTTAATTGAATCGATTAAAAGGATTTTGGTTTGTTGGTGAAACATTTTTAAGTCTAAGAAAGAAAAATGAAAACGATAAAAAAAGAAAGAAATTCTTATTTTTGTAAGCTTATTAAATTTCTTTTAACGATTTAAGATTCTCCTTTTCCTTCTGCAAAGATGATGATGGTGTAATTAAAACGACAATAATTATCTCTTTCAATTTACAATGATGACGACGCTTGTTGATAGCAAACCAACATGTTTTTCTCTCTTAATATTTATTAACACGAGACAATAACAACTAAGAAAGTAGAGTCGAGTCATCCACCAAATTTGTCATTCTTTGCCAAACATTCTCAAGCAGCTTATTGGAGATTGACGGACAACAAAAGAATAATAATTATAATTATAATGATTAAAAGTTTCTAAACTAATAAATTGTACTTTTCTCTTATTTTTTTCCTTTCTTTTTCATGAAAATCAACTGATAAGAAGTCAAGGTGTAAGTCCCAAGTTGCAAATAATTTTCACAAGTCACAAATGACTCATTTCTTCATCTATCAATTTAATGATCTTTGACCAAAAGACTTAACGTAAAATAATGGTTTTCATTATTGGTTTGCTGCGTAAAGATAAAAAGATAAGAAAATTAAATTAAAGCTCTGAAAACGTTTTCTTCAAACAAACCTCACAACTGAGTTTCATTCTGGATCGACAATCAACATGATTTGCTGTGTTGGTTCGTTGTTTCTGATGCATTCGTTCTGATGAGTTATCCAGTCTTTACGTTGACAGAAGGTTGAACAATATGGCGTTCTTCGACAAAGTGAACATTCAGCCATTGCATCACGATTACAATTTGCGCACTTTTTAAATAATTTTGAAAACATAAAAATTTCATCGAATGAAAGAAAAATGAAAATTTTACCTTTTTATTTGATATCTCAACTCCCGGTGGTAACTGAGCGCTGATATTATTTGGATCCTCCATTTGACTAGCGGCGAGAAGAGCGGTGTCACGTTCACGTTGAAGACGCTCAACATGCTTCGTGTAAATCTCTTTACAATCATCCATACAACGTTTCAGATCGGTGTTAAGTTGGTTGAGTTGCTTTTGAATGCCTCGCATTCGTTCAAATGGCACGTTGAATTCCGCTAACACTAAACAATTTTTCCTTTAATTAAAATGAAATAAAAAATTTAAAATTTTAAACTCACAACTTTGGTCCACAACATAATCAGCTGGAATTTCTTGTATCGCCTCCGTCACTGTCTGCCATGGTGCAACAGACTCTTCTTTCACAGCCGGCGTAACGCTTGGCGCAAACGTGATGTTCTCAGTCTCAACATCATCAGAACTTTCAGCACCGCTCGCTTTCACATTCAAAATATTCACACTAAAGCGTTTCTTTTTAATTCCATTGTTTGCATTAATTGTGACGGTGTTGTTGTTATTGTTGTTACTACTATTATTATTACTGGTGCTGTTGATGTTGTTCTGTATCGGTGTCGTCTGAATGTGAAGTTGTTGTGTTGTGTTATTATTGATTATGTTTGTGTTGTTGTTAAGATTGGTGCTGTTGCTGCTGTTTGTTGTGCTCACTGGTGGTGTTGTAATAGTGACAGTTGTCGTCCCATTTCCACTGTTATTCAATGAATCATTATGCTCTGATTGAGCCTTCCGTCGACGCTTATAAGGTGTGAAAAGACGAACAGGACCTGATGCAGCTAAAATTCATTAAAATTGTTGCGCAAATAAAAGAAAAAAGAAGGAAAAGAAGAAAAGTCAATCCAAAAGCAGATTAATCTATTTTTAAATGCGCATTCGATGCTTTCTCTTTCTATTTTACAACACAACATGGATTCTTATGATCGCGCGTATCAAGTTCTAAAAATAAATTCAACTCACTAGCATCATCATCACAACATGCCGAGCATGTACAGCTGGTAGCGTGTGGGGTCAATACACCTTCATCAATGAGTGCTTGTAAGCTTCGACCACCATAACGAATTGATCGCTTCCAATCTTTACTCGAGCCACGTCCACAAAGATTCTCGAACTCACTTGGAGTGTACCAGCCGTCCTTGTGCTTTATACATCGACCACGTCCACCAGAACCAAGACGTGTTTTATATAATTCGGCTGTCGTCGTTTTACATCGAATTGGAAGAATGTCCATATTCATCGGTTGCTCGGCCCAATTGCCGCTAGAACTTGACGATGTGTGGTGACTATTGTTGCTGCTGTTTTGATGATTTTGACTGTTGACTTGTTGTTCAACTTGCTGTAGTTGGTGCTGAACATCAGCTGCTATTTGTTCGGCTGTTGGTTGCTGTTGTTGTTGTTGAATAACAATGGTCTTGAGGCTCTCTGTTGAGTTGGCGTCACCTGATGAGATAACATTGCTTGAGATGAAGCCATTGTTGTCGAGACAAAGCATTGGCTTCATTATATGTTGCATTTGGTCACTAGATATCATAGATCCAACGGGTAATGTTACTGGAACACTCACTAACTTCCTAAAATTAACATCAAATACTTCATTTAACACAACATAACAAGCTTCGCCTTCTCGTCTCTCTCACCACTGATTTGTTCCGTTGTCTGTGCTTGTTACAATGCGTGCTGTCAATGTTGGATTCTATAATAACAATTAAATTAAATATCTTTTCAATTTTGATTCATTCATTTCAATGCAAATAGTTGCACACGAAAGAAATAAACAAAAAAATTATTTTGAGACGAAGAAAAATTTACTTTGATGATCCAGTGGAAATGAAAATTGAATTTTTAGCACTTTACTCTTTATAAGAACAATTAAATTTTATGTAATAATCATTATGCTATGTTTTTCAAACACAATATAATAATGTTTATAAAGAAAATGCTTACATTAACTTCATTATGTTCACTTTTCATTATTTTATTTTCTGAATTATTTGAATCCGAGTTTTCCATCGAATATAGATGAACAGATGCTCGCGGGGTAATTCTTTGGCTGTCACGAGACGTGACCAGCTTCCTCACAGCTTTTTTTGTCCTCGTTGATAACGAGATGTTTGTTATCCAAACTTCTGTTTAAAAAAAGTAATTTTTATAAAAATTTTATTTTAATCCGAACGCTTTTTCATTCGAAATTATCGAGGGGAATGGCGAGGTGAAGTTTTGACTTACAGAAACGGAACGGGCACTTGAAACGTATCGTCAGTTACTGCTTCATGTTTGGTTATAAACTTCCTGCCTTTCTTATGATTCCAATGAATTTCATGACAATAAAAATGTTTTATTAAAATATTTATTCATGATAATAATTGATAATAAATTGAACAATTAATATTTAGAATTAAAATGATGAATTTAATCCCATTTGTCATCCAATGCCAAAGATTTCGTATTTAACTTAGAACAAAATTTGAATTATTATTGAAAGAAAATAACGTAAAGAGCCACGATAATCATGACGATTAAGATTGTGTAAAGTGTTCGGCGGAAATTGTATTTGCGATCCCATGAATCGAAGAGTTGTCCCATGTTCCACCAAAATCCTTTTTTGCTGCCAGCAACTGCCTTTGTTGGATAAGAGTAGTTATCTCTTGATGTTCTGTATGTTGTTGTCGTATAAGAAGTGACAGGAGGAGGAGTTTCACGATTTTTTTTGTACTTCTCCATTCCTGCGTCTAATGGCTCAGCTCTTAATGTGCTCAATCGTTTAGCAAAGTTAGACAAGTATGGTGCATTTGTCTCATCAATAACATCATCGTCATCATCTTCATCTCGATAAACCTTCTTATCAGCATAGCTGTATGTTCCTCGAGGATTAAAAGAAGTTGTAATTGATGTTTTTCCAAACTGCAACGGCGCTGTTTCTTTTTTTGTGAAACTCGAAGTTGAAGTTGAAAAAGTTTTGCGTTGTACAATTGGTGAAGGCTTTCTTGGTACTGGAACTTCATCATAGCCATCTTCAATATTGCTTGAGTCTTCAGTACTTTGTTGTTCTTCAATTATATCTTTATTTGTTGTGATGTAAGATGTCCGAACAGTTTCGGCTTTAGCCAAAGTTGGCGTGCGAGAACGTGAAGTTCTCTTTACTGGAACTTCAATTATATCTTCATCGGAGTCTTCAATTACTGTTGATGAGGGTATAGGATTTCTCACAGGAGTTGGTCGTGAAGATTTTCTTGATGTTGCTTTATTGGGCGTGTCAGCTCGTGAAGTTGCTCCACTTGCTGATGCTCCATTTGCTGCTGATTTCTTCGCTTTTTCGGTTACAGCGATTGTAGCACGACGATTTGGAGTCTTTTCACGCTTACCTCCTTTATTTGTTGTTTCTGGTTCTTCGTCGCTGCTGAATTTGGAAACTGCTACCGTTTCCCGGCGACCTTTTGAAGCTTGTCCTTCGATTGCATTTCGTAATTTTTTGACAAGAACTCTACGAGTTGTATCGGTAACAGGCATATTAGCAAATCCATATTGATGAAGACGTATACGAAGTTGATCGTCAGTAAGCAACTCTAAATTTTCCATCGTTTTGTTTCTTCTTTCCGTTAACCTTCACTATTTATTTATTGTTATTAGTTTTCAGAATTTTGGACTAATTTTTAAGCTAAAATGATGAATTTCGTTCTTTTAAGTTGATGATGAACAAAGAGTTTCCTTTTATTATGAAATTAACTTACAAATACACGCAGTTGAGATGAAACAAAAATTTAAAACACAACATAAAAAAGTTCAGCTTTGTTGAATGAAGCGAAACATGAGTTGGGGATGCAAAATTCTGCTTCTGTAACTTGACTCACAATGTGTCTTGGAACAAAAACTTGTTTGTGACAAAGCACTGAAGTCCGCGCGGGATTAAAGCCCTTAGTACTATGACGATTAGGTTAGTTTTCGGGATGATCAGTAACGCAGCTTGACGATCAGTAACGCAGGAATTCGTTCGTGCGTAGATCTGGCTAACTTCTAAGAGACCAGAACTTGAACAATTGATTGAACGTAAATTAAATTTGTCCGACTGTCAAAAAAAATTCAACTCATCTTAGAGTCGTCAAATATTTTTATTTAAAACAGAAATTACGCAAGAAGAAATATTAGAAAGAATGGATGATCTTTTGGGATGTGATTTTCTTGAGAATCCAGTTTCAACTGGTGTAAGTATTGATGAGTTTATCCAGTTAATTGTAAAAAGCTTTCGTCGTAGGTTAAATTAAATAATTTTGCTTTGTAATGGTTTTGTAAACAAATGTTTATGCCTTGAATTACTTCTTTTAGACAACAATTATGGCTGTAGAGTTCGCTGGTGGCGTGATTATTGGCGCTGATTCACGAACTAGTACTGGTTCTTATGTCGCTAATCGAGTTACAGACAAATTGACTCGAATCAGTGATAAAATTTACTGCTGTCGCTCAGGATCTGCTGCTGACACTCAAGCAATTGCTGATATTGTATCTTATTCTACATATTTTTCTGAAAATCAAAATGGAAAAGAAGCTCTTGTATCAGAAGTTGCTGCAGAATTTCGACGTTTCTGTTATAATTATCGCGACTCTCTTGTTGCCGGTATCATTGTCGCTGGCTACGATGATGTTAAAGGTGGACAAGTTTATTCAGTTCCACTTGGTAAGTGAAGGCATTCATGATTTCTATTTAATCAATTTTAATTACATTCTTTTCTAGGTGGTATGGTAATTCGTCAAAGCTGCACAATTGGCGGTTCTGGAAGCTCTTTCATTTATGGTTTTGTTCGTGAAAACTATACAGAAAATATGGAGAAGGAAGATTGTGTTGAGTTTGTAAAGAAAGCAGTATTCCATGCAATGTTTCATGATGGAAGTTCAGGTGGTGTCTGTCGTATTGGAATCATTACAAAGGATGGAATTGAACGTCGCATCTTCTTCGCACCACCATTGAACTCACTTTCTTTAATGACACCAGTCGCAGCAACACCCGTTGCTGTTCATCATCACCATCGTTAAAATTATTGTCATGCATTCTTTTTTCTATAAATTTAAATTCTTGAATCTGGGAAAATAAAAACATTAAAAAAGTTTAACGTATTTTCTTATTTTGAATTTACACGCACACATTCTCAACTTCACTTTTCTTGCAAATAAACATTTTTAAGATCAAAGATTTCAACTCTGCGAATTCATCGCCACTTCTAAGAATCTTTGACACTTATTTCATCTTTTAATGTAATCATAAATTCAAGTGAATATCAAGATCAGCTACAAATATAAGGAAATCAACAAATTAAAGGTGAAAAGTAAAATCATGGACAAAAAAAGTGAAAGTGAAATTTTATCACAAAATAATCAGCCAAACTCAGACGCATCAGGCTGGAGTTGTTTACCGGAGAATATTTTAATAAAAATATTTAAGTACATAAGTGTCAAAGATATTCTTAACTGCTCAGAGTGTTGCAAGCGATGGAATTTTGTGTCAAATGATAATTTATTGTGGAAGTTTTTGTTTCAACAAGATTTTAAAATCGAAAAAAAGATTCCTAGAAAACCAGGTGAGAATAAATACCTTAGTTACATCATCAGTTTGTAATAGATATTCACTGTCATTCTACGTTGCATAATTAAACTTGAGATGATGATAAATGAGCGCGAATCAATGAGAAAATGCTTTGAAAGAAGAATCGAAGAATGAACACAGAACACAGAAATGTTTGAGAATCTGTGGTGTAACTTGTTGTGATGTCATCGACTTTAAATCATCTGTTTTTGTATACAATAAATGTTTGCATGCTGCCAACATGTTTCAATGGTTAATGTTTATAAATATTTTTTTATTATTTATCTTAGGCTCATCTTGCTGGTATGACGAATATAAAAGACTTTGTGACAATGTGCCTTTAGTTTTAACAGAAGTTTTGACCAAACACACACATCAAGTGCTTCATGTCAGCTTTTCTCACAATGGAAAAATGTTTGCAACTTCATCGAAAGATGGATTTATTATCGTATGGACATCGAGCTTCCCTTCAAAACTCAAATATGAATACGATACGAAGAATCTTTGTTGGAAGTACACGCAATATTCACAATTTAATCAAAGCGACACACTTTTATTGGTATCCGGTGTACATTTTGGTACTCCAAATTCGACTTCAGGAGAAATCGCAGTGTTCACAGTTGCAAATGGCTTTCATTTACGTTGTAGAGTGCAAAACAAACCTTACGATATCTTCGGTTGTTGGTTTAGTGATCAACATTTACTGTCGGGAGATTTACGGTGGTTAGCTCATCTTGTATCTAAATCAACAATTGTCTTGAATAAAGCGAATCAAGAAATCGATTCCGAATACACGCCAGTCATGAAGGAATTGTATAATTTTTACAATAGAAATGCATCATCAATAAGAAACATAATGTGAGTTGAAATCATTACTAAAATATTTTTGATTAATTATTGAATGAAATTCTGTTAGGATTGCACAATGTCCATGGTTGGAAGATGATTTAGATCCATCAGCTGGTCCAAGCACTTCACAACAACCAACAAAAAGTGATCAAGAAAATCTCCGTCAAAGTGGAAATCCAGTTTCAAACTTTGCTGGTCATCTTTCTCATTCATCGCGTGATTCGCCAGCTCCACATCAACAAGCAGACAACGATGATTATAGTTATGAATGTCCAATTAAATACAGTGAAGAATTTCGACGAGAATATGAAGAAGCAGTGAGTGAATCGTCATCAGAACTTGATGACTACATCGATATTGATATGACTGATGAAGATCTTTACGAAGACCTCGACGAAGCATGTCCAAAATATTTAATTTTCTCCACTGGATCTCGCACTTATACTCCACATCAAATCGGATTAAAACGAGTTGGAAAAGTGAATTTTCCTAAGAAACTCGACCCGGGACCTTCGATACAAGAACGATTAGCATTGCGTGAACGTCGCAGACAACTTGAGGTTCTTATCAATTCTCTCAGTCCCGAAGAAGCTCGTTTACAATTTGCTAACTTTCAGAATGGCCCAGATTTACGTCCAGACCCAGACTGGTTAAATTTCGAATCTGTTGCTCATCGATTTGATTCAATTGACGCGTTAATTGATCTTGAAGGTCACATAATTGGATTGGGCTTGTCACCCGACAATCGTTTCTTATATGTCAATTCGAGGCCTTGGCCCGTCAATTGTGTGATTTCCAATCCTTTAGATCCACCGCCAATTTCACAAGAAATTGATATTCATGTCATTGATCTGCAGACATTGAAGAAAGTTGGAACAATGTTACGAGCGCATAAAGCTTACACTCCCAACACTGAATGCTTCTTCATCTTCTTGGACGTGTCAGATAATTTTGTGGGTTCTGGAGCGGAAGACCGTCACGCTTACAGTTGGGATCGTGAGTTGATTCGAGTATAAAAAAATAATTTCCGTTGAAATTTCTCTTTTCCAGGATATTATGGAATCTGCCTTGCAAGCTACCCTCACACTGATGTCGTTAATTCTGTTGCCTTTAATCCCAAAGATGATCAAATGCTAATCACAACATCGGATGACTACGAAATAAAAATATGGCGAAGTCAAATGTCTGTCCGTGAACAAGGAATCGCTGGCATAATGCGTGCTAATGAAGTAAAAAATAAGCACAAAAAGAAGTGAAAATTATTTCGAATATTTATTTACTGTGTTTGTTAAATATATAAATGTAAATATACATTTTTCTTGTTTGAATAAAATTTTTATCCCTTGTTCATAATTATTTCATATTTTCAACCAGTCACAACTTTATTACATTGCAAAAAAGGAAAATAAATTATGTTCAGCGTATTATGCGTCACAGTGTGCTGGGTTGTTGATTTTGTAGTAGAACAAAACGCTTTCTAGAATATTTTCCATTAATATTCTTATCATGAATAAGAATTGAGAAAGTCAGAAGCGACGGAGTCAGGAAGTTCATGTGTTTTATCTCGAGTTAATTTTTTTCTCCTTTCCTTGAAAATAATTTTTTCATATGCAAAACAAACAGAAGTATCTAAGCAAATATTTGTTCTTGAATTAACTCTCATAAAATGAGTATAAAAATTTAAAATATCGATTTGACCTAAATAGCGCCAAAAATTGCTTTAAGGTTTATGGCCTCCACTTCGATGATAAAATTGTTTTTCGGTATCAAAATTAGATCAAAATCATCTTCTTTTCTGTTCTATTCAGCTGAATAAATAAATTTTAAGGCAATTTGTTTTTTTTTTATTTTTCTTGCTTAACGCAAACATATTGGTGAACGAGAAGCCGATGAAATAAATTCCAATATCATTACCGAAAACAAAATATGCTTACAAAGATAAACTTTTGATAATAAAATTTTATGTCAAACGCTGCTGAGTTTGATTAAAATCTATTGAATGTTTTCTTCTTTTATTAAATCGTCTCAGAAGTTTTGTTTTCAATATTCAATGAAAGCGAAAGAACATGATGAGTAGCTAAAGCTTCTTCATGTTTTCGATGTTTCTTTTTACGACTTCCTTGATGCTTTTTTCATCATCACACCCAATCCAAAACATCGAAACTCCGAGATGTTAAGATAATAACGTGCACGAGTTTGTTTTTTTTTCTTCCCCTCTTGATTCTCGACGATTTTTTGATATGATCCGGTAATTGAAAAACATTGTTCAGGAGGAAACGATTCTTTCATAAATCAATTGATGGTTGAAGAAATAAATTTATTCATGAAAAATTACTTTAATGATTCATTCAATTGAGAAAATATTCAGAATTCATGTTGCCAATTAAAACGCTTAGATACGTTTATCACTAATTAAATATATGACTAACGCTTGCTGTTTGTAAGTTTATTTGTGAAGAATGTAATTTGATAAACAAATAAAGTGGAATTCTTTTAAACGTCACATAAAAATAAATAACAAACCGCGAAATTTTAAAGTCCCACAAAGACCCAAACAACATTAAAATTCCGAGCATAATTTCTATCATAATTCTACATCGTGACATTTATTGTGTTTTGATTTTGTTTTTCCTTTTTATATTTCTCTCGAATGGACAAGTTTCACAAGTTTGAAGTTGAATGTTGAATGCTACAAACTTCAATGTTTCAATGCTCCATTGTTGCTCTCTTAAAACATTGAACCAAGCATTGAACATTCATTTCATTGTTTCAAGCTCACAATTCTTCGCGTAGTCAGATAGAGAAGACCCCTTAAAGTCAATTTTTTTGGTCCGTCTCGCAAAATAAGAGTTTTGATTAATACATTAAGCATTAGTAGTAATTGAATAGTCATCGAGGAAAGTGAAAACATATACATAAACTGGAAAATATTGTGTCACCTCGAAATATTTGATAATTTATTAAAAATTCTTTAGCTTTTGCAAGTGACGTCATAATCATCAGCTTTTAAAAAAATATTTAGATACTTGTACAATAAGCAGCAGATCAGTGAAATTTTTTAAGAAGAAAAAAGTAATATAACAAAGAAAATAAATAAATTCACCTAAACTTGTTAAATGAAGCTTTAGTAATTCCATTGTGATAACGATTGTAGAATAATTCTCATGATTATGCAAATTCAAAGTTTTTTTGCGATGTTCTGTCCCTGGGATGAACATCTACGTTTTAAAATCTCGATGCTTCATATTATGATGAGCAAGCATTGTGACAAATTATTATGGTTAGGCGGGGGAGAAAGATATCATAATCATCATCATCGTTGAAACAATAGATAAAGTCGACTGCCGATAGCTTTCAGCATTAACAAACCTTTGCGAAAATTGCGTGAAGGGAAGAAAATTTTAGGCGTTTCTTTTTGCAATTGTCAATATAAATACGCACAGTCTGCACATGCTTTTTCCTTTGTCTCCAACATAATTTGAAATGTAAACAAAATTCGCAGGAAATATCACAAAGTATGTTAATGTTATGTGACTTTTTTTTTCTGTTTTGTTTGCTTGATCTATGATTATTTAAAGTGGTGAAAGTTTAATTTCGGCATTTCATTGACATAGAAAATCAAATTTAATTTGTTTAATGTCACTGCCAAATGTCAATATTTACAAAAAGTATTTAAAACATTATTCAATTGCTAAGTTCATGAACAAATGAAGAGCATAATTTGTTGTTTGAGCAAACAATTTTAATTGTGTGGTTCGGATAATTTGTGAGCTGTTCTTTTATGGTAGAGACAACAGTTAAGTACGACATAATAAGCATGAGACAGCAGTCGAATGAAAGACAAGAAGCAAATTGATATAATGACTATCTATATCTTCTGTGGTTTATATTCTGCTTATGAAACAGCATGTTGAGTTGAAAATAAGCCTGTGGTCATTATATTAGTAAGTAAGACCCTTCACCATTCCCATCACTTATGATTTCCACTAAGAAACTTACAAGAAAATAATCCATTTTTCAAGAAACCTTAAAAAGGTTCGATTTGTGACGGGCCAGGCGAGAAAAAGGTTTTCGTTTTCTTTTTATTATTAAAATATGGGCAAATCCCAAAAACAAATTTAAGAGAGTTTTAAATAAGAATATTAAACTTTTTATCAGCTCCCCACTTACATGTGTTAAGTCGAACTGCGTCAGAAATTTGTTTTCATTTTTTTAATATCAATTTTGTTCTGGATTACTCATGTCAAGAATTATCTCGCATAAACTTCTTTCAATTCCGAGAATGAATGTTTGGGTTTTTTATTCGCAACGAAAAAATATTTTAATCAAATAATGTAAGAGGAAAAAAATATGTTTCAAAGTTGAGTTACAAATAGATAAGTGGGAGATGAGATAGCATCGTAAACGAAATAAATAAAACATTTTCCTTCACGATATTTCATGCCAAGGATAATTTGATGATGGAGAATCGGAAATCATTAAAAACTTTATCAAAAAAATCTGAATAAATCGTGCTGTGGCGCTTAAAATGAAATTAATTAAATTGTGTTTCACCATTAAAAAGAAAAGCGAAAAGAAATAAATTAAAGTTTAGTAAAGTTTCAATCTGATTGATAAATATTATACTTAAATATCAAGATATCTGCTTCAACGTGTTCATTATTTGGCAAGCAAATTATCTCTACTTATTTTAAGACGATTATCGTAACTTGATAAACTTGAATGAAAAGTTTCTAAGAAAATTTCACTTCCGCCTCAGGCACTACAGAAAAAAGTCGTAATCTATATTCGATCTCCATAATTAATCTTGAATTTCATTATAAAGCATTGCGAAGTTAGAAGTTAAAAGGCTGAAATAAAAATTAGGATCAAAACTTTTTCCATTACCAGCTTAGCTTCGATGATGGGAATTTATATTATCCTGAAAATTAGAATCGGGAAGTCTTTGTGCACAGTTTTTCCCTTTCATATTTTCACGCATTTTATATTCAGTCAGGGCCACGATGATTTTTCATTTTGTTTCTGCTGCTCTTGTAATGAATAAAAAGAAACGGCTTTCAAACAAATTATATCGTAGTAATGCTTAATCAGTTTTAAAACAGAGGCAGATAGCTACAACAAACAAAATTCTTCTGTTTTCCGCTGGCAATGAGCCAACGAACAAGATGAAAATGAGTAGAAAAACTTAATTTTTTTGTAATAAATAAAATTTTAGAAAGAGTTGAGTTGGAAACATCGCAAGTTTGAATAACATTGGGAAGAATGTTGCTGGTTGAAGCTTGCGTTGAGAGTGTGACAAGCCAACATTGACTCTGAAGAACATTCATTTCATTGATGAAACATTATACAAGTTGACAAGCTTCAAAACTAGCAACATCTTGATTTTTTTGCTTTGTTTCTGTAATCTGAGAAGTCTGCGGCGTGCTCGAGAAGAGAAAGCAAAATAAAGAAAAACGAAAGTTGATTTAATTACTAGAGCTTCATTCGAATGTTTTGGTTTGCAAATTATTAATTGCCTTTCTTAATCATCAACAGATAAAGACGAAAATTAAAATTAACCAACACGAGGAGACGTGAAAAAAAAGAATCAATTGAAAGCTGACCAATGCTGGTTTAAGTGCCTTGTTAAATCAAAAAAGAGAGAAAGAAGAAAATCAAAATAAACATCAACAACTTTGAAGGGATCATTAAAAGAAATGCTTACCAATCAGAAGAAGTCTAAAGGGGTGGTAAATTGGTTTTCATCACTACGACGACAACCAAAGAAACAAAACTCCTTAGATAGCAGCAAATTACTACAAAAGAGTTGCATCGACCTCTCTGGCGGTGCCGGTGAAACGTCTTCCGAGCATGACTTATACTTCAATGCAACAACAAAGCCTTCCAAAGTAAAATTAAACAGCAATGATAAAACCTCAATCACCAGCAACTTTTGTACAAATTGTTGTAAATTCTCATCGAATACTACATCACCAACATTTGGTGCCCAACATTCACCAGTTGCCGATGATGACCTCGAACAGATCGATCAATTGCGAAAAGTACTGATAGTTAGCGAAGAGAATTTTAGTTCAGCTCGTAATCGCGATGGTGATAAAACAGAAAAATCAAAATTCGCTTCAAATCTTTTGTTGTATAATAAGAAAGAAGAAATTGGCTGCACGACGCGAACATTAACCACAAAAATATCAGCTAAGAAATCCTATAACAAGAGTGAGATAGAATCATTAATGACAAACGCCATAAATACCCACCAGCAACTTATCAACCATCGACAATTATTAAGCGCAAAGAATCGTGATGGAATGATTTTTGATGACAATGGTCGATTGATGACCAGTGATAATGATGAAACTGTTCCACTTCCATTTGTATCATCAATTTTAGATGTCAGTTCGATTGAATTTATTGACAGTTCCGCACAAAATAGTGATATATACAATAGGGCAAACATGGAGCATAGTTGTAGCTGTAACATAAGCAAATTTATGCCGGGAAACTACAACACATTGCCGAATAAAAGTTCTTCTGAATGGTATCGTCAGGTATGTCAAGAAATTTCCATTGATAAAAATCGAAAGTCCTAAAACTTTCCATTTTTCTTTTCTACAATGACAGCAAAGCAAGGATGAAGTTTGTGAAGTCGTACAAGAAATGGATTCAAATGATTCCAATACAAAACATTCCACTAAAGAGAAACAAATGTCGATAGGAAGGAAAAAGTTTAACATGGATCCGAAGAAAGGTAAGATTATCATTTGGGAGTCGTAAAGTTTTTGAAGGCGCATTAGTCGTAAAGCTTCTGACTTATAATTTAATTTTATGTCCTTTCATTTCAACGCAGGTATTGAATATCTTTATGAGAATCATCTGCTTCGAATTGATGCACAGGATGTTGCCCACTTTCTTTACAAAGGTGAAGGACTCAATAAAACTGCTATTGGTAAGTTTCGATACTTTCTTTCTATCATCTCATCATTGATATCTATCAAGCACATCTTAATCAATGCTTTTCTTTAACAATTCACAGGCGACTTCTTGGGTGAAAAGAATTCTTTCAATGAACAAGTTTTGAAAGCATTCGTTGAACTTCATGACTTTACAAATCTTATTCTTGTTCAAGCTTTACGACAATTTCTTTGGAGCTTTCGTTTGCCTGGTGAAGCTCAAAAAATTGATCGAATGATGGAATGTTTTGCACAACGTTATTGCCAGTTAAATCCTGACATTTTTACAAATACGGATACTTGTTATGTTTTAAGTTTTGCGATTATCATGTTGAATACGTCATTGCATAATCCATCAGTTAAAGATAAACCAACTGTTGAACAGTTTATTTCCATGAATCGCGGGATAAACAATGGAGGCGATTTGTCGCGTGAACTTTTGGAGTCACTCTACGAATCAATTCGTACGGAACCGTTTAAAATTCCACAAGATGATGGAAATGATCTTATGCATACATTCTTTAATCCTGACAAAGAAGGTTGGCTGTGGAAGCAAGGTGGACGTTACAAAAGTTGGAAGCGACGATGGTTCATTCTAAATGACAATTGCTTGTATTATTTTGAGTATACCACCGATAAGGAGCCGCGTGGCATAATTCCGTTGGAAAATATTCTAGTGAGTTGATTTATTCCATCATTTTTCTCTTCACTTATTTCATCATCGCCTTTTCTTTTCTTACAAAGGTCCGTGAATGCAAAGTAGCAGATAAGAGTAAGCCTCATTGCTTTGAGCTTTATGCTGGTGGCTACGGAGATATAATAAAAGCTTGCAAAACTGATTCGGAAGGGAAAGTAAGCTATTAGTTGATGTTTGAGATTTTACCTTGATTTCATTATTTAATTGATTATTTCAGGTTGTCGAAGGTAAACATACCGTTTACCGGATGTCGGCGGCTACCGAAGAAGAGAAAAATGAGTGGATTAAATGTCTCACTCATTCTATTGCTCACAATCCATTTTATGAGATTTTAGTGCAGCGTAAGAAAAATGCCGTGGTTACAAGTTAATACATAAATATTTTACATTCTAATGAATAGAATAATTTATAATAATTTTAATGAACATTTTAATCTTCTGATCATTTTTAAAGAAAGAGAAAAAAACTACATAATCGCATTTTAGCTCTTAAGATTTTTTTTGTTCCCAGTTTAACGTTGGTTGTTGGAATGTTATGGAAGTGCAATAAAGAAAAAGCTGAGAAATGATAAACAAAGTTTTTGTTGTTTAAGAATGATTAATTGCAGAATAGTTTTTGCGGGTTGAAAGATTTTCGTTTTTTAAAGTTGATATGTGTAGTAGTATTATGACATTTCATGATGAGCATAATAATATTTGAAACGTAAGTAAAGTTACAATTTAAAGTTCTTTGAAAATTTCTTTGAAACATTTGATTTTAGTTTTTGTGCTGCCATCTATTGTTGGTGATCGAAAACAAACGGTTCAAACAAGCTTCTTACCCCCCGACTTTGATTTTGATACCCTGTGCTTTTAATAATGTGAGTGTACGTAAATATTCACGTAAATGTTAGTAAATTACTCAGTTTATTCCTATTCAATCTTGTTAGACGTCTCAAGCTTGAAGGTTGGATTCTGTTCAATTACAGAAATTTTATCCAATAAAAATCAATTTTCGCGAAAAAAATCGTCAAAAAAGACCAACAATAGATGAAAATAGATAGTGCTTAAGTTTTAAAGTGAAAAACAGAGTGAAAACTAACAAATTGTGTAGAAAATATCGAAAAAACAGTTTTTGTTTTGATTGCTCACAGCTAAAAAAATATTTTTTTCATAAATAATTTTAAATAACTTCAATTAAGTGTTCACTTGGTGTTATCAAATAATTTAAAGTGCTTTGTATCATCAACTGATCAGTTGTAGTGATTTTTCTGCAATTGAAATCAGAATTTTCAGATCCAATAAGTGAACCAACTATTTGGACGTGCAAAAAAAATTAAATCTGGGCCACAAGCAAATAAAATTCAAAAGTAAATTAATTATAAAAGGCAAAGTGTTGTGAGTTTGTGTTTAAAAGCAAGTTATAGACCATTTGGCGTATAAAAGAGCCGCTTTAATCTTGGATTTAAATGAATAGATCTGGCGCAACAACAACACACTAACACATTCAAAAGTGGGATTAAGGACGCGAGCATCGTTTTGAATGGTGAGTACAAGTCGAAATGAGGGTTCATGTTTTTTTCATACCCGGAGGACAACATAAAACATTAACATATAGACGTTTTCATCCCTTTTATGTATCTTCGGATTCACTTTTTGGAAAATTCAATTTAACAATTGTGCAAAGATGTGGGCGCTTGACGTGGCGTAAAAACATTTTCCTAACTTTCATTCTCATCCTTTTTCACTCACACATGCAAAGTACACTTTTTTCCGAGGAGGAACGTGGAAAATTTCACAGAATTTTCTCTTCTGAATCTTTCGCCCCATCGGCACACCCAAAATCGCATGGAAATTTCATTGCGAAAGTTTCCAGCGCTTGGACAATCGCTGAAGTGAAACATTTTGCAAATTAAATTATCTCGATGCGCTCTTCTGTTTTCAAAGAAATCTGTGCAAAAAAATGTTTTTGATGAATAAACTTTTTATTTTGTTGCTTAAAGTGTGTGAACGGCTGGAAGCGAATAAAGAAAAAAAAACACAAAGCCAAGAAAATGAAAACAAAAATTTTAGTATATTTGGGTCATTTGATAGTCGAATTATTGTTCAGCACCTTTCACTGCTTCTCCCATATTTTAAAACTTTTATATTGTTTCTTCTGATAAGATAAAGAAATTCTTTATTCAATTATTTTCAAACATTTCTACTTCATCTAAACATTTTATTAAACTCTACGACCCTGAAATTCCGTTAGTTGCGAGACTGAACAGCAATCACGAGATGAAGGCGTGAATGACGAGAAAAAAAAAGTATAAACAACTAATGGGGAAGAGAATCAATGAGAATAGAATAAAGTTTGTGTTCATTTCGAAGTCTCAAGTCGATGAGTGACAGGTTATCAGTAACATAATACTCTTCGACCTAAGTGACTGCATCAGACTCTCATGGAATTTTGTCGCTTGATAACAGCTGCAATGACGCTATCTCCGAACTAAAGATGATGACTTCGAATTATTTTTAGCTCTCACTTCCCAGTATAATGAAATGATTCACTCTTTCGGATGCGAACAAGCACACAACAAGTTTGCACTCATAAAAGAAAGAAGGAAAGAAGGAACTTTCCTTAGAAATTTTTGCAGTTTATGGATTGATTTATGCGCCAGCTTAACATTGTAAGATTGTAAAATTTTATAATACTAAAAATGAACTTCAATGCGAGGTCAAAAATGGTGAAGAAGGCGCCCGTAGAACAGAAATATCTGGACTGCTTCCAACTTCCGACTGCGTGAATCATCGTCATCATCATCTGTTCGACATGAAGAATTTTCTAATTTTTCCGCACGGTATGCAGTTTTTCACTAAACTTGAAAGTCATTTGTAAACGGTAGAGAGTGGAGATCAAGAAACCAGTTTCGTTTCACAATTCTTCTTTCCTTCTTTCATCGAGCGATATTTTAAAGATGTTGATGTCACTTTTTCCACCTTTTTTTTGTTTCTCTACGCTGCGATTATCTTTTGCGATTTTTCATCGTCATCGTGTCCCTGCAGGTTCTGACTATCCGCAGAGTTTAGTGAAATGTTTGAAATATTGCACAAAAAAGAGAAAATAAGAACAAGAAAGCACTTTTCATTCAATCAATCACAAGAGAGAAGAAAATTTCGGGTCATTGGAGATGAAAAAATGCCTTGCGGACATCGACATCAGAATCCATCATAAACACGGGCCATTGTTCTCTACTCAAGCAGGAGCCTTAAAGAAAAATTCTGATTTTTTTTCCATTTAAAAAAAGAAATCATGGAGTATAAATATAAAAAGTAAAGCAGTAAAAGAGGTCATCACAGTTCATTGCTGTTGATTTATTGGAGAATTCAACATTTGACCGCACTTTTCTGTTGATGTGTGTACATGCGGAATGGCTGAAGCTAAATAAAGCGTCTTCATCTCGTCTTAACCACGAAAACAGCAAACAAAACAATAAAAATACTTTGATTCGCGTCGCTGGGCTTACGTTTTAAGAAATCTCAATCATTGCATAATGGTTTCGTTTTTCACGATTTGTTTGTTCATTTGTTTGACTTCGACGGTAGTTCGAGGCGGCCCAACTAGGCTCGCGATTCGCGAAATTCCAATTTTGTAACACGGTTAGCTGCTGTTGTTGATGATGATGGTGGTGATGTAACTCACTTCATATTCACATGATGTTGCGTATGTTCAAGTGTAGTTGAGATTGACTTGCTTGATGCATTCTGATTGCATTAATAAAGAAAACGCAATCAACAGCCGACAATCATAAACTTAGTTGACCTAAATATGCAGCACAAGATGAAGCACAAATTGAGACTAAAAAATGAGAATAAAATCCCGCAATCGAAAAGATGTGATAAGCAACGTACAATGGCGACGATGACATCACGAAAAACTTTTAAATTCATCTAACAACATCAAAATTTCATTTTATTTTTGAAGAATGAAGATTAATACTTAGAGGAACTTCATGAAACTGAATATCTAATTATCAACTTAAATACTTATGACGATGAACTTCCGTTGAAGCTTCTTGATTGCAGTCGTGTTTAATTAAAATTCTGTAAAGCACTGAAGTTTTACATTAATTAAATAGTAAAGTTGAATTCATTCAAGGACGTTCAGTTATTGCTGATTTCACTACGAACAAAGCTCTTTTATTTTAACTCTTTTTTTATTTTGGGAAAAAAGATCTTTAAGGAAATATCTCGTCGGATTGTCTGTGAATTCATTCAAGGATGATTGGAAATTTTATCCGATTTTAGTTCGATGATTTTTTCGATTCCTATTGTTCCATTCAACTGTGAATTTGTTTATTTCTTTTTGCTTATTTTTTACTTCTCTTCGTGTTGCTTTTGCCAAGAGATTTGCATTTAAACTATGAAAAAGAAAAAAAACCGGTTCGCGTTTTGTGAATGGCGAGAACTTTGAAACTGTTTTGTTTTTTATTTTGTTTTTGCTTGTTGATTGCAATTTGATGGAGTGAGAAGGTTTTTCTCATTTCAATTACTTTAACAAGCTTAGATCATCGAAAGTCGTTCGGTCACAGCATTCAACAGTGACTTACTAATGACAATAGTAACTTCTGGCACGAATTGAACATAAGCGTGATTTATATTCTTGACAATGATGACGTTGCGAGGGCGATTTAAGTTTCAACCAAAAATAGATTCGTATCGAAGTCCACTAAATGCCACCATCGGCTCAGATATCGCTACAAAATGTGTTTTTATAAAGGGAGACTAAAAATAGTATTTATATTTGTGTAAATTTAATTAATTGGAATTTATGGTAGTTTATAAATTGTTTTTTTTCTTTTTTTATTAATATTGCGTATCGTTGGCTCGTTTGGTGATGACATTCGGAAGAATGTTCGAGTTAGCTAAGCGATAGATCGACCGCAACCGTTGGCTAATTGAGATATAAAAACTTTTGATTGTTTCGATTATTGCGACAAGAAAAAATGTTTTGAGAAAAATAGAAACTCATATTGAGATCTATAAAAACTGGCAACCTTGCACTTGTAGCCTCAAATCAATGCTAGCAAGTTGAAAGAGACTTTGATACACTAACACACACACATACATAGAGAGTCATAAAAAACATAATTTAACGTTCGTTCGGTAATTTCCTGCTTGATGTCAAATTTTGCATTCATAATATGTCACATTGATTATTAAGTTCAACGTCGTTAACGTTTTCTCTCTCACTCCCTGACAACGTCAATTCAACGCGATGTAAGTAAAGAATAATTTGAATTCACATCATAATTCATAAGTCGATGTTGACTTCATAATGAGAATTTACAATGTTTGTTAACATTTTATTTTTATTCTTTTTTTGGTTACAAAAATTTTTCTTTTCGCGTTGATTTGCGAAACTAGGTCAACATTGAAGGAAAAGCGGTTGAAAACATGACGTTGAGAGTGAATGAACTTCCTTAATATTAAAGTGTTAAGTGTACAATGTGCATGTTCATCATGCGATGACCGACCGTCAATTAGTTTTTCCACTATATGAAAGTTTATTCAACTTCCTTTCCTTTCTCTCATTCGAATATCATGAAAAACGGAGCCAGGAAGTTAGAAATTTCTTCAAGACGCTCCCACACAAAACAATTAGGTTTCATGCGTTTCTCGTTCTGATCTCATTAAATTCACGAGCGCATGCTGCGAAGTAACAATAAATGAAAATTCTTTCGTTTTATGCATTCCATTTGTCGATTGATTACAATTGAAAGGAACATTTTTTTCATGCAAATCAACATCATTGTTGCAGCTTTCGCTACATTTTACAAATTCATTAATGGAGCAAAGCAGAAAAGAATTTTACGATCCATGCATAAACTAAAATGAAACAAAAGGCGTCGAAAAAATATAAAAAAAGGCCAGCAATAAAAAATTGTAAACTTGTTTTTCTCTGCCATGCATTTTCGAATAAATATCCATCTACGGATAGATTGTTGTTGTTTACATCATCAACGGCATTCGTAACAAGCCAAAAATAACACAAACTCTGTGCTGCAATCTTTTCACGCTGTCAAATGCAGATTCCTTCGTTTTGTTTATTTGTTTTGACACAAGAACCAAGACGATGGAATGAGAAGAAGAGAGAAATGCAATGTTGTTGTGATTGCACAAACTATTGAAGTGTAAACATAAATGGAATGTTTACTAAACCCACATACGAACTTGACTTGAAGAAGGAAAAAAAAAAAATTAAAATTTCCAACATCTTCAATTTTCCGGTTTCATTGGCGCGTTTTTCCTTCTTCGTTCTCATGTTTTGTTGTTAGAAAAGCCTTTGGAATTTCCACGGTGAACAATTTCATCGATTTTCTTCGCTTCGACCTTATTAAAGGTTTATTTTGTTCCCAGGCATGTAAAATACTTTTCAAACAATATCAGTTCATTGTGACGAATAATTTTTCGAGGAAATTCCATCGTGTTGCTTCCTTCTTTTTCTTTTGAACAATATTTGAGATTAAACAAGATTGTCTGACGATGATTAATTAACTGGCAATAGTGAATCACTTTAGTAATAAAGTTTGACGGACAAGGAGGAAATTGAATCATATTTATTGAATATTTACACCCACGCGAGTCTCTTCATTGACTTAATTATATTTGAGACAGCTTTCTGACTTAATGACGATACGCAACGACTTGAAAATAATTTAAATCCTTTTCAACACCAGTCAAAATTTTCTCGTCTGCTTTCTTCGTAAACTTCGGAAATGGGAAAAAGGAAAAATGTAAATTTGGAATTTTTCTTCTATCAATGATAATCATTTTAAGTGCTTTCACATCACTTCTTCGTCCTATATTAAGGAGAAAACTTTTATTTCGTGCTTTACAAATTAATCTTGATGGTTGATAAGAAAACAAGCAAGCACGATGTTGTTGAACTTTCTTAAGATGTGAAGATTAAAAAGACATTTGGAAATTTTGCTCGTCTTGTAAAAGAATCAACGCGGAATCTTTTAGAAATGAGAAAAACGTTTTTCATTAGAAAAAGTTCCTGAATCTCATTGTGTCTTCGAGCTTTTGAATTTTCATGAGATGAAGCATTTGTTATTCTAAAGAAACATTGAGAGCTTCTTAGTAATACCTGAACCGTCATTTGGATTGAAATAACGACAATCAACTACACGTAGGATAAAAAGGACCATTTTGAGATGGGATCTGATACTGTGTCGATATTATCATAACATACGAAAATATCTTAAACACAACAACATTATTGACTCCATAGCGCAGAAATTTCTTATGCGATTTCTTTTCTATGTTCATTTTCGTAGGAATTGAAGAGTCTTAAGAGAAGAAAAGATTTTTGTTCGATGCGCAATAATTTATGCAAATGAGACGCTTCGATTTACATGCCTAAGTGAGTGGAATTCGATTGTGAGGTCGCTCGACATGGAATACTTGAGACGTCGATACAGAAAAGAGAAGCAAAAGTTCCATTACTGATAGGAAGGAATAAGATGAGAAACCTGCTTTGAAACCAACACAAAAACTTTGTCAAATGTGATGATAAGAAATGTTCGAGAAGGTTGGACGACGATACATGTGGAGTCACTTAAGCATGTTAATCGAATTACGCCACTTAAATGATAAAGTAAATTTACCGTAGAATTTTCTCCTTCACGAATACAATTTTACTGATAAAACGAATCAAGCGAATAAACTTCTTGAAACAATTGATTCAATGATAAGAAAAGACAGCAAACAGAAAAAAATTTTTAGAGCGATAGAAAGAAAGAAAACAAAAATTTGGCGAACTTCCATATTTGAAATTTCTAAGTGATAAGATAAACTCGTGGCTTCTTCTTCTTCTCCTTCGTTGTTACTGAATATAAAAGCTCGATTAAATTAATGAAAACCAACCGAGGAATGATAAGACGAGCAAAAACACAAAAATATTTCAATCTTGTGTTATTGGATTTCTCTCTTCTGGAACGTGAATGTAATTTAAACAAAACAACATCACAAATATAAAAAAAATATTTTTTGTTATCATTGAAACTAAGCACGAAGTTGGGCGGATTTGTAATTATCCGCCATTGCCTTAGTGCACATCATACAAATGTCACTCAACTGCTTAATTACTAATTAAAGGATTTTCTCTGCGTTCAACGAATTTCTTTGTCATCATCATTTTCATAAAACTAATTGAAACTTTCAACGTGTTCTCGTTATGAAGCTAGCTTAGTGTCAACGAAAATATTTTGTCATACAAATAATCCAACAAAACCACTTTGATTGTTGTGTTGAGATGAAATCTACAATGAAAGGAACTTTGGCATTAAACTGCTTCTAAATTTATCTGCGATATCGAATTCTAACACACATTGAAGAGATTTTTATTTATCAATCAACGAAGAGAAATGGCACATATTGATGCCAAATTGATGTCATGGTTTATATCTTTCTTCTTTATGCTTTCGCTTTATGTTGCTTTGATACTTCCTCAAACAATGACATAACAGTGATTCTTCATATTTCTTTCAATTTACGATCAAAGGTCGATTTACTGTGGATTTTCATTAAGCACCCGTGGAAAATTTTTCATGGAAAAGCAGGTCAAAAATGAGCATTATCACGTTGTGGGAGTCCAGCAGCGCTTGGTAATTTGTTGCGTATATAATCGCAACGGGATGAGACTTCATATTGTGTGCCGGTAGATTTCTGCGTGTCATCACGGTTCTGGTTCTCAAACGTTGCTTAACAGATTAATGGCTTACATTTGTTTGCTTAGATTCAACTTCTATCATGCTTTTAATGGGTGCGTATGGACAAAGGATGGTTCAGCATCGAGAACAAGGCCTATGAAAGCGAATCTAGGTCACGACATCGATCGATATGACATTTTTTACTTTTTGACTTCTTCCCCTAAATAAATTTACGAGCGACTCGTCTCCGACCCATTTCGATGACTAAATGTCTGGATGAGGGTGAAAGTGTTTCGTAATATAATATTTTGAATTCATTTAAAAAGTTGCTTCTGTTCTTAATGAAATGACAAACAACATGAAATATTTTTATGTTTATTTTCCTTCGACGAGTCTTCTGCTTTACATTTCACCGTCCCAAAGATCGTTAGGTAATGTTGATTAAGTTCATTTACAAAGGTGAAACTTCTGTCATGTCTCAAACCTCAAAAGGGCTGAAAGCGACATGAAACAAAAGGGTCAGACTTGCCTTGACGAGCCCTTCCTTTGTTAGCTTTCTAAAGCGCGAGGTCGAGGGAATTTTTAAACTTACAAAATATAATTAACGCAGCAAAACATCTCAATTAAAAGCTGATTTTTGAAATTGTCCAACTTTTCCTTCCCTCGAGTGTTCATGCAAATTTTCTTAATTGAAGTTTCTTTCCTTCTCTGAAGCATCTCCGGCGCTTGTTGAAGAAGGAAGAAGAAAGAAATGAAAATTGTGATAATTTTCAGGATATCTTGGAAAATTAAACATTTTTTTCCTTTTCCCATTTCAGAATTTTCATCAACTTTGAAGCTTGGGAATCCATTCAATCAAATGGTAAGTCGAAATAAAATCTAACAACCATTTTATTATCGAATCGTCTATGTTGAAGCCGATTTTTAACCTTATCAGACAAAATGGAATTGTTCTTCTTGCTTCCTTTTATTTGCTTAACAATAAACGTTTGGAAACCTTTTTCCCGGCCTTTTGTAGCGAAACCCATTCAAATGTTTGCCAAATAAATCCCAAACCTAGAACAAACATTCGCTTTTGTTTTCAAATCTCTTCTTTTTTTCTCATTTTGATTTCTAACTGATTTCCGTCACCTTTCTCGTTTCATTATTGCCTTTCGTACCTAATCAATGTATTGCGTTTTGAATTCATATGAAATTCCATTCCGTGTATGGTATCGACAATAAGCAACATGAATAAGTTTTCAAACACAAAACAGAAATTTAATAACAAAAAAATATTCGATATTCATCCCTGAGAAACCTTAGGTTGTTGTCTGTTTAACTTAGTTTGTCGTGACTATGAAATTGCTGACAAAATGACGTCGTTAAATTCCTCACATTTTTTTACTTTTTCCCCACCACCGTCGACCAGTGATTCAAGTTTCGTGCGCGGTTCTTAAAAGCACATATTTGATTTACGCCAGCTGCTTGGTAGTTTTAATGAGCACATTTTCAATGTTTATTTTCTTTAAAATCTCAGTGAGTTTCATTGAAGCGATTCAGATTGTGCTGACATAGCGATTAGCTGAACTTTTCATGAAGAAAAAATAATTAACAAGAATCCAATCGACCTTGCTTTAATTTTTTTCTTTATTTTTATTATAATCAAAGCTCCTCGTGGACGACAATCAATATTCTCGAAGGTTTTAAAATCTGAAACAACACTGTGGGGTTATTGATTTTTTTTATATGATTATTTAATTGGATAACTGTGAGAATGCTTGACTGCTTGGTTGGCTGAAAGGTAACAAAAATAGCTGAACAACAACTTTTTCATTCTCCTTACATTTATAATATTTTTATTCAACTGAATGCAAACAACATTGTAAAGCATACACATATATCCGATAACCGATTATCGTTCCACATCATCGAATTGAATAATTGAGTCTAATGACATTCAAAAATAAATGTTGCCATTGGCAAAACAAATTTTTATTTCATTTTACAAAGCTTGCAAGAAATTTTTGGAAAAGCATAAAATTCATCAGAAATTGTTTCATCCATTTTGATTAAATATCATAAAAACTCATTATTCTTGTGAATGCTGATGTTGGAAAAAGAAACTTTGCTTGTTGTTATGCAAATATTTCTTTTATGCGATCTTTTTTCTCTCGTTGTCGTGGTTGACATTGAAAAATGTTGTTGCGGTTAAGATTCTTTGTAGCAAATATCAAAGCTCAAAGAATGTTGATTTACTCATCTTTGAATCATTCAATTTAAACTTTTTGATGTTTTCATTTGATTTGATTTTGTTATTTATTTATTTTTTCTCTAAACAAAGATAAACACGAGAGAAAGTTGCTTCGTCATTTGTTATTATACAATGAAATGCTTGTTTTAGGTTTCAAGTTTCAAAATCAAAATTAGTTTTCTATGTTCATTTATTGCTATAAATAGATAATTAAAATTCCATCCTCACGATGCTAATTACTGCTCAGTAGCATTAATCTCTTCCTCTCTCTCTTTCATATCCATTACCGAATAACTTTTTGATTTTCAATGCAGATTGTTAAATTCACCACAAGCATTCACTTTTCATTTCACAAAAATGAATTGTAATTAACTTGGACACATGGTTTGCGTTATTAATTAACTTTCATGCAGTTTACGATGATCCAACTTCTTACAACAACGAAAATGTTGAAGTCGTTTTGCATTACTTAATAAAGATATTTTTTATGCTATAACTCCATAACACCCACACATGAAACGACAAATGACAAGCTTCAACCTTAAATGAGATCACAGCCTAAGTCAACTTCCATCTGCTGTTAAGGTGCGAAATATTCGTTTTAATATTTCATTAGGAAACTTCTGACTGACTAATGTAATCGTAGTTAGTGATAGAAGACAAAGTCGGTCGTCCGTCGGTCGATAAAGAACAACATGAAAGTTTTAACAACGAAAATAGTTTATGAAGATATGACTGACTATTACGCACCCACCCACACATTCCCTCACGTAACACAAAAAAGATATTAAAAGTGACATAAAAACGAATTTTAATGAATGAAAGTGAAAAAAAAAGGACAACAGCCTATGCATTGTGAAATTTACTTCACACAACTCACACAGAAGTCAACCTTTAGCGAGGCTTCACTTTATGAGCTATTTATTAGAGTCGTCAACCGTAAGCAAAGAGATTTAAAATTCAAATGAAATGTTGACTTGTCGAAGGTTCTTTCATTCGATAAAAGACTTTCAAAGGTCATTTTTATCATAAATTTGTTAACGTTGTTAATGATTTCCCCTTTCACAAAGTATTTGCGAGATTTAATTTCCAATTGGATTACACTTGAAGGAGCGCCACGCGAGAAAGTATTTGAAATTTAATTAACTGGTCTGTGGCACTAGCAATGATAGCAGTCTCGAGTCGAGACCATCGGTTTGCTATTTCTTTCGTGAGACGCCGCAATAAATGAACAATTCGAGAAGAAGAATAATTAATTTTAGCGTATAGTTGAAAACGAATCCATCCGTAGGTTGATATTTATCACTGCGACTAAGGCACGTGAAAATCATCGTAAAGGATCTGCTTGTAACGTTGAAGGTGCGGCAACACGATACCAAACTATTCTGATTTATCATCGAGTCTTAAAAGCCTTTTTTTAAGTTCCGACGACTCTGACGTAATAAGGCATCGGAAGTGAAGCAATTTTGCTGTCGATTTGATGGTGATTCGCAATATTATGATGACAATTATAAAAGGAAAGATGAATGCTAGCGAAACACTTGAGGAAATGAAAGTTCTCGTTGTCCTTGATAACAAATATTTCCATCATTCCGATCCTTTTTCCTTCTCAATGATGACAGGCGAATAAAAGAAAGAAATGCTTTTGACATGATAATGCGAGCCTCTAGAAGTAAAATAAAAAAGATTTTCTATGCTTGACGGATACACATTTAAAGTGCTTTCATCATGACCCATTTGTGATGGTTTACATGTGAAAGAAAGCTTGTTGTGGGACCGGAAAGAAGAAAGAACCAAGCGATGTAAACATGACACATAACAAAATTGATGATATTTACATTGAAGCTTCCTAGCTTTCCTTCTGTTTGCTGATATCACGCAAATAAAAGAAAAAAATCCTTTCCGAATTAAAGAAATGAATTCCAATTGCTCGCTGGTCCATCTTCTATGTTATTTTAAGGTTTCTTGATGAGTCACTGGCATAGAAGAATCTTTGAGAAGAAAATTAAGTCACGTTGATTGACATGCTGTAAAAGATGCTGACACATTGTCCACCAATAATCCTAACTAATCCACTCATCGAAGCGTTCGATTTTTAACCTTCTTTGTAGACAACTCATGAGTTAAGTTAACATCGCAATTTCTTGTTTCATAAGACGATCAATAAGAAGACGAATGAAAAATGAAAAATCCAATCGAGCATGTCGTGTGCTTCCAGTTAAAAGCAAATTTCATGCGAAGAGATGAATTAAGATAAAAGAATTCTCGAATCGATTATAAAATTGAAGCAAATATTTACGATTGAACGCAAAAAAAATGATGCATGAAGAAGGATTTGATTGCGGTTGAGATTGATTCAATGGAAAAGAGACTGTAAAGCCAGATGGTGGCAGAATCCACTTGAGATTGATTTCTCTCGTGCGAAAACTCAAATAAGATTAATTTCGAGCTAGACATTGAGATGCCAAGTTTAATTCAGTTTTCACTTGAGGAGAATTATTCTCATGATTCAGTGAATATCTACTTAGAAATTCGAGGCGCGCGTGAAAATCAGCACAGAAATGTTTGCTTAACCTTGAAACTGAGAGGTTTAATTAACTCTTAACTTCCCATTGTCTATTAGGTATAAACAAAAACAGACTTTTAAATAAAAAAATGTTTCTTAAGTTAGCTGCTGGCACTGTGCGACCACTTTCGTTGGTTGGTTTCGCTGGAAAGAACAATGAGGCTGGTGGAATGACTTAAGTCAGCAAAACTATCTTGTTGTTGTTATTTCTACAATCAAACAACAATTGTCGTCATGGTTGAAATGGAGAATGAAGTAAGCGATGGGAAATTCAACATGGCGCATTAAGACACGATGCGTGCTCAAATCAAAATGATTTATCAACTTTATGTTGTGAAAAAAAATCTCCGCAGCAACGGAAACGTCCAATTTCATTTCATAATTTCTTTCGTGATATTCCTTCACTTTTTTTTATTTTTGAGAACTGCATAAACCTTTGATTTATGTTCAACGGTGTTTAAATCTACGCTCTGTTGATTTTCCTTTTCGTTGACTCAGAAGTCAGAACTGTAAAAACATTTTGAGATTTTATTTTTAATTTTTTGTTTTCGTTGGTTGCTTCGTTTCCTGTTGCTTCGATCCTTATGGGTGAAGAATGTGCAATTAAGATGTCATTTAAATTTTGATGGTTAGAACGAGAATGTGAATGACAAGAGAAGCATGAAAAAAGAAAATGAACTGAATGTATGTTGATGATGATGACCTACAATTATGTTTCATCAGTGAATTCATTTAAAGTTTATGATGAATATCATTCCATTCAAATAACATGTATGCGTGTGGGAAAATGTTAAGGAAAGTAATTTTTACAGAGAATTCTTCATTAAACGTAATTTGAATGGACCGAAATTAAAATAACTTTGCTTATTTACTGCAAATATTGGGAAAGATTGTTGAAGTGAAGACATAAAAATGTTGCAGAAATTCTACATTGACTGAATATTGCAGTGAATTGGAGCATCAAGTTAGGTCAATATAGAACTTCTCGTCTTTACGATGACATAAATGTGTGCTTACAACAAAGATATGACGATAAAGAATGTGACTAAGTTATTTGACTCTCATCAAATCAAATTATGTAGACTGGGATTATAAAAGGTTCTTGTAACCCTCATGATGTTGCTTTGAGAGCCTTAATTCTGCTTCGAAAGACGTTAATTGAATTAAAAATTCTTTCTTTATGTTGTCTTTCAACATTCTCTCTGATCCATAAATTAAAGGATTTAATTTCTCTTTCGGAAGCTCGAACAAGTCATTTCATCGCTCGTAGGAATTTCTTTTTTATGTTCCGCAAACGACTCCTATAACTGGGATTAATTTCAGTAAAATATTTTTATGGATACTACGTGACGGAATTCCATTTTTCTCTTCCTTTTTCTTTTCTCCCCTTTTTCGTCCTTCGACATTCATTCGATTGACAAATTCACACAGTGAGACTCTTCGCAATGCTTCATCAAATTCACGTCAATCACGAAGCGCGCTTCTGTCTGCATTCATTTTGTTCTGAATTGTTAGGAAAGTTTAATGAGCCATTAAGATTGACTTTGACCGTCGACAGACGATGATACAGCCATGAAAAGCTTTCGCTCTCAATTAACATCAATTTGAAACGCAACCCTGAAATTATATTTTGAAAATAAGTCAAAAAAGAGACAAGCGCGATGAACATAAGAAAAGAAGTTTAATATGAAATTAATGTCAATCTGTTTAATGTTTGAGAATCTTTTTTTGTTTTATTCAACATTAAGTCGTCAACGAATTTTAAATTTCACTTAAATAAATAATCTTAACTTTCACAAAGCTTATGAATGTCTCCCTCAATTAATTTTTCCCACTTTTCTTCTTTTGTTCTTTTCGACACGAGACTTTCTTCTTCCTTTTCATCGCAACGACGAAGACTTCAAAACAAGAAAAAAGCGGGGAAAGAAGAAAAATGTATAAAAATTAATTAAACATGTTTGGCAAAGACTTCTTTTTATTAAAATTCATATTACTGCAGTAAAACATTGTTAAGCTCTTCTTTACTTACTTTGTTTCTTTTCGCATGGCGTAACGATAGAAAAAGTTTTCATTCTTTTGTTTATTTTTCTTTTATATATTTAAAAAGTGTTTCATGAAAATTGTGCTTGATTTTAATCAACACTCGATTCATTTTTCGTGCAGCATTTAACCCAGAAAGAACAAAATCTATTTTTTTAATGGATATTAAGTTGAATCCATTAGATCGCATTCCATTCAACTGCAAATGCAGTTCACAGTAAATCTTTCATCAAAGAGTGGAATTCTTTTTTTCTTTCCTTCTTTAAAGGGATTTTAGAGTAAACAGAAGCGCATGTTGTTCTTGTTTTATCTTCTTCCCCGGCAATTCTAAACATTCAACTCAAGCGTGTCACTCACCACACCATGATACGAGCGCATATGGTGCTTGGTGCTTCCTCCCACTTAATATAAAATTTAAATTCTCTCTTTTTTTCTTCCTCCATGTGTCGGATGATAAGAAGAAGTATAATGGATTGTAGGAAAGAACATAATAAGCTGGAAAAGGAATGAACACTCGTTAGTGCTTCGAGTGCCACAAACTGGCAGAATATTTTTGAAGCTTAATTATTTGTTAATACGCCAGGCGTGACAATGACGATTCTTCTTTCATTTCATTTCGTTCCGACCATAAATGAATGCGAAATTGACTCAATTAACAACAAAAGGAAGAAAGATGAAATGAACTTCTTTCGTTATGAAAACAATTTTGAAGTTTCTTTAAGATGTGCTAAATAAATGTGAAGAATTTACTCTGAAATGAAGAAAATGTTTGTATTTTAAGTTTTATTGGAATTGAGTTTACATTTTAAGTAATTTCTTTCTTTTAATTGAGGCTTTCAATGAAATTGGTTTTTTTCTTCTTCCACGGTGATCGAAATTCAATTTTATTCTCGTGTTTGCATTGTAGGTTTGAAAAGAATTTTAATTAATTCTCTTTTCCTAAATAGTTTGTTTTTGCTCAATCGGAATTTCAATTTCTTAATTCGAATAAAACGCCCACGCACCTAAATATCTAGATTTGAATCCACTTAACGCTCGTCTTTTAAACGTAAATATTTCGCTAGGAAATAAAATTGAGCATCATCTTTAAACGTTTTATGATATTTTTATTTAATTTAGGATCAATTATTGAGTTTGGAAAGATGAAATATCTCAAAATAAATGAAGATCTTAAATCTTCCGAAATTGAAGCTTTACCCTAAAATTAAAAAAATGTTTACGTCTGTCTCTTATGCAATCGACAATTACTCTTCATGAATATCGATTCACATTACATGTTTGTTTATTTTTGGGAAGATTTTGGTTTTCCCTCGCATTTCACCATCGATTTTTTTCTTCCAAAGTCGCTTTTTTTTTGTCATTAACGTTTCAATTAATAATTAAAAGGAAATAACATTTTTACTTCTCTCTGTTTGTAATTCTTCACAAACTTCCGTGACGGTTTGTACGCCCTTACGGTTTCGATTTCCATCTCGTCTCCGGTAAATGATAAAATCTAATTTTAGCTTCGAAAATTGAATTTTTAATGGTTCTCTGTTGATGAATGATGAACGTCATAGCCCCAATAGGGATTTTTCGTTTCATCATGAATGTTCATAATTCGAGGGCTTTCCTCTCCGCACTCCATGTTTTGAAAAGTAAAAAGTTTGATAACAGAAAATGATCAACAAATTATTTCCGCTCGGGATGTCGTAAAATGCTTCCCTTGTTAGTTTACGAACTTTACCGAAAAAGGATAATTTTAATAAATCGGTTTATGACCAGAAAATCTTTTACAAACTTTCCTTATCGAGAAATGAGAATCACTGAGGAAGAAGAAGACGAAAAATTTGGAAATGTCTGTTGCGAAGCGATTAAATTGAGATTTCTTAAAGGGATTTCTCTGTGAATTCCTCCAATGATGTTAAAGTTTTCCGACGTCTGGTACAACTTTGACGCGATTTAGAATGTTTTCTTGATAAATCTTTCTTCTACAATTTGTAGTGCAATGAAAATGAATTGACCGAGGTCATATTTAATCTCAGCTCGTATATCTTTGACATAAACAAGATCGTTTAATCGATTGTCATTTTGTCTTTTGTTATTCTCATTTTACTTCCATTAACTGATAAAAATTTACGACTTTTCATTACGCTTTGAATGTAGTTTGCTTGTATGCAAAGATAAGAAAAGAAATTCTAACGTAAAGGAAAGAAGAAGAATCGATAGCAATAATTCAATTGTCAAGTCTTGCATTATCGGCATGTCAAGGCGACAATTTCCAGTTCATTTCGTTTCCTTCCTCGACGCTTACTTTCGTTTAGATTTTACAGAGTTTTGTTGTAAAGAATTTGTTTTATGTTTCTCTTGTTATCAGTTGGAACATTCCAGATATTTAACAATCTCTGGAAGTTAATTTATTGTGAATGAATTGGCCTTCTGTTGCTGGTTCATCCTGGATGAATAATCAATGCCATTAGATTAATGGAATTTTTCTCCCTTTCCTTTATAAAAATCTCATTCTTGGACGAAGATCAAGAGGTGGAAGAATTGTAATAAATTTTATTAACTTTGATGTTGATTCTGATTAACCATACACATGTTGTTCGCCCACGATGAAACGATTAAAAGGTGGCAATGATTGCTCTTTATATAAGATAAATTGTTGGAGATTGAGAAACAGAAATTCAGCTGGGCTGCCCATGAAAACACATTTCGAAATGATTGAGTAAAAGGTCTTCATGCCGACTGCTTTCAATGATTTTTATCGATCATCTCTTCCTTTTCTACCTCTTATCATAAGCAATAAACATAAAAAGGCATCCTAATCATATTCATAGTCGAGTAAATAAACATTCCATTTATCCAATTCGATTCAAGGTTTCTGTCCGAATAACTGACAAGGCGACATTAAGTTGAGTCAACATTTGCTTCTCTATTTTTTTTTGTGCGTGTAATCGGTTGCAAATGTGACATGTTTAAATAAGTATTCAAAGAATGTTGATGGACTTTACTAAAGGATCGTCTTTATTTTACTATTTTTTGTTACTGAAACACAACTTCAATCTTGTTGACGCCAGAAATTTATTGCGAGCTCCATTTAAGCTGGTGAATCGTTAACATGTGTTGTTACATTTCGAGATGCTTCAGTTATTACCGAACATTCCTTTGGTCTGAGTTGTATCAACATTTGAGTCCGCAATGTGTTTGCAAAACAAAAATTCTTCGTTTATCTATTTTTATCGGCTTAGTCTTGTTATGAATAAATGTGGCAAAGGTTTCGTCTATCATCAACCAAGCGAAAACATGCGAAGAGAGTCTATAAGGCACAAAATTGAAATAAAACATCTTAAACACGTGAAAAATGTTCCCGTGTGGTCGTTGTTGTTGGTGAAAAGCAAATGCAAACAAATTTTAAAGGGAAAAAATGTGTTAATCACATTAACGGTTATTTATGTACAAATGTCTCCATTGATTTCCATTTCATGACAAATATTTCGTTTGTTTATGCTTAAATATTTTCAATTGTAATTGTTGGTTCCAGCTGTGCCATGAAAATCAATGAAATTCGATATCATTGATGGTTGCGAAAAAAAGATTTTCACAAGTAAACACGTGAAATTTATGTTGAAACATGTATCAAAATTATGTATGTTAACCAAAGCCGTTAATTTTATTTCTTACTTCATTTACTTTACGACGCCTTCCGATGGAATGCCAACGATCAACCATCGATGAAAGTTTTCAATTTCACTCAACACATTTGCGTTTGAACATTTTTTTTCTTCCATGTCTTGAATGTTAAACAAAACGAATCGTTTATGAAATCTTTCTGGAATTCATTTGGCGAAAAGCAGGTGAAAATGAAAGAGAAACGGTAAAGAAGAAATGAAAATTCACCAGCATGAGTTATGTATGCGATTAGATTTGAATGAGTTTGAGGTTTTTGTGTATGAATGTGTGCGGGCAATCAATACAAATTCGACGATATCAAAGCATCAGGTGTAAGATGTAAGTGTACCTAATCCAATAAGCATCATGGATCAAGATAAATTCGCATGAGGATTTGGAATGAATAAATCGATCAATGGAGAAAAATTGACGGTTCGTTCAAAGAATGATTCTCGATAAAGAAATTGAATAATCAATGAGTTCTCAAAGATAAATTGAAACTTATTTTTCTCGCAAAACTTCTCCACTTTCTGCTGTTTTCATCTCTGCACAGAACTGAGATTCTCATGAACATTTCAGTAATTGTGGTTCGTACCATCATCAAAAGAAAGAAATTTTCACAACTTCCTCGAAGCGAATAAATACGCCTTTGAGACGTTAATATAACAAGTCAAGCTACTTTCATTCAACTCGAGAGTCATTATAATTTCAAAAACGTATGAGACTGATAACTGAATCATATCAAAATTCGCATCGCTCTTGTATCTTTGCTTCATGCTTACCACTTTGTGGTAGTTTAAGGAAGAACGACATAAAATCTTCTTTCCCTTTTTACGACGATGGCGGTTTCGTCATCGTTTTGATGACTTTTATTTTCCACATTAACAAATTGAAATTTATGAAGTCACATCCTTGAGAAAGCTTTTCTATGAAATTCAATTTCCTTTACTTCGGTATGAAGTGCTTCTTCATGAATCGCTGTTTGCTGAATATTTATAAAATTAAATTTACTTTGAGCGGAAAACGTGCATCATGTTCTCATTGTGATAAGCTTAAATTTAATTTTCTTGTTACAGTAGAATAATTGTACATTTTGCAGTTGTGATTAGCAACCGGAGATTATAAATGTCTTTCCTGATTTAATAAATTTCATTAGAAAATAAAATTGTGCTCGTGCTCTCAACAGAATGAAAGAACAATACGATAAAGCACAAAACTTAAAACTCATTTTTTATTTTTCTCAATTCACGTGGCGTAATTCCATGTCTGAAATTTGAAAGAAAAAATTTATTTTAATAGGAAGAAAATCTATTTTCGTTTCTCTAATTGCTGGTCGCAGATAATAATTCTCGCGAAAGTATAATTTTTGCAAGCCAAGTTTTGCAACTCAATACTTATTATTACGTTGTGACTCGTTCAAAGATTTCTAGAAGCAAAAAAAGTATAATAAAATTGTTGCTTTTTCTTTATTCATCTAGTAATGGCTACAACCAATCAACGAGAAAGAAAGAAAGACTGAACCAGTTTTCAATCCTATTGTGAAGCTTTAAAAACACTTTCACGATGTTACGTCTAATGTTGTTTGACCTGTTTGTCATTTCTTCAACCACCGTTACATGATTTTGTTTTTTTTAAAGAAGAGATTATTGCTTAGTATGATTCTACACAACCAAGAATTGATAGCTTCCCAGCTTCATAACATGACTTTAAAGGAAGTCATTTAATTCCATTTTAACTTAATGCTTCACTTCATTTTATGCTTGTCAAATGCAATTTTTTTATTGTCGAGTATATGAACATTCCATGTCCTTGATGATGATGCTCATCACATCCAGATGCTTACAAAGAATTGTACAAATAAAAAATAATCGATGAAGCAATTTCATTGCAACGACCACTTACCATATGTGATGCTAAAACTTTTCGATTGAATGAAACTTCTAACTAGTTTCATGTTTCCGTTTAGTATGAAATACAAAATTAATGATGAATTATCCAACTGTTTGCTGTTCTATATTGTCATCACTTTGAAAATATGTAAAACATGCTCACAAGTTGCTTATTAAAGTTTTATGCACGAAAAAGATGAAAGAAGTTGTTGATTAACTGAAAATCGAAGTAGAGAAAGAAATTTTATGTTCCTTAATGCAATTGCGCTCAATCGATCGAATGATGAAGAAAATGTGAATATGAAAAATAATTTCCGCTTGATTGTAACATTCGAATTTATTTACACAATAAATATTAACGATGAACTCATGCTGAGAGAGATTTTCGAGACGACTGGCATTGAGTGCAATTTCATGTTTATTTAGAGACGAATGAAGCAATGAAATTGATTTGTAATCTCTCAGAATACTTCTTCAGGTCTTGATATTTATTCAATGTCATCTTTCATAACTTTCGTACTATTGTGACATGAATAAATCCACACAAGTCATAATCATCAACTCTTATCAATTATTTAAACTTCTCTCAATTATTTATAGCATAAACAATCAAAGGAAAATCCTCTGAGTTTGACATGGAAGTGCGAATGAGATGGCAAATCAAAACAAACATTTTCTACTTCTTACAAGCATTGTGAAAGCAAAAAGCACGAACGATAAAAAATAACAAAATGTACGCGTGAAGTCGCAGCGTTCAAATTAATTGTAATACGTGATTCAGTCTAAATATGAAATGTAAACAGCGAAGAAAGTGAAGAGAAAAATTGCTTGCGTCGTAAACAGTCAATGTAAGGCAATATAGTCACGATACAATTTATTTACCACCATATAATGTGATTGTGATTGCCTTCAAAAGCAACAAAACATTTGTTACAAACGACAGAAAGCTATTTTCGTTGTTACGAACTTTGAATAGACACACGATAGGTTCAATGATCGCCATAAGTTGAAAGAAAATGAATCAATTTTATTATTTTCTCATTCAACATGTTTATGACACCATCACAGCTTGCGCCACAATTATACTGCTTGAAAACTAATTTACATTCGTTTTAAACAAATAAAAGACCATCTTAGATGTTTCCAACAAACGACAATCGTTGTAATTGAAGAGATGACGATAATTTTAATCGTAAATGTCTTGTCAGATATGTTGATGCACTAAACAGCATTGAAAGAGGAGAAGGAAAAGATTCTCAGATGAGGAATGTAAATGATGTGAAGAAATTGTCATCAGCTATAATTAATTGAACGGAATGTTCATCGATAACGATCGTCTTCCCTCCAACTCGTTCATCAACTTTTACTTTTGTATCTCGTTTTTCATTCATTTTTGAAGAAGAAGTCGTGAAATAAACAATCACACAAATTATGTCAGCGGCAATGGAAAATCCTACTACTCACTTAGGAGAGTGAATGAACTCGCTTTTGTGCCGTTCACTCGCTTTCTGACGATTAAATAAATATTTTTCTGCGATGGTTGAAGAAGAAAATTATCCAATATAAACTTTCTAATTACTCAAACGTGGATGAAGTGCGTGCTAGTTGAGTTTATAACAATATTTTCAAGTAATTTTGACATTCCAATCGATCATGTTCAGTTTTATTATTTCACAGCCTTCACACGTCTCCTTTAATGTTTGCTGCGACCAAGAATGGCTCACAAGAGTCCATTTACGACTAATGCTTTTCTATATTATTAGCGTTTTTAAAAATGATCCAAACAGGTTCATGTTGAACAAACATTTATCTTAAATCACAATCCACGAGAGCGCAGTTCATGATGAAGTCAAACCATCAATTTTAGATTTTTTTATCGACATTTAAACACTTTCACAATCGATTAACTTCCATGCCCTGCCGCTTTACTTAATAAATCAATAATCGAGCATAATTTTATTCAGCTGAAAGCGGTGCCATCATGCAAGTGTGTGTGTGTGCGATTTGAGTAACTCAAATGCCTCTAATTGCATCAAAGAAAGTTGAGATGAAGAGCAGAAAATCCCCGAGAAGATAAATTTCTTTTTTAGCCGACAAATGTTTAATAGAAAAGAGACTACGAAGAAAAAGTCATTAATTAAAATTATGTCTGTAGAGTGGACAAGTGGGTGGTCGTATAAGAAGAGACTGAATACTAAACTGTTGTGATGAGATCATAGGATATTGTGGGCTGATATATGTGAGTAGTAAGAGTTACAAACTACACGAATGTATGTAAAGCAACGTAACAGATGATTTAATACACTCCATAAATGGTTCAAGTCTCAAGTTTATGGTTGATCAATAAATCAAGTTTGGTTGGAGGTCGTTGCACTATGCAATAGCAAAATGTGGCTGCGCTTTTTAATTAAAAGCTCAATTAATCTGTGCATGTGCATTCATCGTCACTATAATCGTGCGTGATTAATTTGGTGGTTTAAAAACAAATTTGCTTCACTTGCAAAGGCGACCGATTATGGATTGTTTTATTGAGCAATAATCGTTAAAAGAAATTAAATTGGTAATTGACGCTGTTGCATGTTTCAACTTTGTTTTAACTGTAAAATTATGTTCGCTTTTTATTGTGGGAATTGCTAAGAAATTGTTCATTCCGTTCCTGCCTCAACAATTGACTTACATTCACTAGAAATAGTTTCGTTTTTTGTTTACATTCAACTTCTAATGTCTCGGCGACAGTTGAAGCATAAAAATCTCCATAAAACTCAAATATGATTTCAAATGTTCTGAGAAGATTTTTACGATCAATTTTCTACTTAAAATTTTTGTTCATTTTAATTTTACAACCGAAGCGGAACATTAAAAATAAAACACAAAATTTCGAGTTAGAATTTTTGTTTTTTCAACGCAATCGATGTGACGGTTGTTTGTTATTCGTCAATCAATCAGAGAATCATAAAGCTATGTTTGATATGGTGCATTGAGATCGGCTTCGTTATGAATAATGATTTTGACAAACGTGGGAATAATTCATCGATTACGTAACATTCTTTATTAAATGGAAATAAGTTTCGATCAACTGTGGAAAAGATGAAGCGACGTCATTTGTAAGTCTTTTCAATATCTGCTTGTATCAGATTTCACTCAATTTTACAGTTTTCTGTTACGACGAACATCCATCAATAATTCACTTCGTTTCACTTCTTTTGTCAATGACTGGAAACAAATACTAACGACTTGTTCATAGATCAGCATCAAATATCAAAAGATGCTGTCAAATTGAACAGTCTTGAGTTTGTTTTAAATGATTGAATCTTAAAATTTCTCTGTTATCAACGTCTTAATTTCACATTGCACAACAGCATTCATTTGTCATAAAAATATATAATATCAAAATATTTTCTTTCATCTCTTTCCAGATAACATGAACATCGACCAACAGATGAAATTCCAATCGTAATTGACCGAATTCACAGAAGTGTGTTGCGCAATGAATCGATTTTAATCGAATGCTGTAATAACACCAGCATATCATTGGAGCCAAATGTCGTCAATTGAATTCATTTAGTCGCTAACATCTCTAACAACTCAACTTATCGACAACAATTTTTCAATTGTCATCATCATTAGAAAGATATAACAACAAAAAAACTTTTTCTTTCTATCACAAAATCATTTTCGTCGGTATCTTTAAAGTTTTGAAATTTAATTACCATCAATAACAGCAAATGGAGTTTTAGCAAAGCTTTAAGACGAGTCAACAAGATTTCTTTTCTTTTGTTGTTAGAAAAAAACTTTTTTTTCCTTTTCGTCATCTTCACATAATTTATTTTGTTGTATCCGTTAATTTGTGAACAACGTTCATGAATCGCGTTAAAGATGAATTCAGTATTCTCAGCATTTAAATCAAACAAAAGCAACACATCGTCGTTGAGTCCGACAACTAATGGTGCAAGTAAAAAGACGCTCAATCTGAATGACTCGAATAATTATGAAAAGTTGCGTCACATACGCGAAAAAATGTCAAACCTAATGATCGATGATGACGAAATAAATTTAAGGAAACCGCCAGCAATTCCGATCGCATCAATGGATGTTGACGATGGATGTGAGACAATTGCAAAGTCGAATAGCGGTTTCGACTGCGTAGATAGTGCATCACCATCAATGAATGGAGTTGGCGGTAATTACACGAACGGTAATTTATCGTCATCATCATCATCATCGTCGCTCAATACAATTTCATTGGCATCGATAAAAAAGCATTATAATCAGGACAATTCGGAAAACTACGCGAGTGAAAACAATCTGTTGAGTAAATGTTGTAATGGCGCTGGAACATTGGGCAGCGCAACAAATGTGTCGATAGTTGACGGTAATGATGTAAATAATAGTGCGAGTGCAACAAACTTAGGCTCACTAAAATCGATGCCATTAAGTGACGCAAACGATGCCAGTAAATCGGTATCGAGTATTTTTAATAAACAACCGCAACAAAACAATAATCTAAGCAATACGAATCGCAATCGTCCGAGGCTTAGCTTAAGTAACGCGTGTAACGGTACAAATGCTAATCAACAGCCACAACCCGCCGTACATGGCCGAAACAATGGAAATGGATTACCAACAGGCCGAACACGATTGTCCACACACCAAAGAAACCTGAGCTTGGATTTTCGGTGAGTTTTCCCATTTTTAATTAAATTTCATTCAACTTTCCTTTCTCATTTAATTAAATCTTTGAAATTCTTCAAAGTTTTAAAATGTTTGGTACTTCAAACCTTTTTCAAGTCGAAAATGTTTTTCAACTCTCAAGAGGCGGCATTTCTTGTCTTCAACCAGAAAACATTTCAAAGATTTTGAGGTGAATCGTAGAAAATATTTCAATTCTTCTTTCTGCAACTTGATTCTTACACTTTTAACAAAGAAACATTTCCGCAACGTTCTTCAATTTATTTTGTTTCTTTTAAGTCTAATTACGTTAATATTTTTCAAAACAAATACAATTTGGGTTAAAGGTATCAAGTAACGACCGCGAAACATGATCAATTATGATTAATTTTCCTGTCCATCCATGTCCGCAATGAGTTCACATTTAATACTTGGTTTGAGTTAATTAGACAACAAGAGACATGAAAGGGGGAAAAAAACGAAATATTTGTCGACATATTTAATGAATGATTTGAGATAATTTCAATTAAAAATTTATATTTACTTCTCGTAAATCAGTACGATGGGTTAATGACATTGTAGCTGCTGTTGATATATTATTAATACTAACAACAATTCTAACGCATGGTTCCGGGTTAAGTAATCAGATTTCCGCGTTCAACTAAACGCTTTTAAGTGCAGCACTTTTTTCATTTATTCAATCTTTACATTTAAGAGACAAAAAAAAATAAAAAAATTTGTGGATTTTCGGGCTATAAAAAGCGTGATGTGTAGTTGGACGAGATCACCTTGAAAGCCATTTTTCTGCAACATGTGATTAGTGAATCGAGGCTGCTTTTTTATGGTTATTCAATCCTTAAATGGATTTACACAAATAAATATCACTTGCTCTATTGAAATGTTCTTGTCTTGATCAAAATTGACTGTTGAATGTCTAACAAGAAGAAGAAAAAATGCCTTGAAATCCCACGCAATGATGATTGCGACTATTTATGACTTTAAAAAAAGATTTCGTTATGAAAGACTTCACAAAGCCACATTGCCTGGTATTTAATTCCGTTAAAGAGGGAGAAAAAGGATTAACTTGAATGGCTGGTAATAAAATATTTCTTTGTCTGGATTATGTTGACTAAGCATGTTAATGAATGCACTTCTGAGATACGTTAAATATAAAAGTAAATACTCACTCGTTGAGCATCTTCTAAACTTCTTTGTCGCACATATAAGTGAACAAACGAAAGATTCAAACAGATTTTCATGCGCTAGACAAACAAACATTTGACAGACGATCCCTCCCGTTTTTATGAAATGATGACAAAGTGAACAACGTCTTGCTGTTGTTGTTGTCTTCGGATGGATAAAGTTAAGAAGATTCAAAAAGGGAGAATAAAAGAAAAATGAAAAATCATCACCAAGGCACACGTGTGTGGAACCAATCAAACTCCAAACAGAGCAGAACACAAGTCAACATAATTGACAAAGTTACACGTAAAAAAAAGAAGATTTGAAATTAAAATCAGGAAGATGACGAAGGGAAAAAAATGTAAACGAGAAGAAGAAGAAATGCGTTGACTTAATGAAGTTATAAGAGAAAAATATTTACTCAATAGATTAGAAGAAATTTCGTTTATTGGAATGGAGAAAGAACAAGAAGAAGAAATCATTAAAATCTTTGTTTATATGAACCTTATCCATGTTGCGTAACGAGAAGTTCTCAAATTTTTCTTTCAAGTTTCAGCAAACAAATTCATTCTTAATGTGTTGTTAACTGAAAGAGTTTCGAAATATGAAATGAACCGACAAAGATTCATTCTTGAAAACGTAGAAATGTTTGAAATTCTTTAAGTCACGTTTAAGGGAAAATATCATAATTTTAAGAATGTTGGACATTTTCATCATTTTTCATCACGACAATCCTTTTTCTTTTGTGGGATTGGGATGTCGTTTAAAGAAGCATTAAATATTCATGAGTTCTTCGTGCTTTGTTCAAATTCCCATTACTTCTCATAATCTTCGTTGTTATGCTAACTTAGTTAACGATGACAACAAATTTATTTCGAAAGTAAGAAAAAAGATCTTCAAAATCACCGGATGTTGGTTAAGAATGAGAAGTAATTTTGATTTGAAATTACTTGAGCTACTGATAAGGCGATGTGAATGAATCACAATGGAAAAATTATGAATGAAGACATCTGGGCAATAAAATAAAAAAGTTAATTTACTCATTGTGTTCATTGCATCAGACAATGAGAAATGTTCACATTAAAATTGATTTAAAGTGATTGCCGAGCTTCTTACAAGCAATTTTTCAATTTGACTTCGAATAGATTTCCGTCCTGGTCTGATGTCGAGTGTTGTAATGTGACACGGTTCGCATCAAGTGCTTACTGCATAGTTTACAATGAATGCATGGTTGGTTCTTCAATTTGTTATGGGGTTCATATGAATCACATTTAGATGTTTATGTGGTTCTTTGCTTGATTAACTTCCAATATTATCGAGGGTAAAAGGAAATTGCGTTAATTGGAATCGTTTTTATCCCCACATAAATATTTTACAGTTCGCAACTTTGTTTTCCGTGCTGCGCTTTAAATAACAAAAACCCATCGATCAAATTAACTGCTGATATGTGACTCATTGATGCCAGGAAATCGAGACATAAAATCCAACATTTTAGGGTGAATAATAAATCAATATAACGTCATGATGCTTTCAATCTTCTCCGAACTTTCCTTTCACTACTCGTGTTTATGTTAATTTACTTTGTTTACCTACAGACATTTGTGAATTAACATTTAAGGTAAATATTCCATCTGTTTCGAATTTAGCAAATTTTAGCATACGATAACGAACCATCATTGTTGATTTGATTGACGAATTCACGACACAATGAAAGTAAATATAGACGGGGATGAATATAAATTATTATGTAAATTCATCTGTAGAAATTAAGATGATGTAAAAGAAAGTTTTTCATTCTGCTTGTAAGCTTAATGGCGAAGGAGAATGAAAAATTTCTTACATTTACCAAGCTTTTCTGTGTCTTCTGTCTGTCAGATTTAAAAGTTACTTTACGTGTTAATGATGTCGGTGAAGCTTGTGAAATGAAGGAATTTTTAATTTAAAATTTTGCATACACTATTTTTAAATGCACCCCACGAACATCATCATCATCAACATCATATTTATTATTCGCAGTATACACAATTTGTAATCTCCAGAGAAACGTCGAGGTTGTGGCAATAAATTCAGATAAATTGTTGAAGAAATAACTTTCATTTCATCAGCTAAAGTCTTCAACAACTTTGAAGTAATTCATAGCAATTCACTTTTAATGGCGAAAATGGTTTAAAGTCAGCATTTCTGTGTTTGTTGGTAGGAAAAAAGGCTTAAAAGCAGTTTATTTTAATGATCTTTTGGCATTAACGCCTTCATAAATTCTCTCAACCACAAAGTTTGTCGAGAAAATCGATGGAGCCTTTAATAGAAGGAATAAAGAGAGAAAGAAAAATAAAACTTCAATCTGCTTGAAATCGAAAGCGGGTGAAAGGGATTCTAACGCTTAATATCCCTCATATATCAAACATTTTCCCTTATGTTTAATAACATTGATTTATGTTCAAAAATTGGAAGATGATTTGCCTTTTCTCGCGTATTATGCGCATTGAAATTTTCAATTTCTCCTTTTATTTCTCTTCCTTTACATTAATAAAACTTGCTTATCCATACCTCGTCAATCCAATAATGCTTTTTAGTGAAACTTTTTTATGTTCATTTTCTGCCGAAGCTATAAATTGCAATATTTCGCAACCTACACGTGTGCATTTAACGAGCAGGCGAACGAATGAGCGAACATTTTTTTACTTTAAATTTTATTAAAATTCAACAATGAATAAGTGAAAACTTCTGACAACTTCGAATGAATGATGCAAACCTGCTCTTAATTCAATTTTATGAACGTTGAAATGGAAATTTTTTAACTGCTTTTGTGTAATTGTATTGACTTGTCATTCAATTCTTCACACGATTCTTTAATGATAACTTTTCCTTTGTTTAACGTGTTTCTTTTGACTCGACATTGTCGACGAAACTACCAATTTGATGGATGATTATCAAGGAGAGGAAAACATAACATTTTATGTAAAATAATTATTATGTATTGTGTGTGACTCTGAAGATATCTCTCGAGACAAAAAATTCATCATTAAATCTTATTTTTACTATCGGGGAAAAAACATAAATAAATGTTGCTAAGAGAATCTTCAGCAATCCTCTTGTAGTTTGGAGAAACTAACAAAGCTTTCTTCCTACGACAAAAGATTTGTCTTTTTGCTGTTTCGAGAACAAGTTACAATCAAGTTAAGGAGAAAAAGAGAGCAAAAGGACGAATATGAGTTATTTATAGTCTCAAGTGCACATAAAAATCCAACCAACGAAAGATTAAGCACAGAAGGAAAGTTCTTTTAATATCATTCAAGCTAAAAGAGAAAAATGTGTGAGTGGCTATAAATAAAAAAGTAAAGAAGAAAATCTCTGTGCAAATCTTCCTTATCACTGCCATCTTACGCTTCGATTGTCCCTTCCATGGTAATTTGTCATAAAAATGATTCATTTTATTCGCTTCGTCTCATAACGATACTGCTTCATGCCCATCTCATTTGTCATCATCAATTGTATTTCTGCTTCGCGAAGCTAAAAAGCAAACAACTTTAATGTGCTAATGGAGATTTTTATATAATTCAACAATACAAAAATTCTATCAAATCTAAAAGATTTTTCAACGAGCAGCAACTGAATAAAATATTTAAAAGATTTCAATTTGAAAGCTCACAAAAATAAAAAGAAACAAAAGTGAGAGAAAAGAAGAAATTCTGTTGACAGTTTGATTTATTTTCAAGGCTTTACAATGATAAGACGTAATTTGTTTGTTGACTCAACTCAATTTGTCTGCTTACCTTTGTTGCGAGATATTCTTTCGTTTCTTTGGTTGACAGAATCGTGTGAGTAACGGCAAACATCCATGACGCATAATGTGGGTGAACCTAATTCGTTATCCTTCAGATGAAACGATAACGTAAGTTCGACATGCCAAATGATTCGGTGTAGAATAAAAGTTACATTAGAGAGACAAAAACTGGGTGTTATTGTTGTAACATCTTGCCATTCTTTATCAATTTCCCATTCATGTATGTCATCTTCCGAAAATAAACCGACAAAATTTCTGTAAAACTTTTCCTTATCGATTCTTTTGCTGAAATCAGCAAAGTTTGAATAGCGCAAAAAAATGAGGAAAGACGCAATCAGAGATCTGGTTGTGGTTGTAAAGAATCAAAACAAAAATTTGGGGGAAAAGTTCATGAAACCCTTAAGGTTGTAGACCCAATTTCTGGAAAGAAGCACAAAAGACATAAAGAGATTTAAATGGAAAAACAATTGAATATTTTCTAAAGAACTTTGCCGTGTCTTCTTCTTCTTTTTTTGCTCTCGGAAAAGTTGAAATATTTGCGGAAATATTTAGGATGAAGAAGAAAAAGTTCTCATTAAATTTTCTTCCATCCGCTTGTCTTGATGACGTTGACATTCATAAATTGTGAAAACAAGGAAGCTGTGATGAAAACCAAAGAAATTTTACTTTTGCGGTAAGAAAATCTTGAGGATGCGCTAAAATGAAACTCAAGCACATTGAACCGAAATTAAAAGGAAAACTTTTTCCATCAGGTGATTTTCCATAAAAGTCATTAAAAATTTCCTCTCGAATTTCTTTTTCATAGGAATTTATCTTTTCTTATTTCACAAGTAAACATTTCGTAAGATGTTTTATCCGCCTTATCAATTGACTTTGCCTTTGTTCGTTTCTTATTTCGTGATCTTGAAAAGTTCAAAGTAAATGTTTACGATTCAATATCAGATAACAAAGAATTCGAATGTTTTTAAGTTTTTTTATGAATACAAAAAATCGTTTTGCACGACCTTTGAGATTCATTGAAACGTATCAAGTTCACTTTTTCACCTACCTGTAGGTATGAAAGTTCCCGAAGGACGCTTAAATATAACTTTTCCAAGTGACTCAATGGCTGAACGTTGGAAGAGAAAAAAAGCAAATGGAAAGTTTAAGCTTTCTGAAAGAAATTTCTTATACAAATACAACTTAAAAAAGGCAGCTGAGGTTTAATACATTCCATTACCCGCTCTGTTACCTTCTCATTTTTTTTCTTTCGTGTTTGTGCTAAACAAAAAACACCCGAGAGCTATTTTAGGAGTCTAATTAAAGATTTACTTCAATGCGCAAAACTTTTTATACACAAAGAATGTGTGGAATTCTTAAAAATTTGCTTAAAGAGATTCCTTGTTATCCTATTTGAAAGATACTCCCCCGCAACTCGTAACGATTATCGAATAGCAAACGACATGATAAAAGCTTATGTTTACACAATTCGCAAGCAAACAGTTCATAAGAGCGAACCCATCCCGATAAATAAACAATTATTTCTAATCGGTAATCACAAGTTGTAAGCCATGAGGAATCATAATAAAAAAAAGGGGGAAGAAGTGTGCAAACAAAGCTGAAGTATTTTGTGACGATAAGGATGAACAAAAGAAACAGGAACGTGATGTAAATTGAGTTCCATTGTGTTTGGGATTTTCCAGGATTCTGATTTTCCTTCTCACCGTTTTAAACGAAAATGAAAATTCAAAAATTGGAAAATTTTGTTTATTCTTTCTATGAGACGTGAGCTTTCTTCCATTTACATCGATTACGAAGCTTTCGTGATGATGAGAATAACAAGAAGAAAGAAGAAAAAATATTCCACGCTTTTCTGAATAATACTCGCAATGAAAGTATTTTAAAAGTGCTGACGTGAGATTATTTAAACAAATTTTATGTATTTTTCGTATTTCTTAGCAGAGCTGAAAGCAAATATTCAAGATGTGAAATTTAAATTACAAAACTTGATATCAAAAGTGATTACGATGGCAATTAAAACAATCCGGTGATTAAAAGGCCACAAACAGTTTAATTATTTGTCTGATATCTCTATAAATAATTTTGCTTGCTTATAGCTGACCTTCTTTGACGTAAGTAATACAACATGAAAGTCTCAATATTTAAACCTTTAATTGGAAGTCGTTAAAGCAAATTTAGAAGTGAATTGCGCAAACAAAATATCTATGAAACATCATTGAAAAAAATCAGATAAATCGGAATTTGATTCAATTATGAATAAATGCCACAAGTTGCAGAAGTGAAAGAAAGAATATTTCTTCAATTACAAATTACCATTCGATAACATTTCAATTTGTATCGCAATTTGTGACCTTAATTCGAATGAATTTATTCAGAAATCATATTCAATTAAATTTGTGTGAAAACTTTTTTTATTGACATTGGTTGAAGGCTTTTTTTATGATTAATTTTCATGTTTTTACTGAAATTAACTTCATGTGTGCGTGATTGCTTGTTAACATTTTTTCAAGTTCTCATGTTTCAAATTAATATTGAAGCAAAAGCTGATGACGATCATGATGAGTTTATTACAGAAGCGCGCGTGAAGTTGAGTGATGACGAGAAAGCTTACAATCTTTTTATCGCTAACAGATGTTGACAGAGCATGTCTGAAGGTCGGTTGGAGAAAATATACACATTACAAGCATAATTGCTTTTAATTTACGTCATCATCATCATCATCCGCTTCCTTATCCAAGACGCTCTTGGTTACCACAAAATGATGACACTTCCCTTCCGCTTCTGTTAAGTCACTGCCCCTCTCAATTTATAGCTTAATAGTTGACAATGTCAACTCCATTAAAGTAGAAAATTTTCCAAAAACTTTCCTGCGTTTTATCATGCAATGAAATTATTCTTCCGTATGAAAGTTTCAAAAAAGTCCCGTTGCTGCCAACAAAGAATTTATATAAAACTTTTTTCTCTTTCTATTGGAAAACAAGAAAAATGGAATTTTTCTGTTGTTTCGACAAGAAGTTTCCACAATTTAATTAAATAAAAATCTCATCCAAACACAACCCACATTCGAAAGCAATTTCTTTCGAAGAATTTGTCACAAACTTTGTTTCTCAATGATAAAAGCTCTCAATTCATCGTCACGTCATTTAACAACTTTTCCTTTGGATATTTATTTGTTAAATGGAAAATATCTTTCTTTCGAAGTATTTCCACTTCGCATGAATATAAAAACCATTTCATTTGGTGAGCAAACCGCAACCTAGAGAATAAAAAAAGATTTGCAAATGAGTTTCCAACACATGCTCAACCACTGCTCTTGATCTGCTTTAAGTTTGTTTAACAATAATATGAATAAAACTACCTACTTTAACTAGCATGTGATCCAATTCGACGCAAGCTATAGGCAATTTTAAAGCAGTGGTTTAACCTTTAACTTTCGTGATAATTTAATCCGCTTTCAGACTTTGAAGTCTTTATTTGTTCAGAAAAGATTCTTAAAAGAGTCCAAGATCACTTAACTTGTTCATTTTTTGTGTAACTTAATATTATTCAATGTTTGCACAATTCATTTTCATTTAGAAAACCTCCATAAAATACTTAGAAACATTCTTCTGTAAGATATTTTCTGATTAACCCAATTTGTGGAGTTCAAGTGGTTTGACATTTCAACAGAAAAAAAAAGATGAGAAGCATTCTTGAGATGACAAAAAATCTTCTCTTGAATAAACCAGCAGCAACGAAATTTCATTGAAATCAATTTTTGTTTGTTTGAGTCATATGAAATTTGTGTCGCATGTTAATGTTCAGACACTTCACTGCTTATTTTCGAAATGTCTTGGGATCAAGTTGATGTCGCGACAACAAAATCTTGTTAAGCTGACTAAACTGACAGTCAAAAAATTGCTGAAGTATCTTAAGTGGTGTTAACTGTTAATATTCTTCAATGTTTAAGTTGGAGATAAAAAGCTTTTAAGAACTTCTCCTTCCACACCTACCCAACATTATAAATTGCACTTAAATAATTGCACAATGTTTTCATGATTCAATTTTCACTAATTGCTAACGAAAGCAAAATTTTCTCTCCTTGAGTTCTTTTTACGAGTTTCTTTAAAGCCGTAACAATAAAACTTCAAAATGGGTGCAATGAAGGAAACCAAAAAATGATTTATCACTGCCACGCGCACTCGTTATAGAACATCCTTACATGCAAGCAAGCTTCAAGCTCCAACATTTATCTTCCCTCATTCGGTTGAAAATTGAATTGACTTTGGTGTGCCCGAAGTTGATGTTGATGGATTTCTTACGTCAGCGAAGAAGTTGAATGTTTTTGTTGGTGGTTGCGTCTACATTATTAAAAGGGGAAAGTTGAGCTTTGAATTCTCGTCACGTTGAAATCATCCGCAGCCTCTGCCGTTGCAACAAACTCTTATAGTTTGCCATTTGTGGAATTATATTTTGCGATTGTTTGTTTCTCTCGCCATCGTTGAAGGTCGATGGTGGTTGTAATGGCGCTTAACTACTTGCTTAGTGGATTGTGTAAGCTCACACATTTTTCAACTTAAAAGCATTTTTTTATTCAATCTTATACGATTTTTTTATGTCAGTTTTAATGGCTTTTCGGGGGTTGTTTTGGTCGTCTCTTAGTAGAGTGGGCCAGTGAGTTGATGCCATCATCATAATCAAAAAAATGTAGGCCAACTTTTTACATGGAAAAGGTTTTTCGAGAAAACAAAAATTTATCGTTAAAGTTTCACGATTCATTTAATATTTTCCAGACATTTAGTAATGAATCATGTCCATCTTACACTCACGTTTCATCTCCATCAATATTTCATACAACAAAACAATGTTCTCTTAATCTTTTTGTTGTGGCTATTATGAACATTGATGAAGAAAAACTTTTCCAGTTTTTCCTTTCTTTCGATCTTTACGCATTGTAACAAGAAAACAAAAATTAAGAAGAAAAGTTTCACTTCTCGAACCGAATCCGTAATTTGTCGACAAAGGCTGAAAGAAAAGCGGATGGAATAAAAGAAAAAAGCTTTCTGGTATCATCAGTGAGATTTTCATTTTTCATTCTGACGCTTTCTGAACATGAAAACACAACAAGAAAAAGAAGAAAGAAAAAAGTTGTCAGAAGGAAAATCAATGAAAAGTTTTCTTCTCAATTCAACCCGATTTCTGATATCAATTCAATGAAGCGTGCAGAAGACAAGCAAGGAGATTGTTTAGCGCATGAATTTTCATTTTATTCTAGAACTTGATGTGATGATAGAAATGAGAATAATGAAGTGTTTGTCACCTTGCCTCGTTGTTTCCATCACAACAAAGCGCGTTAATTCTTTATTCACACTCAAAATCACTTCTCACTTAGACGATTCGACCTTTTCCCGAAAACAGATTCCTTTGTCATCACGCCATTATTTTCACGGGAAATTCCATGACATAAGCAATTTTTCGTTGAACCCATTCGAGACGATTGAAATTTTTCATCTTAGGCCGTTAGAAGAGAACTTCAATTAAATTCATGAGAAATTAATTAATTTCATGCGATTAATTAGCAGCTGAGTTTAATAATCCGTTCAGATAATCCAATGAACCCTTTTAAGCTCAAATGTTGAATCTTATTGAAAGCTACGAGAAACTTTCTTCCGAAACTTCTAGAAGAAGAAAAGTTTCCTACTAGGAAGAAACAAATTAACTTTTTTCTCCTTAATTAATCTTACAGATCAATGGGAATTCTTCTACCTCCCGTATCTCAAGTGACCAACACACGTATCAATATGACACAACATCATCGAAATCGAAGTTTAGACAGCGCATTGCAAAGAATACCTGAGGTAAGAAAAGCTCATCAAACAAAACAAAACTTTCATCACTATTTTTATTACATAAGTCGATTGTTGCTTGAGTTAAAGAACAAAAGTTTAGTGTTGTCAACAGTTAGTCAGACAGAGTCAGTCAGTCATAGTTGCTTGTTAAATGTGTTCAAATAACAATGACTCACGTCATCGTGTTTTCTTCTCTGTAGGTTGAAGTTTCGTCACCAAATGCTGAGTCGGAAAACACTCTTTGTACTAACACAATATTGGGACAAAACTCGTCAACAGTAACATCATCGAATGAAGTTCAAGTGAAGCCAGAACAACCTGAAACTGTTTCAAATGATATTGAAAATTGTGCAAGCAATTCAGGTGAGAGAAGAAATTTTATCGCAAACTTATCAACTCATATCGAAGCAATCATTCCTATTTTTTTTTCGTTATAATTGACTATCCAAAATAATAAGCAACGAGACATTTCCTCAATCAAACAGTAGAAAAGATAAAAATCAAAACATTTTCAGGGTTGATGAATTTTCATTAATTTTTATGTTCGTTTTCCTTTTCAATTTAACATTGAAAACCCTGGCACGTCTACTAGTGAAAAAAGAAAACATAAAAATATATAAAGTTGTCCAATAAATAGAGTCACGCTGCAAATATTTTCTCGTGTGTTTATTTCTATTAAAATATAAAAGTTTATTTCGACAAATTACTGCTTATTGAAATCCTCACAATGTATAACATTTTAATTAAAACGAAAACATTTTGAATTGATCAAATTTAGAAGAGCGTCAACAAGAAAAAGAAGAACAGCAGAAGGGAAAAGATAAAAACGTGTCATCAACAATAACACCTGCTACAAGTCAACGGAGTAAGGTGACGAGAAAAGAGAACCAAACGAAAGAAAGTGAGAGCAAGAAACGTGAAGATCTAACGAGTTTAGGTTCAGACGATTCCGGTAAGTTGAATAGCAAGTTTACAAGTTGTAATAAGATATTTAATTTGAATAAACTTTCAGGGATACTTTGTGGATCGGAACCTGATCAACAATCTCTTAACAACCGTCGTTCACACGAGTCACTTGATTCAGGTGAAAACGAGCAATCAGAAGGTGAAGAGTGTATTGAACTTCTCGAGACAACATCAATGGATGAAGAATATAAAATGTTACAAGCCGATTTATGTTTTTACCAACCATCAGCTTCTTCAATAGCCAATGGAAATAATCAAAAGAAAGATGAGACGTTGAATACAGTGGAAGATCAACTTGATGCGATTAATGATAAGAAGCTTCGATATCGTGAATTAAACATGAATAAAACAGCCATTCTGAAAGAGAAATATAATCAAACGATTTGTGTGCCAATTGAATATGAAGAACCAACGACAGAAGAACATGATTCAAAGGAAGAAATCAAAGAGTTGGTGAAAGATCAGCAACATGTGAAAGATCCCGTAATGTTTAAAAGTTTTTTCTTTAAAAATGCCATTTTTCGAACCGCCCAAAGTATCATCGAGAATCATGAGAAGAAGAATGCTAATAAAAACAAGGACCAAGTAGTGAGTGGTGGCAGTGGACATGCTGGTGATTCATCAACACCACAGCCAACTAAAAAGCGCGATTTTTTATTAAAATCACGATCGAAAAATCATCAAAATGTAATGACGACAAGTGTAAGTGCTGAAATTGCCACAACGACAGAAAAACCGAAAGGAATCAGCAAATCATCATCGACAAATTCGCTGAATACAATGAAAGTTCCAGGCACAGCTCAGTGTATGGTGAAAGAACCAATTCAACCTCAAATAAAAACTGAACGTGGTCAAAGTGGATTGTTAAGATTCTTTGAGTCGCCAGTGTTCAACATTCATTTTGCTGTCCATTATCTCTTCTACAGTAAAGAGCCAGGAGTCTTGTCATTCATTGGAAATAAGATTTTCAGCTTTCCAAACATTGAAGTTGATCTTTACATTCCTCAACTCATCTTAATGTACATTCAAATTGACGAGCTTGCTGATGTTCTCGATCCTTATCTCGTCTATCGTTGTCGACAATCAGCTGATTTTAGTCTTAAATGTAGTTGGCTTCTGGAAGCTTACAACTTTAATATGGAAGGATATGTATCGACAACACAAAAGTTTAAGCATCTCGTACTGATGAAGGAAATTTATCCAAAGCGTGAAAGAAGAAATCGAATAAATGATGGAATTGCTTTGTCACCGACATCACCTTTTAAGAAGACACATCATCGATCCCAGTCAGATGCAACGGGAATGTTGCATAATTTTAAGAAAGCAACAGCTCCACCTGTGAAACTTTGTCTTGGTGATTTAAGTTCGGGACGTGCTTTCGATAATGGTTGTCTTTGTTTTGAGTCACAACGCGGTGCTGTTAATGATTTGCTTGGACAACAAACTCTGTGTTCATGTGGAGCGCCAAAGCTTGCAAGTGAGAAAGAATTCTTAAAGGCACTTATTGATATTGGAAAGATGTTAACATCATTGCCAACGAAAATCGAGAAAACAAGTCGACTTCGTGTGCTGCTGAATTTGATAAATAAAAATCTTCCCGCTCGTGTCTGGCTTCCACTCAACTCTGACATTCCTCATCATGTTGTTCGTATCACAGAGGATAAGACAGCTGTTCTAAATTCAAAAGATAAAACACCTTATATAATCTATGTCGAAGTTGTTGAAGTTGCTGACATTTATACAAGCCCTGTGATTCCAAAAATGATGCCAACATTGAGACATACGAAGAGTGATGAACATCTTGATCAACTCATTGAATCCACAGAACAAGAGACAAAAGCTATGCCATTGAAAGGATTCTCGATGAATCGAATCAGTTCGCATCTTGATGTGTTTAATGAAGAAGATGTTTGGTCACAAGAAGATGATGAGATTACAGCACAATACCTCAGATTGCACCGGAAAGTCGAACGTGATGCGGTATCGCAATTTTCACTTGAATCATGTGATTCAATGACAAAAGAATGTGGTAAGTTATTGATTTTTCCCTAAAGATTAACAGATTAATTGATTTATGTTGAAAATTTATCAAATTATCAATTTCGAAAACCTTATAAATCCCGAATGACTTTTGAATTTTTAATGACGGTTTGATTATATTTATTCACCAACAGGTGCTCCCCATGTGTTCAATATTGGTGATGTCAGAATGCGACATTGTAAAAATCTCAATTCAGAAAATACAAAACCATTCAGAAATGATCCTGATGATCCTTCAGCAGCTGCTCTAAAGGTAAAAGAAATGAATAATTTTCTTATTTGACTTATTTATATACGTATATCTGCAATTTATAGGAACCATGGCATGAGAAAGAACGTCAGATAAGAGAATCATCTCCTTATGGACATCTGCAGAATTGGCGACTTCTTTCAGCAATTGTCAAGAGTGGCGACGATTTAAGACAAGAATTGATGGCAACTCAACTTCTTCAAGTAAAATATTCAAAAGCAATACTTCGATGAGACTTATAAATTATTTAAATGTTTTCAGATGTTCAAACAAATTTGGACTGAAGAGAACATCGACCTTTGGGTTCGACCTTATCAAATTGTTTGCTTAAGTAATGACAGTGGACTCATTGAACCCATTCTTAACACCGTTTCACTTCATCAAATCAAGAAGAATTCAAACAAAAGCCTTCGAGAATATTTCATCGATGAGTTCGGTGGTGAAGCGACTGATAATTTCAAGTCAGCACAAAGAAACTTCATGCAATCATGTGCAGCTTATTGTCTTATTTCTTACCTTCTTCAAGTCAAAGATAGGTCAGTTTGGTAATAATTTAAGAAGATAAATTTTGATAATCAAATTTTATTATTTTTGCAGACACAATGGAAATATTTTGTTACACTCAGATGGTCATTTGATTCACATTGATTTTGGCTTCATCTTAAGTATATCACCAAAGAATTTGGGTAAGTTTAATTCAATTTTATTCAAAGATTGAAAATGTGAACGACATGGAAATGAAAAAAATTTTGTTCTATTTCATTTTCTGTTTCGTTTCATAAATATTTCATTTTCAATCTTGTTCTACCCCACATTATTTTATACGAGTTAAGAGTAATTTTTAATTTATTTTCTTCTAGGCTTCGAGCAGTCTCCTTTCAAACTGACACCTGAGTTCGTCGATGTAATGGGCGGACCAGAGTCTGAACTTTACAGTGAATTTAAACGACTGCTATTGGCTGGTCTTAAAGCTGCTCGTAAGCAACAAGATAGAATCGTTAATATTGTTGAGATTATGCGAAGCAGTAAGTCGTTAAATGGGTCATTAAGTATTCTTATTAATTTATATCTTTTAAGGTTCACAATTGCCATGTTTTAAGAACGGCTGTTCCGCCACCGTCCGCAATCTTCGCAATCGTTTTCACATGAACCTCACCGAACAAGAGCTTGAACGTAAAGTGGATCAACTCATTCAAGACTCACTCAACTCTCTGTCTACAAAATTGTATGATGGCTATCAATATCTTACCAATGGTATCTTGTGAGAGGAATCCTTCTAAATTATAAAAACAAAATTCTCTCCATCGAAATTTCATTTTAAACTTATTTAAGCTAAGTTTTCTTTTTCACTAAGTTTTCTTTTTCGTCTCAATCATATCTTTTTTAAAAGTACAAATTAAGCGTGTGGGAGGAAACAAAAAAAAAGTAGATAATTACCTAATTAATTAATTGTGGCTTTTTCAAAAATTTAAAAGAAATTGAAATTTTTTGGAGATAAGGAAAATTCAATTCAGGTTTCGATTAAGATACAAAAACAAACCTTAAGAAATTAAACAAAGATGCCTTAAAATCTTTTGAAAGAAATCAAACCAGGAACGTAGGTAGCATCTGAAAAATTATGTAAAGAAAATCAAGTCCAAGAATGGTCGAAAATCTAAAAAAAAGGAAAAGGAAAAGAATGAAAATTGCCTCAGTTTTTCAACTAAGTTGGGAAAAGTTTTTCTTGTTTTTATATATCTATGTATAAATGTATCGATGAATGAAAATCATCCATAGATAACAATCCCAACCATTGAACTCGCGGACCTGATTGATAATGAGACCATATTAGAAAATTTCCTCGCTGTAAATTTTCTTTCCTTCCTCCGATTTTTAGAACTTTTCTCTTTTCCCATCTTCTTATAAATTTAACTTACAAAAGTAAGAATTAAAAAAAATTAAAAACAAAGCAAAAATCAATGCAAAAAAGAGTTAAGAAAAGCGGGGAATAAGAAACTTTTGATGATAAATCCCAAAATGTTCTCCTTTTTTCGATTAAATATTTAATTAAGTAGTTATAAGAATTTGAGAGAATAAATTTGTAAGAGTAATTGCACGTTTAGCTTTTAAAGGATGATTGGAATGAAAGTTCATTGCGATCAATTTTTCTGTTTCTTTTCATGTTTTAATCGCATAACTAAAATGAAGCTTTCAACTTCCTATGCAACTTAATCTTGTTGTAAATTTTTTCATCTTTTTGTCCTGAAAACCACTACATAATAAATTCATAGATTTTTTATTGAAAACTTTGAACTTTAAGGGAAAAATGAATAAGAAGAAAAGTTTAAGGAAAATCGTTCGATGTTGTGATTTTATTCCATTTTCATATATGTAGCTTAAGATTCATAGAAATAATATAAATATAAAGTTAATTATGTACATAATAGATAATCAAGTTTCAGTCAAATATTGGACCTCCAAAAATCAAACAAAAAATCATCAGTCATTGATTGCATAAACATAAAAATAAACTCATTTAAGAGAAATTCGGAAATACTCAAAAGAAAGTTTTAGTAAATATTTCGTTATGAAAAATGATCTTCCGGAAGTTTAAAAATTTGATAATTAAACCTAATGGCGTCCACAACAATAAAAAAAGAAGAAAGAAGATTTAAAAATAATTAAAAAAGAAATTTAATATGTTCTGTCTTTACATAATGAAATGCTATTAATAAATTTGAAAGTTGCGTGCTTTGTAGAAGTTTTTATGGAAAAATAAGTTAAAGATTTATCTAAATAACAAGAAAAAAGAATGAGAAGCGCTGTAAGACGCAATAAATATTTAAATTAATTTCATTCTTCTTATTTCTCAGCTAAGTGTCTCCTTCTAAAGCAAACCTTTTAAAAGTCAATATTGAAATAAATTCTATGAGAATTTCTACTGAAGCTTCACGTTATTTCAGCTTTTGAAGATCCTTTTTGATTGCTTTCCAAATTCTATAAATTGATTATAAATGAAACGTTTAAAGAAATGAATAGTGTTGATGAGAAAAGACAAAAATTAGTAACAATTGGAGATTGTTGGAGAATGAAGAAAGGTTTTATAAACAAAAAATTGTTTTCTGATTTAATGATCATTTCTGCATCACATTAATACATATGATTAAATTTTTCATTTATTAAAATATTATGTAAGAAAAGACTGAAAACATATGAAGAGCATGAAATTTTTTCTATCTTGCTTATCATCAGCGTAATGGGAATGTTTGAGATTAACAAATTAATCTTGATTAAAGTTGACTTCTGATCAACGCCCCCTCCTTGGATTCATCCCTTTTCAAAGCATAAAAAACATAAAACAAGAAGAAGAAACAAATTTTTCAACATAACAAAAAAAAAACTTTTTGAATACAGAAGAAAATAATTTTCTATATTTTTCACCTTAATTTTTTTTTCTTTTATAATTAAATATAATTAAATTCATATTTAAACAAAAGAAGATAAAATAAACAACAAAATAATTTTTATACAACTGGACAGAACTTAAGTCAAGAAAAATTTATAATGAAATAAAATAAACGTCGTTGATATTTTCCTTGAACATAATTAAATTAATATTTCTTATCATTAGCAT